TATAAGTAACACAAACACGTAAATACAAACTAAGAGTGATGTGGTATAAGTAACACAAACACGTAAATACAAACTAAGAGTGATGTGGTATAAGTAACACAAACACGTAAATACAAACTAAGAGTGATGTGGTATAAGTAACACAAACACGTAAATACAAACTAAGAGTGATGTGGTATAAGTAACACAAACACGTAAATACAAACTAAGAGTGATGTGGTATAAGTAACACAAACACGTAAATACAAACTAAGAGTGATGTGGTATAAGTAACACAAACACGTAAATACAAACTAAGAGTGATGTGGTATAAGTAACACAAACACGTAAATACAAACTAAGAGTGATGTGGTATAAGTAACACAAACACGTAAATACAAACTAAGAGTGATGTGGTATAAGTAACACAAACACGTAAATACAAACTAAGAGTGATGTGGTATAAGTAACACAAACACGTAAATACAAACTAAGAGTGATGTGGTATAAGTAACACAAACACGTAAATACAAACTAAGAGTGATGTGGTATAAGTAACACAAACACGTAAATACAAACTAAGAGTGATGTGGTATAAGTAACACAAACACGTAAATACAAACTAAGAGTGATGTGGTATAAGTAACACAAACACGTAAATACAAACTAAGAGTGATGTGGTATAAGTAACACAAACACGTAAATACAAACTAAGAGTGATGTGGTATAAGTAACACAAACACGTAAATACAAACTAAGAGTGATGTGGTATAAGTAACACAAACACGTAAATACAAACTAAGAGTGATGTGGTATAAGTAACACAAACACGTAAATACAAACTAAGAGTGATGTGGTATAAGTAACACAAACACGTAAATACAAACTAAGAGTGATGTGGTATAAGTAACACAAACACGTAGATATAAACTAAGAGTATTGTGGTATAAGTAACACAAACACGTAAATACAAACTAAGAGTGATGTGGTATAAGTAAGAGCATACCACATTATACGCAAAGATTAAAAGGGGAAGAAGAAGAAATGCTTTTGATACATAAATATATGTTCCAAGATAGCAAAAATTCAGAATTCACAGGATAAATGCGAACACAACATGAACTAGGAGGATAGCTACAAACACATAACAGCCTAAGTAGGACAGAATAAAATTACAACAGTCTAGCAGTCTACACAAATACCGGGAAACATGAAAATATAAATGAAATTTTAAAAAGCAGCCAATTAATCAGCAGATATACCACAGCTAGATTGCTGACCAACTCAGGCACGCAATAGCCCACAGAATGCGCTTTATAATTTTCTACATATCTCTGATCATAACATATGCTGATTCTCACCTGGACGATCTCATGGCGAAAATGTATCTTGCCATACCTGTGTTTTGTTTCCTCTAATACATATTTGTCTTTTCTAACATCACAAATAAAATCTGTTACCATTTTATTTAAAACCTTGTATACTTCTTTTGTCAAAATTTTAAGACTACTTACATGTAAAATGACGAGGTTATGTTATCTTGAAATGTCTTTAAATGTTGAGGTGTAATCATTTTCAATACAAGGAATGGCTCTGTCTTATCTCCATACTTCTGGTCTGGAAAAGGGTAACAAAAAAGCCAAGCGCAATAATTATATTTGATGAAATAAGAGACTTTAACAAAAAATATTTCATATTTCTTTGGTAGATAAGTGTTCATCAATTACCTTCTTAATCATATTTTTGAGAGCCAAGTAAATGTCATCAATATTGTCAAAGATGAAAGCAGTTTGAAGATTGCTTGGTCATAAGTTTTAAAACTTCTAAAATTGGCTTTACTTTTAGATAGCCTACGAGCATCGCCCTCAAAGACCTATACAGTTGTGTCAATTGCTGATTCCACATCCGGAATTCAGATCATGGTAACAGAGGGCGGTTAGTTAAAATAACAAACGATCAAGTGATGGGACACGTACTGTCCTTCACTAAACAAGTTGCAAAATTGATGTAAAATGTCAATTTAAATTACCCGAGAACAAAATGTTATCATACATAGATACATAGATTTATTCTAACAAAATTAGGATTTTACAATCCTTTGACAATCAGCTATGAATTATAAAGCATTTAAATAGAAATATATTTCAAAAGTTGCGACGTTTATGTTTCGATTTTTTCTTTAAAACTGTATTTCTGCGCTTGGTTTTGCCATTTTCATCTAGTTTATATTCAAATTGTTAAACTGTGCTTGAATTCGTAACATTTGACGGAGGAGTGTTCCATAAATCATCAGTTCTCTGTGTAAACGAAAATTTTCGTATAGTTCATCTTAAATGCGATTTGTAAATTTTAAAGTTGTGTCCACGTCATCCTCGATATCCAGGGGTTACGCTCACTTTCGCTCTCTACACCCCTGGAATATGTCATAGCAAAATTGAAGGCTCAGTGTGCGCCACTTTGTTGATGAGACAAGAAGACTAGTTCGATCCTTTGATGTACATCAAAAGAATCTCGTGGTTACGTAACGGTAAAAATTGACAGGCTTTGAAGTCGGGCGTCTCTCCTTTGTAATCTTGCTATGACATATTCCAGGGGTGAAAAGAGCGAAAGTGAGCGTAACACCTGGATATCGAGGATCTGTCCACGTGTAGATGAACTTTCCCTGATATTAAATATGTTGGATACTTCATGGTCATATTTCCCGGACAATATTTTGCAAACCTTTTCTATATGCTAGTGATGGTATTTTTAGTGGGGTTTTTTTCTAATCGCTCCTTATAGGATAAGTCTTCTAGGCCAGGTACCTGTTTCGTTGCTCGACGTTGAACAATCTCTATTGTTTCAATGTGTTAATTTTTCGAGATGATGACACCAAACCTGATTCGCGTATTCAATGAGTGGTCTAACTAAAGATGTGTATAGCAACCTAAAACTCTCCAAGTTCATATATTCCATTGTTTTTCGTAGAACTCCCATAATGGAACTAGCTTTATTTACTTTTTCAGATATATGTTTAATCATTTTTTTGTCTATTTTGACACCGATATTTTTTTCGAAGCACACAAATTCCAAAGCTTGTGCATTATCAATATTGCAGTGTCCCATGCGCATCACTTTGCATTTGTCTGGATGAAAACGAAGATGCCAAGCCTCTGACAACATTTGGAGTGAAAATATATCCTTTTGTAAAATCTTACAATCTTGTTCATCATTGATTGACCCAAATGCTTTCGTATCATCCGCGAAAAGGAATGTATTCGTTCTGGGATAAGGCATGTCAGTTATATAAATTACAAATAAAAGTGGTCCTAAAATCGATCCTTATGGTATGTAATCATATTTTGTTGTCATCTTATCAAGACCCCCCGCTGCTCTGTCCATGAGAGTATTGTCACTCATGGAGGGAGGTTTGTATGCTCCAATAATTGCCCACCCAGCACAGTATAGTACTCAATTACAATGGACTCGATAAGTCCTCAATCTTCTCGGTGTCTTACCGGAAGGTCTGATCTAGCATATGCTAGGATTCTACATCCATGGGTCTTAAGTAGGTCCTTTCGAATTTGTGTCATAAAGTTCGGTTTCCGAGATGAAAGGAATATCATAGATATATCGACGATGACTTGGCGCCAGCATATTTCCTTGTATCCAGGCTACTCTGGTTAGTCTGTTACCAGAACAGTGTGAACAGGCCGAGTGCCATGCTAACGTGGCCAAATTATGACATTTTAATGAAATAACACGTACTTGTTTAAGCGATTCAACCATATATGCATGGACACCAGCCTCAATATCTGCGCTCAAGATTACGATGACGCAAAGCAAACAAACATGTCCGTTAATTTTAGCCATTCATAAATTATTATAATATATTTTGTACCCATATTTACATATGAGTGATTAAATAGTACCCCCCCCCCCCCCCCCCCCCCAGAAATTTGCTCCCTCTCTTACTTTCAAGATTCCCAGATCTTCAGGAGACTGACTCGTAAACAAGCTTACGAAATGTGACAACCTTTCTGATTTTATTGTACTTCCATTTCGATTGAGACAATTACACTTCATATTAGAGATCATGACGATGTTTGGGTTGTGTTTTAAGCACAGGAAAATATTTTCAGCTATTCTGGTCTCTGTGTAGTATAACATATATAGCTATGGATAGAGAGTGAGAACAGAGGAAGTTAAAGGTTAATGTACGACTTTTAAAGGTTTACATCTGGTCATATATAGATATACGACGGTGTTGAATATTAAAAACAGTAGATTTTACAAGCATGTTGGGTATGCATTATTTAAAAGTCTTTGAATGCACCTTTAAGAACCCTTTTTTCAGAATCCGAGGGAGGACAGCTGGTATTTATATCTCCACAGCCTTTGGCGCGAATATAAGTTGAGCCCTACTTTTTCTGAAAAGCTGTATAAATCCATGTGATCATATGTGATAAACATAGCATACCTATGTTCTAAATATCTTAGAAACGGATTTATTTAACAATGCATATTCGTGAGTTATTTTTTTAACGTATTCGTTATCCATTGTCTCAAACTGAAAGGTTATGCATAAATTATAATAAAACCAATTAAAATGTGTTACTTCCTTAATTATTATGTAGAAAAGTATGTAATATATATATGGATTGGTAGAATTTAGGAGGTATTTCAATCGGGTTTTGTTCTCGTCTTTCTGATAAATGATAGTCCGAAAAAATGCTACACAATCAGATATCATTGCCCTAACCTCCGTGCCCTAACCGGATCCTCCTGTATTTTCCCCAGGGGCCACAGTATGTGTCACGTGACAGAGTGTTTGGGCTGTTGTATTTACTTTTCTGACAAAACGTTAGTGAAAATAGGCTTTTATACGTTCACTGATACGGTCATCATTTCCTTAGGTTGATGGTTTTGAAAATTTCTTATATATGAATCAAAATACCTCAGTTATATGTATTAAACCAATCGTTATGCGGTTTGAAAATTAACATCGTATTAATTACCATTACTACGCGAGGGAGGTTGACAGATCAGCTGCGAAGATGGCGACCATGTGTGTGAGAAGCCGGTACCTCTTCGTAGGCTGAAAATCATTATTTGTTTCACATTTTTGCGCATTGTGGAAATTGTATCCTGTATTTATTATCTGCAATCTATAAACGAAAGGTAACTGTGTATGTATAGTCTGTTTTATATCGGAACGCGGCACATGTCCCTTGCTCTTAGAAGTCGCGTGGGTATCGCCAAATCATGATTAAGTGCCATAACGACCTGTTTTGTCATGAAACAACAGTAGATGTAGCCGTATGACTATTTTCACGCAATTATGTCTCTACATTTGTTTTAATCATCATAAATAATAGACGAAGTGGTAGCAGAACTGAATTATTGTTTGAAATTAATCACCGTCAACATTGCACCCCCCCTCCCCGTTTCCTTGTTTTCGCTGCATGTGCAGAATGTTTACATGGTGCAATGTGGACAAATCAAGTGATGATGGTGTAGCGTTTCTGTTGTAATGCTTTTCATCAAGTTACTTGTGAGTTTAGCTATGTCATAGACTGCGATAGCTGTTTTTTAAAACGAAATTAAGGTGGAGGATACAAAAATCCATTTGCATGTCATCAAGACAAACAATATCCCAATGCGTTCATGTAACCGTCAAAACGTGTCTCATTTTCTCATCGTTGCAATGACAGTAAACGACATTTAGGTCCATAAAGCTTTAAGCTGAAGGAAAAGGTTAAGAACGATATAAAGGGAAAAACGATGAACAGCAAGAGAGTTATCTCCCATGGCTTACATCAAATTTAATGTTTTTCCCAAGTTGGCAAGTAATCTTGCATAAGGAAATAAGGATTCTTGAAGAAAATAGATACTTTTAAAGCTACATCAAAAGAAATGTATAATTTATTTAAATATCATTGTAATGAAATGGATCTGGTGCGATAACTATTTCAAAACTGCAAATCTTCTTCCTATGAGAGACTAATCTCCAAGATTGGAGCGATTATTGTCTCTGGACTTAGTGGGTGCATGTGCAGAAAAAAGAAACCTTATATTTATAATTGAATGAAATAAGCAAACGTATAGGAGGGTGTGTGCGTGTGTTCCTCGTGTCTCAAGGCATGACCGTGATAAATGAATGTAAAGTAGTGCAACACGATCACACAATTCCATACAGGAAATGTTAGACTTCGTCCCCCAGGCAACTCGGGGGCGGCAGGTGTGCATACATACATAGACCAGCCTATGTTAGTGGGACAGATGAAGCGAAGATGTGTTTGACGGTGTACTGTATGTATAGAGTTGAGCCGTGAGAAACTTGGGGAGGGGGTGATAATTGTTCAAGGCTGTCTGCATCAGCAAGAGAAGAGGGTAAGCTGTTCCAGTCCCCTATGGTCTTTGGCATGTAAGAGAACTTGAAAAAGTCTTTGGAAGCCTGAATTGGATGATAGCGGCAGTTCCCCTGAGTCCTGGAGTCGGCCTTGGTTAAGTACTGGTTGGCTGGTATAGCTTTGAGATCGTGAGTGATCTTATAGAAGTTGACCAGCCTGGCCTTCCTTCGTTGACTCTGCAGGGGGTCCCACTTGATGGAGTCAACCATTGCCGTGACATAACCTGGAGTTCTCGAGTGAAAGTCATTATAGACGTATCTGGCCGCTCTTCTCTGGACAGCCTCGAGTTGATTGATATGGTCTGCTTGGTATGGGTCCCAGGCAGAGCATAAGTATTCAAGTTGAGGTCTAATCAGAGTAAGTGAGGGCTTTGACCCGCCTGGTGCATCCAGACATGTTGCACACAAGAATCCCAGAGATCTGTGTGCCTTGGCACAAATGCTGCTAACATGGGGGCCCCAGGACAGGTCATGGGATAAAGTTACTCCCAGGTACTTGCTAACTGGGACTGCCTGTAGTGATTTCTGGTGGAGTGAGTAGTTCAAGGAAATGGGATTACGTTGTTTAGATGTCCTGATGACAAAGCATTGAATGTATCTACCCATGTGTTGCCTGTAACGTTGTATTTCCCCCAAATCTTGCACATGCTCAAAATCTGGCAGTGTTAATGCTTGTTTTGGACTTCCTACAATTTAAACGATATTACTATAGCTTATAAAACCTCCACTCTCTAATACAGATATCACTCTGGTAAAATACTAGCTGCTTCCTACAAACTCCAATAGGAAGAATTACTATTCAGCTAATTTTGAAGAGTGTAAGAATAGTAAATCAGGGTTCCAAAGTAAGATCCCAAGCAGAAGCTTTGAATTAGTGAATCAATAAGCCTGTCCTACCTTAACAATGAAAAAAGTTTGGTTTTGTATAAGGCTACTATAGGGGATGGGGATAAACTGTCATTGGAGAAATTATTACTAATTTGTTGGATACAGTTTTGTGCATTTTGCTGCGAATTTTTCAGGAGATATTATTCGCAGATCATATTATAGTCCATGTGATTTTGTTGTCACAATTGAGTTATGCTAAAGACTTTTTTTAATACCAGTAGAAGTAGGCTACTGTTGTCTGTCCTTTAGTAACAAGAATATTTGGAGAAGATTGAATATTTTGATAAAATTCATCGAGGCAGGTAATATAGGTAAAACTATCGGGGTTTTTTTCTCCCTGCTGTCTGAACAGTCTCTTTGAATATTTCTGTTTTTTCATTCTGCACATTTTGTATGTGATCATTTTCAATATTGAATTCATATTTTTACAGATGGATAAATCTGAAGGAAACGTCCAGGAAGTGACGGATTCTCCAAACCCAGGCACCTCTGGGAACATGTCGGCTTCTAAGGTATTTTTCTGATGACAAATCCTTATGTTCCATTTTGTGTTGGTCCATGAAGTTTCAGTTTTAATTATTTTAGCTGTACTATAACTCATTCAGTTTTGACTTTTTTAGCTGTTTCTAATAAAAGACAGAAAATCGTGTAATAAATGAAGCACGTTGATTTGATTTGATGTATTCTTATAGAAAAAGAAAGTCTATAATATGGAGCCACGCACCCCTCTTAAGAGGCAGAGGGTGCCTGTCAACAGATTCCAGTCACCAGCCACTGAGGAACTGCCTGCTTCTGCCCCCAAAACACCAAAAGGAAATAAAGAGGAAGCTGTTGTACTGCAGTACAAGAAAGGCGTGTTCCTGGCTGTCAGGGGTGATGAAGGTATTGATTGAGCATTGAATTTTTATCCATGCAAAACATGTTTGTAAAAGATTTGATACTGGTAAGTCTTCAGGTATTCTCTTGAAAACGAGAGAAGGAAGACCCAGTACTTAACAAGATCAAAACTGTTCTGAAAGGGGTTGGATTGGTTAATCTATAACTTGCTGCAGTTCAGTTATGAGTAATCTTTGGCAGATAGCAATTGCAGGTACCCCATAGCTGTCTAAATTGTAGATCAGTATTTATTGATTTTCCATTTAATATGTAACTCCTGTCTGTTTTTGAACAGACCAGCACAATGCATACACTCGCATTCATACATCACCCAAAATCCCTCTGAACTATGCGACCCATCATTCTTGGTAGCCATCTTCCAGAAGGAGTCTTCTGAAAGTGATTCACATGGACACAATGTTTACATCATCAGTATGAAGTACAAGGATGGAGTTTCCCAGTTGGAAACCAGCTGCAAGAAACTCATTTCAGAATGATTTATGACAACGTTATTTTACATCTTCATTTACATTGCATGACTTTTGAGTTGCATTTGTTTTAAGAGATTTATTCAATTATACATTCATATTATGTCTAGTTTATGACAGTCCTGAACGTTTTGATTGGTTGTTAAACAATACAAGGACAAAACATGTTGGGAAGGAAGTTCTTAAAATTAACAATATTTCAGGGAGATGACTCTATAAGTTGGCTCTTATAGTGACCTCATCCTCTGTGGACACTGATAAAAGCTGTGATTAGGACAGGACATCAAATGCTAAACACATCATAAAAAGGGATATAGTTTAATTGGAACTTGTAGTTCATTTCTAAACCTTGCAGCCCTAGTTTTCATAAAGTTGAGGACTAACTCCTCTTCTTAAACCTTACTACAATGCCCCTGTAATCGAAATTATCATTTAATGTTTATGATATCCAAAAAGAAATGTTAAGAATTATTAGGGACCTGCATCAGAGATTGAAATCATGTTGTCCCTCTGTCCATCTACACTTTACTTTTCAGAGATTATTTCAAATCCAAACAAAAGACTAATCTTTCTAAAATTTAACATTGCGATACACTATGGTATGTAGATCTTAAAAAGGGATTTAGAAAGTTTCTAATTTCAAGGTCAAGGTCACTGTTACTAAAATCATGAAAGTTCGGAATCAGGCACATGACAAGGCTCTTGTTGTTTTAGCGCAATGGCACCGTTACACATGAATTTTGAGCCGCTACGCATCACCATTTAACGTTACGCATTCATTTGACTGTTACTCATGGAGGTATATTTGACTGGAACATCAAGTTCTCACAAACTGATTTCCTATTTTCCCCTTTCCAATTTGACTTACCCTCATTAGACTAGCTTTTTATTGTTCCCTACGATCGACACCCTGATCAACGAACTCTGCCCTTCGGGAGGATTTACCTGTGGGGATGTGAACTACGTATAGGTGTGAAACGTGAACAATAGACTACCATTACCAGTGTGTAATTTGCCTAATTAGGATTAATGATGTTTGCTAATTATCAAGGCTTCAACCTACGTTTTGATTTTCATGGGTGACTGGCAATTACACCAAAGTAAGAAATACAAACACAGGAGTACAGACAGTAGCTTTGTATTCAGTAAAATGCCAAACGTCTGCTGACCTTCCTTTGCTGCATTGAATTTGGCTATCAAATTTTAATGCTTGAAATGAATTAGCTATGTGAGAAGCCTTTATCAACAAATTACTGTTGATACAACTTTAAGAGAACGTGAAATAATTTTTGCTACATCAAGATTAATCCTGAGCAGACTGCACGTGACAGCCGTGTTGTTTTGATAACCTGAATAATCTTACATAATCCAAGATGAAATGGCATTTGAAACACGGATAAGTAGTGTTAAACATTTTGGCACTAAAATTATAAATAGCACATGGTTTTCCCAGTTTGACAGTAACAATAAAATATTATTTTTACTGGATAATTACAATGATTCATTTTGATAACTATATCACTACTTTAGATTGTATTGAGAACAGCATTGTTTACCGAGTGATAACGGGTATCTAGGCCCTGTTAATTTCATAACGAAGGGATTTTTTGAAATCAAATTATGAAAATAAATCATTGATTTAAAAATTAATTTATGATTTGTCAAAATAAATACCTTTGGTTGAAATGTTATTAATAGTATAATTTAATTATTCTCAGCTGGCATATATTTATTTATTTCTATGATGATATTCTTGAGAAAAAATGCTGAAGTATTTGCTAAAATTATCCATTTTCTTGAGTCAGACTATTTTGTTTGTAGTTCTTAAAAAAAAGAATGATAAAAAAAGGGCAAGAAAAGGAGCAGTAATATAATGCAATGTCAAGATTATTAAGTAGTGCTATATACTTAAAATGAACTACATAAAATATTACTCTTGTTTTGAGTTTTCTTTCTGAAAGTGGCGCTGTGCATGATAGATGGGCTGCGACGTAGAAATAGTTGACAGCGCCGCGCTGTGATGGAAGGGTAAAAAAAATAGATACCATAACGCATCAAAAAGTTCTGGGAGAACACTGCTAGTATTATATATGTATTTAATTTGAAATGTTTGAGTTCTTCTTTTCAAATAATTATTCTCTATTTCAGGAAGCTTTTATATGTGTCGTACACAGCAAAATGTGTATAAAACTACCAAGCATTTCAAGATTCAGTGGCTGGATCTGAATGAACCTCCTAGCATATACAAGTTTGACTTTCTGGATGCAACAGAAATTGAGTGTGTTTTGACAAATGTCAAAATGGAAAGAATTGCAAGGGAGACCTACCGACTTCCACACTCGGAGAAGACACGCATTGAGAACATCCTTCTTAGAGCCCTTAAGAAGGAAAAGGGAGAACCTATTGAGGAGGATGATATGCTAGTTGAGGAAACTGTTGGAGAAGAGGATTTTGCTGAAGATGACAGTGAGGAAGAAGGTATATCACTCTAGATATTGCTTTGATCATCTGAAAATGTTTTGTTTAAAAAAAATGGTTATCTGCTAGCCCAAGCAATATTTTCAAAGTAAATATTAAAATATTTTCAAAGTAAATATTGAAATATTTTCAAAGTAAATATTGAAATATTTTCAACGTAAATACTGAAAAGTTTAACAAGCTCTGACATGAAATCTACCAGCCCCTGGTATCAGCTAGTGGAAATTTACACCCCTGAGGTATATAAAAATCAATGTCTTATACGTTGCATTGTTAAATGATCATCCTCTTATTATGGAACAAACTCAAACTTCAGAAACTTTATAAGTGGGTTTTATTCCTTTTTGAATTTTAGTAAATGTGATTCACTACATATATTTTCGTAGTTTTGTTAAGTTAAATGTTATTTGCCTAAATAAGGAAGAAGGTATAATATCATTGAAGCTTTTTTGATTTGAATACCTGAAAACTATATCTATATTATCTATTATATTATTTTTTGAAGACTGGGAAGATGATGAACCATCTGCAAAGAAACCCAAGTACTCGAAGAGTGACAAGCCAAAGGCAACACCCAAGTCCAGGAAAAGCATTACAGTTGCTCTTAAAGGTAACACATTGCAGGACCATTCTTGTATGTCGGCGGCGTCATCGTCAAAAAAAAAATGCTGGTTCACCTTAAGAACTGCTAGGCCATAGTAGAAGTCATGTACTCCAAGTTATGTTCAGATGAAATGAGGATGAAGGTTTTAAATGCTATAGGTATCAGCCTTTTGTGGTAATTTTAGAAGGGATCTTTAATTGCCCTGAGGGATTTATTTGTTGAATTGGTTGACCAAAGGTCATCAAAATACAACAATATTTTTTTCTAACTGATGGGATGCAAATTTTAAAAAATGCCTTGTTTGGTATTTATTAAACTTTCTGATTTTGTGGTTTGGTGATTTTCTTATTTACATTTAATACTGCTGTTTTCACTTTAGACTCAGGTTCAAAGAAATCAAACACTAAATCAAAGGGAAAGAAGACTGAAAAAGGTAATTTTTTATGACATTTATTATTTGAATCTGATATTTTATTTTATTAAAGCTGATAAATATGATTATCTCTAGAATTTCATGTGTTTAGTTGAATATTTTTGTCTGATTTCAACTTTCAATTAAGCAATGAATGTTTAATTATGGTCCTATAACACACATTGCTATGGATGACACTTAATAAAGCCAGGCTTTATGTATGTTTGTCAGCAATAGCAATGTGTGCTATAGGACCATAACAATGTTTGCTAAAATATTCATTATTTATATTTACATTTTGATAGAGAAGTTATGCTTTATTTAGTTACTTGGAACAGTTCTTTGAACAGAAAATTATATAGTCATATAACAACATTTGCCTTTGCAATGCATTACAATGGAAAGATGCAGAGTAATTGTAAATATATCAATAAAACTTGAAATTAAAAACATGCATAAATATTGGTACCATTGGATGCAAACTGTACATGTATATGAATATTAATATTATGTTGTAATTCATCTTTAAGTCACATCATGGGTGTACAATTTCATCTTAACAGTACTAGCCCACAAGCAGATTTTGAAACATTCTATTAGTTCTACATTTTTTTTCATAATTGAAAATTTTCGCTTGTGTGAACATAAAATCTTATTGCCCTAGGCATCAGACAAGTGGAATTGTACACCTCCCATTGGTAATTTTTCTGTTGACTTTTGATCGGTTTTGAAGAAATACTTTTTAACTGCTATTTGTAGAGAAAGTAAAAAAACAAAAGAAAGAGAAGAAACCAGAGAAGGAAAAGAAACGTGGACCAGACAGAAAGCTTAAACCAAATCCCAAAGTCAGAATTGTTGAGAAAGATCCTTTATTCCAGACAAAGTATGTATTGTCGTGGAATGATGAAAAGATAAAAGTAGATTTTATAAAGTTGCTGAAATTGAGAACTGAATGCTTTCCTGTAATGTTCAAAACTGCTATTCCAAAATAATTATATCTAGAGGTGTGGGTGGAATGCTCTATGCAAATGTTAACAAATTGATTTCGCACCTTATCACACTTATAGTATGGGTTATAAGTGCCTAGCACCCTATCCCCACTTTACAAAATACTCCCATCTGGAATAGTCTGAATTAGTTCTCTTTGCATTATGAATAAGAATTGAGAAGCATTTGAATTTAACAATGCATGTTATTCATTTCGAGTAGGCAAATCTTTTGGGATAAGTTGTTGGAACTAACAGGTATGATCTTGTGTCAGAATAAGTTTTTGTGTTTTTCCTTGTTATTCTAGATGACTTTATTTTTTTTTACAGAGATCATGTTCCATTCATCTCCAAGAATGCCCATGCCAAGTTGGTGTTCCGTGCCATCTTCCAGAATGATATTGCTCTCCTCAAACAGCTGTTGGAGGATGGCCAACACATTAACTCAGTAAGCAGGGGTTTTATGTACTAGGTTATCATGGCATATTTGGGAAAATAAATTCACTGTATGCACAATATTAACTTCCTTTAAGAATGCTCAACCCTTTGTTTCTGGTTATAAAGAAATTGGGTAGGGAGGCACTTTTATTGATATATGGATGGTGAAGTGAGAAAGGGTTGTTAGACTAATGAGAAAGTGAGAAAAATAATTAAACAGGTGTGGGTGGGGAAGGGCAGAGGAACCCTTACTCTACTTCTTTTGATTATATCTAGTATTTGGAACAGTTTTGTTCAAAATCTACAACGTTAAAAACTCTTTTGAAGTTAGAGAAAAGTTTTGCTTCGAGTAGCTCTTAGACTTGAATGTATTTTTTTTTTATATGGATCATGATTATCTATTAACCTATTACAATAGCATCTTGTTTACATTGTCTGTATTACACGTGGTGATTTTAATGTATGTATATTTTAGGTAGGTGCTGCGAAATCTTTGGCTGACAGTTGGACATCACTTCACTACGCCCTGAAAAACAACAACGTTGAAGCAGTCAGTTTACTGGTCAAGGATATTCTAGCAGATTCCGACGAAGATAATGTACGCAGAAAGCTACCCCAGCCCCGACAGCTGATATCTACCATCAGTACTGGAACGTATGTACCGGCATCTAGATTGTCTTTAAAACCAATGTTTATCAATACCTTCAAAGCATTGTACGATATAGATGGGGGGATACGAGAAAATTAAAAAAGAAATACTTATAAGTGTTTAACATCATATAAATAGAAGAAATGTTTATAAAATTAGTCTCATAAATGTGTCAAATATTGTGTTTGAATATTGAACACGCAACTGCAGGTACCACCTGGTAATATTGATTGATTCACCAGAACTATTCCATAAACTAAAACATAACTACTCTACCTCAGGATGCCTTAAAAACTTATAGAGTAGGGGATGGGATGGTTGTGGAAAACAGATATTTGAACCGCTGCCATTTGCCACTATGATAAGCTTTAATTTGAATATCTATGGAATGATTTGTTTTAATTTTGTAAGGTATCATGGAATGACTTGACTAAAATGCTATGTCTACCATCCTTTTCTGAAAGGTTTTGCTAAGACATGTGTTATTGCAAGTTAAAGTTAATTAGAACATGGAAAACCTACCATACAACTTAAACCTTTACTACTAAAACTTGTATCAATAAACTGTTGTATAACTTTGTGCAAGACTTTCCTGGCTTTCAATGGGGAAGATTTGGTTACTTTTAGTGATAATAATAGGAAAGCAACAATGTCTAGATTCTGCAGTTCATTTGAGGTTTACATGTTTTGGCTAGCGATCATCAGATCTGATTGGGAGAATATGCGAAAGTACTGTAGAGCTAACTTTGAAATGTTCTCTCCTAATGGTTCATTGTAAAAATATATTTAAACATGTAGTACATTATACAGATATGTATTAACCTTTCCAATATGATATGTATATGGAAGTTAATAATGAGTATTAGAAGCATTCAGCAGAATAATTGAAAATACAGTATCCCTTACTATATCCGTAGCAGACGTGGATAATGGGGTCGGTAGACTGGAGAAAAAATGAGAATAACAAGATCATTAGAAAGTCTGAAGGATATTGACTCAGGCTGTGTCTACATTATTGAGACTTGTCAACAGGATTTTGTTGTTTGCTACAGGTATAATCCAAGGTATCTAGGTATACGATCTGTAAGGACACTAACCGTCGGTCGAGGAGGCAAGGAAGGAAATCAAGCCTTCACAAAGGTAGGCATTATTATGATAAAGTGTAAACATATCATTTAAGTCAGTTTTGTCTCACCTGCCAATGATATATATTTACATGTGTTGCAGTGCTTCTAGATAACAGTACCAACTCAAAATGTTGTTATGATTCAATAAAAGCAAGTACACGCAAAAACAAGCAAAAATAACCTGAAAAAGATTATTTACCAACAGTTCAAAAACATCGATATAATCAACAAGAATTCACTGTGTTTAAAGAAATTTAAGTCCGCTTATTAAGCGTCGATAATCCGTGGTGTGCTAACTCCAGCCACAGACATTTGTAACAAACCCCTGTGCTCTGACAGCGACGTCACGGACGTGTCCCTAGATTATGGAATGACTGTGGTTTTGAATCAAGGCACATCATGTTTATGTCGGGCCACCGAAGCGTGTCTGCTATTAGATCCTATAACAGGTCCTTTTCAATAGAACAGAATATTTTGCTGTCCTCTACACTAGCATCCGTTGCAAGTGGCGAAGCAGGTCAAATCGTCCCGGCTCGACGGCCAGTACTCTAAGCGACAGTTACACATGCCGTATGCTCAAACCATGAGCTAGTCCTATCGTCATATGGTTTCTTAGAAAACTCCATATTTCACGGTTGCACTTTCAATTTCCGTTAACCTATCTCGTTGAAAGTCCAACCGCTTTGTGGCCTGATGAGCGTAGCCGCTGCACAACTGTTGTTTAGCAGTCAGCTATCTCCGCGAACACAGAATAAATTTCTGATGTTTTGCAACTAAAATATTTTACAGAGTATTTTTGTTTCAAATTAAGATCGACTGCCAATTTTAAAGATAATAAATGCTTGTTCAACATGCTGGTAATATAAATTACATGATTAACCCTTAGGCTGCTATATTGATTTCTATGTAAACGGACACCACTGCTGAATTAATTATTGAAATTTAAATTAATTTACTTGATTTTTTAAATGTGCATAACTTGGAAAATATTTGTTATATGTGAAAAAAAGTTATATGAAAATTGTTCGTTGTTGTCTCTAGTTTATATTAACGTTTTCAATTCTAAAGTTGCTTCAGTAATTACCTGTACAGGTGGTAATAAAGGTAAGAAAATGTGAAACTTTTAATTAATCGGATTTAAGCAAGAGGAAGATCATTTTAAAATTATTTTCGTCCGCAAATGTGATTGGCAAATGATAACAGAGATTATAAACTTCATTTTTGACATAAGACGCTGTATATTTACACGGAGATTCTCAGGTAAAAAGGTCAGGTATTTCGTCAAGAATTGCATGTGATTTGCTACAGGTTTCAGGTCGCCATTCAATAAATTTACTGTCACAGTCGGCATATAGATATATCTTAGCTACGGTCTAGTTTATGATTAAATCACCGATAAAAAGTTTGAAGAAATAAATCGGCTCAAAACGTATCAATGTCAATGTTCAATTCGGCCTCACCTGCAGACGACATGTGCGCCTCGGTCCGCCGATATTTTCCTGTTTGCGTAGAGCACAAAGCCGTTTACTGGAACGTTACATATTATGTAACACCGAAGTATTTCCACATCAACCATGCAAAACCCTTTAAAACCTTTATTATCATCGTAGGTGACGATGGAGAATAAATGTTCACCATCATATTCATCGCTTCAATCTACACGTCCGCCATTTTTATGATTTTTTTTTCGATTTGAAATTCTCTCGCACACCTTTGGTTCATTCGGAACACCTCGCCCCGATTCCAGTTCCTTCCAACGTAGATGACCGTATCGGCCGAGAAGTTCCGAGTGACCTTTGGTTATTACTAGGGTACACTGCCGTGAATATCGAAAGTAATGACAAAACAACCAATCAGAAGCCTTCTACTATACGCGTTCGGGTTTGGTATAGCAACAACACGACTTCACACTTCCTGGCTACCGATCAAAGCCTACAGACCGAGAAACGACTATAGTCGTGCGTAGCACTGACGGCCCGACTTTTCAAAACGACTATTGTTGTGCGTAGCAGCCTAAGGGTTAAAAATATGCAAAGTGGGACTATTTTTTGATTGCTCAACTGTGTATTTCGTCACCGTTGAAAAAGCATCATCTTTCCTACAAAAAAGACTTCAATTAATGTTGTTTTCATGACAGTGTTTTTGCATTTTACGTTTCTTAATTTCAAAAAATAAAAGTGGATGTGATAGAACGTAAATACAAGGTTTGAAATGCATCTTTTTAACTTTTATGAGGGTATGCAACACCATTCAAACATTTGTTCGCGCATCTTGGAGAATATGTTTGAACGGAACTGAGTTGCATACCCTCGTAAATAAATGTTAAAAAGATGCATTTCAGACCGTAGTTAAAGGCTAGATATATTTGTCAGTTTTCTACTGGAAAAGCTTTTTAAAGTTACTTTGGAAATGTTGACATAAATGTGACTTCCATGAAAAGAGGTATTGTAGTAGAAGATCTCTTGAACCATAAAATTTATGTTTATTATTCATGATATTCTCATGATTTTAACCTTTTTTTAACTTTAGGAAAAAGATGAAGATAGCTTGACTTGTGATTTAATCAGCGATGCACTTCAGATGGGAGTGAACAAAGAAACCTTAGATGTGATGATTGCAAGTAGTGGTGAAAATTACATAGATCAATACGTAAGTAAAAAAAAATAACTTAACCCAGAGTGATATCTTTGTTTGGAATATTTAACTTCATAGAAACAAGGTTACTTCACACTTAGTATTTCTGATCACTTCCTATCACAAAAGTATTTTTGTCTGAGATGCGTTGTTTGATTTGCAAAGCAAATAGTGCCCCATACGCTTACCTATGACAGCATTCGTTTGATTTTGCCTTTTTGAGTGCAGGATATTTAAAAGGAATAGCCATTTGGATGATTATTATTGAATCCAATTTATTGTCTAGTATGCTAAACAATCAAGCAGGCTTCTAATACACAAACAGTCTCGAAACAATTATTTATACACAATACAATCTGCAAAACAGTAATATTTTAATTTGTATTGTTCAATGATAAATATAGAATATTTGCTCAGTTAAGATTATGACTAAAATGCCAGTTATTTAGAAATGTTTGCTTTTTATATTGTGACCACAAGTATCATTGAGTCTACTTTGCTTCTGGTTTTGATTAGCATGTTTGTTATGTTTGCAGAATGATGAAAAGCTGAATAACATTGTCTTTGCGGTACTTCGTGGTCACAGAGGTCTGGCTGGGCAGCTGATGGAAGATGCTCTGAATCGTGGAGGTTTTGGTTTTAACTTCTTGCATAAAGATGTAAGTAAGGAAGCTGTTAAGCAATCATACAGCTCTGCATACCTGTGTCAATCTTATCATTGATGATCTTCTTGATATAAAGCATGAAATTGGAAAATATTGTGAAGCAATCTCAATGCATTTTGATATATCGAAAACCACATTTGACAGTTTGTACGCCAACCAGTAGCACATGGTTTCTTTGTGTGGTATGAGTCTATTTCTTATCCAAGGGCTCTCAGATTTTACCTTGACTCAACATGTAAAGTCGGTATAAACATGTACATCCATAGTCATATTGAAAAGTGATAACAATTTCAGTAATTGCAGCCACACATTATGGGCCCAAAGTATTTGGCACTATTCTATTGCTTGGCTCGGATTTTCCTTTCACTTTTTTTTTTTAAGAAGTTCAAAACGTGTCTGATACTTGAAAAATATCCATAGTACTCTAAATGCATTTAAAAAGCAAATATTGCTGAAATTAAGAAGGAACCTATTTTTTTAAGTTTCTATTAAGTTGTATAATAAATGTTGAGATTTGTGTGTTCCAGGTACTGGTGTTCAATAATGAAGATTTGAAACAGTTCCAGAGTGCATCTGTCAGAAAAAAGCCACTGAACAATGCATCTGTAAGTAAATAATTATTAATCAGCTAGAACCATTTGTTGATTCCGTGTTTTTTTAAGTTATTATTTTTGAAAATTACGGTTCAATAGCATGTCTTTGTCATGTGTGATTTTATAATTATCATTTAATAGATCATTTATATGTAATCCTGTATCAATTTGATATAGGGGTTATGAACAACCATCTCTCTTACACAGTTTTTCCTTACTTCAGATGACTCCACTGCATTGTGCATGCATCAACCCCAACATCAAATACTTAGAGAAGTTGTTGTCCGTGGAGCCTGATATCAACCTGGAGGACAAAGGTGGAAGGAGGCCTATCCACTATGCTGCTTCTTGTGAATCAACCGCACCCCTGGAGCTCCTCATTAAAAAGTAAGTATAGAAAATAATAACTTTCATTAAGGTTCTATTAAAGTAATTTCTCATTATTAGTCAGGTTATAAAGTGTTCTGTTTAAAATTCTGGTTAAACGGTCTTAGTTTTATCAATTAATGTCTATATTGTTAGATTTTACCCTCTCAATTAAAAATGACTTAAATAAACTCCTCGATTTTAAGGTCATTTTTTTTCCCCCTGAGCCTGCAACACTTTTGAATACACATATTTTGAAAACAATCAATGTTTGAGAAAAGTAAATTAACATGTTAACATATTAAGGGGGTTTTCTTCAAGGAAGGACACTTAAAACTGTGGACAGGGTGTATTTTAAGTTTTTCCTCTGACCTATCATGACATTGATTTTTGTCTTCAATTTTCAGGTCAGATACTTCTTTATTTAAACATGTGTCATGTTTGAAAATAATGGAATCAAGGGCACATTTAAACCCCCACCTTTGCTTTCTCTAACAATGTCATGAAATGTTATGTTGGATGTATTCTTATCATGTTTCTATGACAGCTGAAAAGAAGCATTGATAAACTTTCTGTACTTCACTTGAAATTACAGGGACATTTTACCAGGTTTTATCATGTTAACACGAACCTATCAATTATTCTACAGAGGAGCTAATCCCAACGAGGTGACAAGGAGAAGATTCACCCCTTTGCACTATGCCTGCTATGCAGAGCGACCAAAGAACATAGACCTATTGCTGAAAACAGCAGTAGCCAAGAATGCTGCAGAGGGTGATGGAGGTGATCCAATGATGGCCAAGTGGGGCATTGGAGGCATCAATCGCCCTAACTGGGAGACGGTCTGTCCTATCCACATCGCTGTGCAGAGTGGCAATGCAGTAAGTGATGACAAAATCCTATATATATTTAATCTGGTTATGATTTCTCTAGAGACCTGTGCTTGTTAAAGTGACATTGCTGTCAAATACTTACGTTCTTACATAATTGAAATACTGTAAACAGTGAAAATTTTGGTCACTGTAATTTTTGCACTCTTGCCTTTTAAAACAGATATTTAAAACAGTTTTGAACTTAGGTCACAATCTAGTCCTAGGACTTTTTATTTTTAACCACTGCAAGAAAGTTAGAAGGGGGGGCGGGGGTTATATTGGAATTGGATTGTCTTTCCATCTGTCTGTCTGTAGATACAATCATGTCTAGACAACTCCTCCTGCAATTTTCAGCCGAATTTCATTAAACCTCACTGAGGCAGTCAAACACACTCCTAAGTATTGCACCTGTGATTATAGTTTTGGTCTAGCCGTTTTTTTGGGGATTTTGTCCCTTTTTACGAAAGTTGGCCAAAGTTGATCTTCTGTACTATTTCACTTGTAGTAAGTAGATATGGTATGCAAGTACATCCTGGGATGGCAGAGTGTCAAGTCAAAAAGTAGGTCACTATGACTTATGATTTGATCTTTGACCTTATCCTTTGAAAAAGTTTTATCTGGGCCGGGCATATCTTTTATACTCTTTTACCTAGAGCAGCCAGATGTGGTATGCAAGTGTGTATTGACTGGCAACTTTAGTTTTCACATTAGATGTTAATTTTTTGAGGGTTCAGTTTACTGATTAACTATCACACAAGAAAAATATTACCATAAAACCTTCTCCTTGGTGACTTGATCGAGGGAATCCCTGTCATGATCATAGCATGACATTTTCCCCTCCTACCCACAAAACTAGCAATAACCTAAGTGGAGTATAAAATTGTCCGGGGTGCTTGCTACGGTGTCTTTGCTGCAACATTTAATCAAGAGGCACTCTGGAACAAAAGCATCACAGTGCTCTCTGGCAAACTGTGTGTATGTATGCAAGAGGTTCATATTATTTGTGGTGCCATGTATTTCACTGGTAAAATGCATTGAAATGTCTTTCTATTAACAGGAAGTTGTCAAGGCCCTTCTGAAACATGGTGTTGATGTGAACAAACCTTTATCTGCTAGCAAAGAAAAAGTATCACCACTGATGATAGCAGCAGGAAAGGGGAACTTGGACATTGCCAGACTGCTTATACAAGCAGGTGCTATTGTGGAACAACTTGGTTAGTACAATTTGACTTTGAATTGATAACGGACTAGTGAGATGATTTTGAAACTTTTCATGCCCCTGCCAATTTGTTTTTTGGGGTGGGGGAGGAGACATATAGTGTTACCAAAGTCCATCCTGCCAAAGATTTATTATCGTGACTCTACCGACTTAAATTTCATCAGATGTAATAATAGTAAAAAACAGTAACAAAATTTCATTATGAGTTCATAGAAAGGTAAAAAGTATGAAAATATTGCGGTAGTTCATTGTCCAAAGGTCAATGCCAAGGCCACTGTTGCTTTGTTTTCCACTTACCTCATATTGTTTATGTCACATTATAGTTAATATCATATTTTCGTTAAAAATGTTGTTTCTCTTTACATTTATTCTGTTATTTCTGTGATTTGGATTGAATTCTTATAATTTTGCTATATTGTTGGTTTCCCTATATATAACATGTAAATACTTAATAATTTGGAGACTAGTAAAAGTTTTTTTATCGTTCAATATAGTAGATATTTCTTTTTGTGCTTATGCTATCAGTGTATTTTTTATGATTTAAGTACAAATTATTTTGTAGATAAATTCAAGAGAACAGCACTGACCCATGCAGTAATGAATGGCAGTGTGACTGTAACCTCCTACTTGCTGTATTTGGGTGCAGACCCCAACCGTGTGGACAGCTCTAACAACTCACTGGTACACTATGCTGCCGCATATGGCTGGTACTTTGTCCTCAAGATGCTTGTAAATGAAGGTGGGGCCGACCCAAAGAAGGCAAATGACTGGAAGGTAATTTTGCTTAAGGTGTTTTAATGTTTTTGATCTGGAAGTATTATTCTGTGACTCTTTTAATATTTTAATTCCCCTTGATGGTAGAAATACTAAGGCCAAGTATGAAAAGTAAAATGGAGGATCTCCCAAAAAATTAAAACCATCATGTGGTCTGCAAACCTAAGTGATAATTAAAAAATTTAAAACAATTCTTATTGGAGTTTTCACAAATAAAGGAAATAAAGGGGGATGCAGCAGTAAATGATATATTCTTTATCAATTTTACTTTATGTCTCTGTAACAGGTCACTGCAGAAAAGGTTATATTTTCATGTTCAAACTAGGTGGGTAGCTGAAATAAAATGTTGTTCATTTTTGTGTCACCTGCAACGCGAGGTGACATATATCGGTGGCGGTTGCGTCATCTGAAAACAAGTTTCCCGTGCGATAACTTCAGTTCCCTTGGGTTGATTGAACTCAAATTTGGTACAGATATTGCATACCAATATAGCTCGGGACGAGTTTGCATTTCAGAAGTTACACGTCATTTTGGCAGAGTTATGCCCCTTTTATTGCCATGTAAGGGCATGGTGTAGTAAATGCAAGAACTTCTTTATTTTTTAATCAATTCCTTTCAAATTTTGTACGGTAATGCTAGAAGCAATAATCTTCAACATATATTACAGGTTTTATCTGTCAGTTTCAACTTTCCGCATTTTAGCATATCACACTTGACATAGCAACGCCGCTGTTCATCGTTTTTGCCATATATTTTTGCTTGTTTACGTGATAACTCAAGCCAAAACCCTTTTCTCACTAAAATCGCTGAGCAGGCGACACGTCCACTCCTGTGGAATTCTATTGAATTATCAACATAATATCAGGCTTATTTCAGAAACAAATATAGGGGGTTGGGACAGTATTTGTGTAAACCCCACCACCTATGCATTATTTTTACTGTATGTCACTAAACCAAACCTCCCAACACACATATTAATGTTATGGAATTAAAATAATATTATTTCATTATTTCAGTTGACGCCTGTAGGAATAGCTTTCATGAAGGCACACATGGGTTTGGTTGACTTTTTGCTGAAAATGCCAGGAGTCGACATCAACTTTAAAAACGATTCTGGTTAGTTTGAAAATATCAAGCTTTATATATGTTCAGAAGTCTGAATACTATAATATATAGATAATTCTTTCATTGAATTTTAAGTATATTTGATGTTGGGGTAGTGAGGTTGAAGTTGTTACAATTCAGAATCAAACATGTGTATACGAAAAGTTTGATGAATGAATGAAATTCTTTTGAGAGTTGTCTATTATATATAAATGGGGTTTTCCATTGTATCTTTTTATATATGAAAATATTGGGAAATCTCAATAAGAAACTCTTTTTCATATTCTTTTTTTTTTTGTATTTTTTTTTAGTTAATTTGTCTGGAGCTTAACTTTTCTGATTCTTCTTTGTTTTGTGTCTACTATTAGGGATGACTTTGATCAGCCTTGCCTGTGGTAGTGAGCTGAACAGTGGTCTGTATGACCAGATTGTGTATCTGATGGACAAAGGCTCGGACCCCAGTATCACCGACATTAACGGCATGAATGCTGTGAGTATACAAATGTCCAAACATATCAAAAGCAAGTTGTGGGCTGAACAAATATGTAGAATTGTTGAATTCATACACAGAACATCAGATGCATCAACTACTTGTATATGATCTCATCAACAGAACATCCATCCTCGGTATCCAGGGGTTACGCTCACTTTCGCTCTCTGCACCCCTGGAATATGTCGTAGCAAAATTGAAGGCTCAGTGTGCGCCAACTTTTTGATGAGGCAAGAAGACATCAAAAGTATCTCGCGGTCACGTAAAAATTGACAGGCTTTGAACTTTACCTGGAATTGATTGTAGACAACTACCATTCATCTTACCTGGAATTGATTGTAGACAACTACCATTTATCTTAACCTGGATTTGAACAAAATTATTTTGGAGATGTATTATGTTATTGTTTTTATTTCCAGCTTCATCATTTAGCTGGCAACACTGTAAAACCAAGTGGCACTGGTGGTCCAGTAAGTATTGTAGGCTCTTGATGAACTTTTTTCAGTCCCCAACTCTGTATTTCTCTTGGAGAGTATTAAGTGTTCTGGTCCCAGTTTCTTAGTTCCTTAAATTGAATTAACATTTTCCCTTTACATTGAAATTAATATAGTGCTTTGCTTATGGGGAAATTTACTTATGAATAAAATACTAGTTACATAATGTTTTAAAAACCAGAGACAAGTTTTATAAAAATGAAAGTAGTTAATTCCAAGAACCATATTTAAAAGCAGAATGGATGATTACTAATCTATTGTCCAACTTGTGTGGATTTATACCAATTACACCAACAAACCCGGCCTCTAGCACACACACACACTCATGCATGCATACATTACACACATGGAGGCACATCCTAAATGACATCAGCTGTTGAAAAGGACATTAAACCCTATAAAACTAAACTAAACCTTATATGGATTTTATCATTTTCAGAATTACCAGAAGAAGTATGATGAAAATATGGATCTGTCTGTGAAGATTGCTGAATTACTAATGAAGGCAGGATGTAATCCAGCCGTAAAAACTACAAAGAAACAAACAGCTGTCACACTCGCAATAGAAAAGGTACTGATGAGGCAAACAGGTTTTATTGATTTAACTTGTTTCCTGGATAAAGTATATCCCTGTATTATAACCTCACAAAAATAGAAATCAAACATATTTTTACTGAAATCTGGAACTACGGCTGTCAGAGGAAAGTACAATGTCTCCTCCTAATGCAATGGTGAATTGTTTGTTCAAAACCAACTGAAGCCGCATGTGGAATTAAAAATTGTCATCAAACATCAATTATGGCAATGCCACCTAAAATAAGCTGTGTAATTGGGTTGCAGGTCAACACAAAGTTGGTGCGTGTTTTGGTAGAGAAGGGTGGTGTGATTTCTGCCGAGAAAGACGAGGATGGTGCTAACGCGCTCCACCATCTTGCTCAGCAGTGCATGGGCAATGATCTAGCACCACTATTAAAAATCCTGGCACAAGAGGTAGGTTTTCTTAATATTGAATAAAGGTTGTTTAAATAGTATTTTCATACTTAATAAGATATTACTTACTTTATGATGTTAATTTTAGAGGACAGTGATGTAGACATTTTCCTCAATTCTCAGTCTTCTTTACTCATAAATGAAAATAGAATAATCAATCTTAAAAGTTTGTTATAATATCTGAAAATTTACATACTGATTGTCATTCAAATACCTATGTATTGTCATATTCTAGATTTACCTAATTCGCTCGTTGATATGTAATTTATACATCTAAATATCTTAATTTGCAGAACCCATTAAATAACATTAAAGAAAATGGTCTTGATGAAAAAATGGAAGTAGATTCTAATGACAATGGAGATGTAGTGAAAATGGACAAGGAGCCAGAGATTCCCAAACTCAAAAAGGTGATGTCGTTCAGGTCTGGTTTGGAAGGTATTAAACAAATGGTGACCGAGGTGGACCATTCTGGCTACACCCCCTTCCTTCTTGCCTGCTGCACGTACGCCAACTTCACGGTGAGATTCTGTCTAAGTTGCATGCTTGAAAAGATAAGATTACTTTACCCATGCTTTTATTCTTCCTTTTTGCTTCTGTTGTACTTGAATTTAAACACTTTTCTCAAAAACTACCAGCCTGATTTTTTTACCCGAGTATTGACGGGCATGTGTAGATGTGCAATCAACATTTCTGAAACATTTAGACCTCTAACTGATGTTCCTTAAGATTGACATTGAACATACTTTTTGGTAGTGATACATAGGGGTATATTTCACACCTGCCTTGACCTCTGATTAGTCAAGGTATTTATAGTTGTAACGCTAGCTCGATTTGGCTGACTTAGTTCATACTTTGTGAAAGTGATACAATAAAATCAGATGAAAAAGATAACCTGATTGAGAGAATTTTAGGGTTTTCATCGTTTAAAATGGATCCATTTTTCCCACAGAAGCCACATGATATGAAAGATTCTGAAGTGCCAAAAGTTTATCAGAATGGATGTGATTTTATCAGAACTTTAATAGAACTGACTGGTTTGGATGTATCGACGACTGTTCAGAAAAAATATCAGGTCAATGATGTGAAAAACAAAAAGTCAACGGATGAAAAAAAAGAGTACAATGAATTTGGTAAGTAGAGAGAATTTCCTTGACTTTTCATATCAGCACTACACAACAGACATAATTTAATGAATCCTGCTCAAAAGTTATGACCATTAAAATGTCTTGTTTGAGAAAGATAAAGAAATTTCTATTTTTTGGTTTGTTTGAACAGTTGTATATAAAAGTTGGGTACATTCCATATGGAAATATCAATCCTAAAAATATAATTTAAATCCACTTCCTTACTCTGGCAAATAACAAAACAAAATATTTACAGCAAATCTTTAAAACATATATTAAAAATTGCTTTCTGCTGATTTTTGCCAGGTATTTTCATTATTTTATAGCATCAAAGACTTGTAAAGAGTTGTATTTGTTTGTTTTAACTTCGCATGTTGAGGAAAAAGTAAACCCTATTTATACTGTTTTATTTGAAAGTGTAATCTCATCCATATGAGTTATAAACTAACCTAAATGGGTAGTAATTTTCAATGCATAGCAGCAAGGTAAACATACTGATACCTTCAATACTGAAAATCAACGAGGACTCGTGTTTAAACCATTAATATGTATTTCTCGCATCATTTTTTGTTACGTTGAATAACTGACTCTTCCATGCAAGTATAAAGTGTCCTTGTTGTATTTGACAGAAATGCCTCAAATTTAATGGCTTGATAAACTGAAGTCCCTGCAGGTAGGGCGTAAGAATTGTACCTGCTGCCCCCAATTGCATGATCGTAAGAGGCGACTAAATTTGGGACCTTATCTCTTCTCTCCTTTCTAAATAACTTTCTTCTTCCTAATGTCTCCCTTGACAATGCCTCACTTTTGGCCATTTGTTGAGCGTTCGCCCCTGTGAGGAAGGCTTTGGGTTCTGTCCCCTGGCCGAGACATACCAAAGTCTTTAAAAATGGTAGTTTCTACTCCTGCTTAACGCTCAGCAAATTAGGAGTGGGACGACTGGTTCGCCCGTTGTCAGTATAATGTGACCGGGTGGGGCGTCCTGCTGGGTGTCTTCGGCAGTATGTTTCAGTGAGGTAGCACTATAAAGTCGGCATCAGTTCCGCGCTATCACAAGGAGATAAACACGAACATATCGCAGCCTCCCAAAATACACACACATACACTACACGCATGCATCTTGCACACAGGGGAGGCCGTCCTTAAATGACCTTAGCTGTTAATAGGACGTTAAACAAAATCAAACAAACAAATTGAAAAACTGAAATAAAGGAATGGGCTCTGATTAAAGGATTGTTAGGGATTTCAAACCTTTTATAATATATCTTTATGAAACTTCCAAGTATACCATCATGGTATACAGTGCAGTGAAACTGGTTCGCAATGACATTTATCTTAACTCACTCAGCTCTGAAGACATATTTGAATTCGTCCAATTCAATGGTTGGAATAAATAGCTCATTATGAATTTCAAGGATAAATGAGTTATGGTCATTTTAATGTAATGTCTTGCCCGGGTCATCAATTTCAAACCACTGAAGAAATCTTAGTAAAACTTAGTTTATACCTGCATTACTCATTTATACCTGCATTACTCATCTGCTCATTATATGTACATTGGCTAATCAGGTAGGCATATATTTATTTTCAGTGAAAAGTTTGTGGAAAATTAGGGTTCAGATAATGTATATTAACATATACTATTATATGAAATTTAAAGAAGGCATGAATTTATTTATTTTTTGTATGTATTTTTGTAGGAAAGCAATCAGCTGTTCACTTCATGATAAATAGGGGGAAAAAGAGTTCAGATGGTGCTGATTATCCTGGTCTGCGGATGGTACTGGAGAAAAAACCTGACCTGGAACTTAAAAATCTGGATGGGAAAACTGCACTAGCAGTTGCAGTAGAGAGACAGAACAAGCAGGCAGTTGAGATACTGGTGAGGATAGAGCACTAAGTAATGACAGGTTTTGTTTATTGAGGTTTGACACTTTGGAGCAGTTCTGAGCTTTCATACCTACATTGATAATAGACCTGATTAGTGATTTAAAACCTGTCGGTGACTGAGACCATTGTGATGCATGTATCGTTTGTTTCTCCATTTATATATAATTTACCATATATTGGGTAATGTTTTCATGGGACCGATTGAAGTTCTTTAGAAATGTGTCCCACGCCTTGAAGAACTTTTGTGAAGCTATTTTTTATGACTTTCATCTCGGATCATTAGTAATGGCAAATATGCATTTAAGAAAATATTTATCAAATGAAGCTTCAAATACACTAATTAAGGGAAAATCCAGAGTGCTAGTAGCGATAATGGTGTAGATGGAACCCTGTTTATAGTGCATTGAGTTTCTTGATCCTCTTTAAGCCCATGTTTCCTAGTTTGATGTCTCTCATATTTCTATTTGTAGCTTGCTGCTGGAGCGAACCCAAACACTACCATCGCCCTAGACAAAGAAACAACAGTAACAGCACTGACAACGGCAGCCACGTAAGGCGTTAGACACCTCTATCGCTCATAGAGAATGTTGATCACTTTGACGACAGAAGGAAATACTGTTACATTAAACAGTGTACACTTTTAGAAATTGGTGGATATTGTTGTATTGTTTTGTACATTAAATGGTGAACATTTGAGCTACAAAGAAACAACTTAAGTACATAAATATTCCCCTTCTTTATAAAGCCCCACCATTAGAAAATGGGGGGAGGTAATATTGTGTCGTCTTTGTATGTCATCTTGTGGTGTCATTTCTCTAGTGTCTTCATTCATGAAACTTCATACAGCGGCTATGTACCGAGGTAGATTCAATGTATGTGCAATTTAGCATATTACACACAAGGTCAATGTCACCTTTAGTATAAAAAAAGAAATATCACACCTTCATTTGTGGTGTGGTTGTATTTCTTTAAAACTTAATACACAATTTATTTATCAAGTTAGCTAAACATTTTTTTTTTTAGATAATTTACACTAAAAGTCAAGGTCAGTGTGACTACACATTTTAACTTTTTGTCATTGCTCAAAGTGCCTTTAGGTTAATTTGATATATTTAGTGAATTTTTATTGAAAATTCTAAAAGTACACCAGATCACTCATATTTTGCGAGATATATCTAACAAAGGTGTTAGTGTTATTTTGAGCAGGGCTTGTTGTTAATTAAAACTTGTTAAAAGTTTGTGTGCTTATTTGGAAAAATCATTTGTAAATCACAATCAGTAAAATAAGGAAATGAAGTGATATAATCAAATTTTATTACAGGTTGGGAAATCCTGACTTGGTGCAACTATTGGTTAGGGCAAAGGCACAGGTTGACTGCCGTAACAGCAAAACTAAGCAGACACCTCTTCACTTAGCTGTGGCGAACAGAAGTAAGTACTCCAGTATCTACTTCCCTCAGAACTATGGTAATAGTTTAGAGATATCAAATTTTCTTTCGTATGACTTGATTTAATTTCTTCTCCTTGACAATAGGGATCAAATTGTTGATATACTATCAATCAAATTACCTGTTATTGAATTATTTGATAAGAGCAAGACATTCTGTTGATATCACATCTTTATGGTAGAGATCTAACAATCTGTCCTATTGTAGGTAAGGAGTCTAATGCTGTGGACATGGCGATGTCCCTTTTGGAGGGAGGTGCTGACGTAAACTCTCTTGATAACAGCAAGTGTACACCTTTACATTTGGCTGTCAGCTCCAACTCGGGCACATCCAATGCCAGCACAGATTTGGAAGAGCTGTTGATATCTGGAGGAGCTAATGTGTATGCCAAAGACAATGAAAACAGAACGCCACTCCACTATACTTTTGTCAAACAGGGAAGGTAAACAACCTTCATTATCCTGAAAACTCATTCTATTTATTAGTATAAGCTATTTGTTTATTCAGTTTCTAGCTCTTTGTTTACAATAATGTTGACAATTTGTTTACCGGTTTAAATATGTACTTGACTTTAAATAAATAATCTTCAATAAACTGGTGGTTTTGTATTTAGAAGCTAATGAAAAAAATTGCGAACAGAATCTCACTTCCTATCTATGATTTTGTTCAGGCCCTGCGTCAGTTCGTCCCTTGATCCTGTCGAGTTGTGCAGTGTGTTGACCAAAGCCATGAAGGATCAGCAGATTGATGAAGTGGACAAGTTCTGTAGGACACCTTTACACTTGGCAGCAAACAGAGGGGCAACTATTTGTTGTGTTCATCTCCTCCAGGTACACAAACTTAGCGATTGTTTCGTAAAGGTGGATTGCCTTTCTAATAATAGAAAATATTTAGGTCATATGATAAATTCTTATGTTAAAAAATATAAAAAAAAATGGGGATGGCAATTCTTGATAAATGAGTTTCTCTGGATAGCAGTTCATGACTTAACATAGCTATGGAAGATGAGATCGGAAAATTACACTAGAATCTGCTTTAACATAGTCCGAAATAATGATGATACATGTCGACAATGTCAACCTACCAGACCTATTGGAACGGCTGTTTCTTATAAATAAAAAGAATTTAGAATAATTGTAAAATAATGTTGTCAAGCCAATAATGCGTTTTATGTGATAGGAATAAGACTTTATGTCCAATATGTCACAAGAAACCGTTGAAAATTAATCCATAAAAACATGGTTGTAATTACCAGAGGAAAGCAGAGGTCAATCGTCACGACAAAGAGGGCAACACACCCCTGTCTCTGGCTGTCAACAAAGGGCACGACAGGTAAGGAAGGGGATTTCTCAGCAGAATGAATATATAAAGCATTATTTACAATGGAAGATCTTTTTGTAAGAGTTATGTTAGATTCAAATTGTTTGAAATCGCTGTTAGAAGGAATATGTGTCACAATATTATGCATAATGAAACATTGTATGGTACATGTACATCATCAAGGACCAATTTTATTTTTTTTATATTTTGTTCACATATGCAATATAAAACATGTCATTGATATTGATATAGTCACGACATACCACCACAAATCACAACACACAGTGGGGTTGTCCCCTTAATCTAGGAGTGAACCATAACTAGGTCTTGCAGATCCATATTTTTTGCACCATTGAACATGAAAACTTATTTGACTCCTGACATTTTCTGCACAGTTTTACACTTATAGTAAGAAGGTCATCATTACTGAATTATTTTTCACACCTCTTTTACCATGTTACTTGCATCATTGTACCACAAAAGAATTTTCAAGTGTTTCTGTGTCTATTCAACTCCATCATTGGAGACTAGACTGTATTGCCTTTGATCCTGAAGGAAAATGTCATTCAAAGATAGAAGAGAAATAAAAGCGGAGGAGAGATATCCATTTAGATTGCCCAGTGTTATGCCTAGTTTTATATTTGATATTGATTTTGCAGCTGTGCCATCATGTTGATACAGAAGGGTGCCAATGTAGCAGACAAGGTTATCATTGTACCGCCAGAGAAAAAGGAGGAGGAAAAAGACAAAAAACCATCATGGAAATGGAAGCCTGAAAGAGTCATAGAGAAAGATGAGACAGAAACCTACACTATATTCCAGGTTTGTAGAAGGCACAGCTAGCATTAGGTTCCTGATTAAATACATTGATAGTCGATAAAGAAAATTGAGAAGTTTTTGGAAATGATTGTTGTTGTTGATATTTTTGGTTCATAAATCAATAACAAAAATTGTAGATTTGGCTTTCCATTTTAATGGATTTCCTTGTACTTTGTGTTAAGAGCTTTATTTGCAGAATGAAGTGAACATAAAAGCAAATCCAGAAATATAGCTGTTGATTGCTAAGAGGGAGAGGTCATCGATATATTATGTGAAAATGGACCATATCAGAATGGATTGGTTCCTCAAAGTTATTAATAATATTGGAACTCTATAATAGATCTTTATCCTAACAGGAGGCAATCAAGAAGGAGCTCCAGGGAGTTGCACATATGGTCCTGGACAACACTACTCTGGACAGTAAGGTCATAGAGGTGAGTAGGCAATCTGAATTAAATATATTTAAAATGGACACCGGCAGAATGATAAATGAAAGGACAATTTACATACTTTTGTCTTAACAGAGATTGAAGGGTAGAATTGATGCCAATAAGCATGTTTTTAGCCCCAAGTGAGCTGATGCTGTGGTGCAGCATTTGGTATCTGGCTTAACCAAGTCTCTTCAAATGAATTACCTTGTAGTGTTTGAAAGCCTTTGAAAGTCGCATGCTAAGGAATATCAGTTTAACTCTTCCAAGAAAGAATGATGTTTAGCTAGTATGATGTTAACGTTCCTGTCATCAAGGTTTTTAATCCAACTCTGAATGTGTCTTTTTTATGTCATATCACGTATATTCTGTCACATACAAATGCCAAATTTTGTATGCGAGTACTTTTGGGATGGGAGAGTGTAGCAGGCTGATATGGGGTCTTACGCTGAGGGTGGTCAGGTGGCGCAGAGGATAGCACACTCGCATTTCACCAAGAATGTTGGGGTTCAATTCCCTGATAGGACGTGAAGTAGTGTGGGGTCACCTGCCAAACCATGTGGGTTTTCTCTGGGCACTCCAGTTTCCTCCCACATTCAAACCCCCTGCATGCTAACATCTGGGCCCAGGATAGTGATAAATATAAGTTGATATAAATTGTTTCATAATTGTTGTATATTAGATATATTTTTTTACATAGAACAGGTTTATGGTCTTTTGTTTATTTTTGATACTGAAAAGTTTGTCTGAGGTGGAGCTATGGATTGCTTATAATACTTATGTATTGCTTAATTAAATTTGACATTGGTCCACGTTGAAGGATACAGATGTAAAATGTATTTGGCAACAATAGTGTAACATGTTATACAGGCCCAATGGGCCATTTGTTCTGATTTGTCAAAAAACATGATTTCTGATCACTTTCTTCTTTAGGCTGCTTTGCGTGTGAACAGATATCATGTAGCCCTGAGGCTCCTGAAGAGGATCAATACCTTTAGCAGTCTCCAAATCACTAATGCTAGTCGCCAAAACCTGCTTCATGTCCTGGCGCTGGATACAGAACCTAGAACACAAGTAGATTTGCAGTTGAAGGTAGGTATATTTCATGATTTATGATAATTCTCAGAAATTTTGTGAAGGAAGTGTTTTATTCAGAAACTTAATAAAAAATATTGTGATGTTTAAATAAAATTCTGTTATACAGCATTAATTTCATTATGAACTGCTCAAACTGACACAGAAATGGATTCTTTAAACTTTGAAAATGTGTTAGGTACTAAAACAAGGTTGCATTGACCTATATTTTCTGCTTCACTTAGCAAAATTTCATGTGCATGTTAATTTCATTTTCAGGTTGCCAAAATGTTGGTTGAGAAAGGTGTTTCTGTCTCTGCAACAGACGATTATGGTTGCACTCCTCTTCATTATGCTTGCTTGAAACACCAAGCCTTCAGCCTTGGGGAGTTCCTCATGGGTATGTATTACAGGCTTTCTAGTGTGTTTCAAGTCTTGCAATGATTGTAAATTAATTGTGAAGGTGCACATGAACATTTGGCTTTTCAGTAGTAACAAATTTGTGTGTAACGTATAAATTCTTAGGGGAAAAAAACTAATGCTATCCCTCTACCCATTGTCTGTCATTCTTTGCAAATGTTTTAATTTACATGTTAATGTTTTTCATCAGTTTTGTTGCGTCTTCCATACTCTAACTAGTTTTGAGAAAGTTTAGGATGTTGTTTGCTGAGAATTCTTCAATTATTGTAGACAAAGAAGGGAGATTTCATGTCATGAATTGTCTTCATGGTTCGTCAGCTTAGCATATTAAAGTATTTTTGTTGTCAACTTTTGATTTATTTCTAATAAGTTGTTGCATAATCAACAATTTTTACAGAGCAAGACAAGACATTAGATCTCGGCAAGAAAGACAAGTTTGGACGATCAGTCTTAGGAGCTTTTTTCTGGAACCAGCATGTTATAACCGAGTCTGCTGAAGGGAGCACGTAAGTACAGTTCTCATAGTCTTCAACAACAATACACATTCATATTGGCATGTGTCAAGCTGAGGTTCATTTCAAATTTGATGCTTTTATGATTATAATGCATTTGTAGTGGAACTGGACAGGGTTGGTCATTGGCGATTAGGTAGCTCAATTGGTAGAGCTTCCGTCTAGAATTTGGAGACTTGAATCCTGGTCTGGCCGTGCATTTCTCATTCTCCTGTTACAGTGGTGTCTGTAACCAACCCTTGTTTCAAGCATTGGATGCATGCTCGGCAAGGAGATACTCAAACCTGGGTTGTAGTTGGTGATTTCTTGGGTACAAGGCTTAGAAAACAAAGAGGGAGGAATGAGGCAGAATTTGACTGGGTTGTCAGAAATCTTGCTGGCAACCAGGTAGCTCAAATTGTAGAGCGTCTGTCTATTCTGTTACACATATTTGACTTCTGATTGGTTTATTAGTTGCAGTGTAATAACTCTCCTAAAAAAATGACTCAATTTTAACCAAGTTCAGTGTGCATATTCCTGTGACGGAGTTTGCCAGCCTCCACAATTCACACATCCAACATCAGTAGAAAGCCAGAAAGTTTCTCGCATGTCTGCTGAGGCTTCTCCTTCCCATTAAACTCTACACTGTGAACAGTATGTATATACTGAACCACAATAATGAACAATAGATCAACATGTCCTACAAGCTGGAATATTAATTTACTCCTTTGATGCAGCCATTGGATATAATCTCACTTTTTACCTCACTTCAATCAAAGGCTTATTTGAACTCTCGTTGTAGTGATCATCCTTTATACACAAAGTATCGTTCATAAATATGTGAATGGAAAATTTCAAAAAAAATTGATCACAACCTCAATCTTAGAAATCTATTTCAGATTGAAACTCCAGTTCTATTTGGTCAAATTTGTGGTAAACACTAGAAATGACTGGTAAACTTTAACTATTTTTGTGGTTTAATTTGAAATCACAGATGGCCACCATGGTTGTCATCTTAAAAAAATTAGTTTTAAATTTGATAGGTTTTGGTTTGTTCTGAATATACAAGAATGGTAACATTGCTGCCATTTTGTCAGGGGAACATGCCTCTCGTTTAATATTCACTGATGGGAATGGATTATAACTGAATTGAATTGATGTTGGATATGCTTTTTTAAGCTCTGAATAAATAGTTCAAACATTAAAAATGCACTTTAATACATATGGTAACTTAATTTGTTTATTGAATTTAAATACATTTAAAATATAATGTGATTTATAGTCAAGTGGTTTCTGTACTTAGTTTGTACCATTATCATTCATTTCAGAAAATGGTTGAAAATGTTCTTGTCAAAGGGCGGTAACTTCAACATACTGTACGACTACCCGACGTCAGACGTACCTACATTTGATGTAATCCAGAATGTTGTTCCAGACTACTTCACTACTGCCAGTGAGAGGAGAATTTCACCAGTCATCTTTTCAATACACTTTGCTGATTTTGGAATGGTGAAGTTCCTGCTTGATCATGGTGCATCACCCAACTTCCCTGATAGTGAGGGTGTTACTCCGCTTATGCATGCTGTTAGATCGGTAAGCAATGCTTGGCCTGCAAAGTGGAGTATTTAATCCATTGTATAGTGTTGTTTTGTTATGGGGTCATCAAAAATATTCAGAAATAAAAAATAACTTGTGATAAAACACAAATCTGCTTTGAAGTGAAGAGAGTATAGAACTTACTTCTTAAATTGTGGACTGGAATATTGGTAAGTAAATGTTAAAAGTTTGTGTCAAATTCAATGCTATTTCCTTATCTTTTACATTGTTTTATATAGTGGCATGACATGCATTTTGAGGTTTGCAAACAGATATCACAGTCATGCAAGTTTTACCAAATTTATTTTTTACCTTAAATTTCAAAACTATGGACGCCCTTGTCATGAGATTATTATTTGATACCTCTAGCAATATACATGATTCTGGTAGTGGTTTGATATGACTTACACTTGGTAAACACACATTGAATGAAATTATGCAATTTCACCTTTTCAGAATGATCTTTCCCTGGTCAAATTATTACTCAATTACTCGTTCGAGTCTGATGACACCACATCCAAAAAACCAGCCCTGGTAAAGAAGGCTTCTAGGCAGGTGTTTACAATCAAAACCTTTAACTCATTGACCAGCGTGCCTGAGGAGAATGACCAGGAGGATGAGGATGAGGAAGATGGCGGAGACAACGAGGATGAAGAAGAGTGTGAAGAAGAGGAACAGGATGCAGGTATGAGCATAAGGACTATTGCTTTTTGTTCAGTATTGTGAAGGGTCCTTTTTATCTGGTTATAAGTTCTGATTTTGAAACGGGCTATAGTTCAGTAGCAGGAACAAATACATTTCAAAATGTTGACATTACTGCCAACCTTTCCCGTCTTCACAATGTCATTTAAGGTGCAGTTGCATTTTACAAAGAAATGAAATTTTTGATCCTGAAATGGTTTCGGGTGAAAGAATGAAGGATGGTTGTGTTGACTATGAAGGAGAATCTTTGCTTGTGTGTTGTCCACAGGTGTAATGCATACTACCTTTGGGTACATACAATATCAGTTTTAACGTATGTCCTAACAATCAGCAAGTAATGTTACTGTTGCAGTGGTTAATTTTCCTTTGTATGATTTTGCCCAAAATACCTAGGTGTGTAATTTCAAATCATAAGCACATATGAAAGTCTTGCAGCATAAATTTCATATGTTTATTTTGGCCAGTTGTTTTACTGAGAAGGGGTTTGTTTCCCAATTGTCTTGTTTGTTTGGATCTTTGTGTAAAGAATTCTCCCTTTCATCATTACGATGACCCCCCAACCCCTCAAAAATGGGAAACGAGGAGCTGCCATACCTTGTTCTGCAATTAACTTGTACATGATTTATGACTTGGTGACAATTCTGAGCATTGAACTTTCATTCTTTATCCTTTGAATGATGGATTTGGGTTATAACAAATTTCACTGTAAAGAGAGTTTAATATTATCACATAGCTAATCACATGTTATCAACGCACCAATGTTTGAAATATGTTAAACATACTTTTCCTGTTTGTACAGGTGATGAAGGGGATCAGGAAGATGAGGATGACAATAATGACCAAGAGGATGATGACGATGACCATGACACAGATATAGTTGATTGGGATGAGGATGGTGAAGATGATTCCCCGGAACAGCTCCCGACACTCACACGCATGGGATCTAAAAAAGTCTCTTTAATTAGACAAGGCAGCAGTGTTAATAAAGGTATAGTTTTGATAGAATGTTTTATGTCTAAAAGTGATTATGGATGGGCCCATGTTGTGGCTAATTTATATTTTTCACAAATGTTGATTATAACTTGTTAGTTAGGGCCCGGCATTCCATGCGGATAGTCTGCAGTAATCACAGTGCCTGTCCATATCAACATTTGATATTTAGGAGTTTAGTTCTTTGTTTTCAAACAAAGGCCAAACTCTGAATATACAATGATACACCACATATTAGGAGTTGGAATGAACTTCCACACATTTTCGTTTCTGAAGATTTTCTCAGAATCCTGAAGTAAAATATTTCTAAAATTTAACATGGTGATACACTGTAGATATGCAACAGAAGTAGGAAAGTTTCAGGATCAAAGTCACTTTTGCTGAAAGTGGAAAATGGACAGCTTAACAGATGCGAAAAAAAATAGGACAGGAGTGATATGGTTTTTCATTTTGATCGTTAATGGCACTTAACTGCCCACATTTAAGAACGCCATATTAACCAGATCTAGAAATCCAAGATGGCCACAGTATATTGCTTCTGATTAGCCAAGACATGTATGGCTATACCACTCATTTCCTTTTTTGTGGTAATTGGTACGTAGAAGTTCAGGATAGTCTACATGGTGAATAAGAACATACCCCAATTCCATGAAACAAGATTGCTGCCATGGCTTCTGAGACTTTTGGGTAATAATTTCTGTTATGTTGGTCTGATGTTATTCATTCTAGGTGGTAATTATTATTTAAATGCTTTAGTACCAATGAGATGAAATCCAAAACAATGGCTTTGTCTTCTGTTTGGCTGTTATGGTGGGCATGCAGTCAGGCACAAGGTGGGGCTCTTGCCAACCTATTAAGGTTCTAGTTCCTAGTGACACAATCACAAACAATAAACCAATTTACCAAAACCGATGTTGGCAATGAATTTCAAATTAACTTGTAAAAAAAATTGTTACTTTGAGTTTGCCATAAGCTGTATTTAAATCTATTTTTGCAGAGGAATTCCCCACCGTAGAAAAGACTAGTCCTGTAGATTTGAATGCAACAGATCGTCAGGGGTGGACAGTGATCCATCATCTTGTGTGCCCATTGGACTATGGTACCTATGATGCAGAGGAAATTCTATATGTGTTATGGAAGGCTGGTGCTGATGTGTTAAAGAAGGACAATGCAGGGTTATCCCCCCTACAACATTCATTAATACATTGTGCTTCAAAACTTTCTAAACGTCTGCAGATGATAGCTGCTGTGGAGGAAAGAAAGATGGTAAGTTTGACACAGGAAGCTTAGGAAAGCTTTGAGTACAAGTTCAAAATCTTCAACAGTGTCAGTTACATAAAAATGTTTTAATGATAAAAAGTAAACGCTTGATAATGAGATGCTTGTGCCCAACAGTAATAACCAGTGTCTGTCCATTTACACTTTCATTTCTGGAGATTAACTCAGAATGCAAATGTCTAAATTTTGTAAGGTATGTTTTTGCAAATGTCTAAATTTTGTAAGGTATGTTTTGGTTATTATCCGTAAATTGTTCTCACAGAAGCATGGCTTATTTTTACTGGTCATGAGTGCTTATCTTGGACTTGGATCAGTCATTCTTTGAGAGAGTTTTTTTGGTGATCATTATTGATAAGTGTCCACACATGTGCTGATTCTGTTACAGTCTAGCAAGGTTAGATACACAACAGGAACCATGCTGACCTGTCAAAGTTCTAGTTGCTATGAATTTATTTTGTTAAGTATTCACTTTTCTTTATCTTACAAAAATAAACAATTGGAAATAATGAAAATGCAACTGTGATTCTGTCAGTGTTGATAAAGAATGGAACCATTCATTGCAGGAGAAGCCTACACTAGCAACGCAAGATGTTAGGGATAGTCTCCTGTCAGGGGAAACTACTGTTAATTATCAGACAGATGCTGAAGAAATGCTCAAAACATCGGCCAGCCAGACTGCTCAGTCAATGGAGGTGTCAAAGGTCAAAGGAGATGACAGTGATGATGACTTTAACAATGATGAGGAAGAGGATTTAATTGCAAAACCTGATCCCAATTGTCAAATGAAAGATATAGGGTATGTACAGAGGTGTAAAATCTGAAGTAAAATCTAGAATAGTTTAAGAAATTTGCCTGATAAAAAGTGTACATCTTTTTTGGACAACTGGTTTGAAGACAAAAATAATAATGGTTATCTTATGAAATAAATTTACATGAATTTTAACCAAACATCTTTTTCCTGAAATGAAGTAGTTTAGTTTGCCTTAGAACCATTTGCTTTCTTTATTTCAACAAATATTTAGAAAAAGGATGGGCTAAACTTAAACTGATTCTGCATTGTAAAATCTACTGATTACTGTTTTACAAGGGCAACGTGAACAGAAAGTTGTTAAGTCTGTTGTTTGTTATTACAGGGAATTAGCAATGGACGACTCCCAAAGTATCCCCTATGATGTTCTCTTGTCCAAGGTAGATGTCTCCTGTGGTACCTGGGGCATGTTCAACTTTTATAAGATGCAGGTGAGAACACTACCCTCCTTTCTGGTCTTATAGGTTACTTTAAATCACATTGTAGACAACATTTTATCGCTAATCAATATATATTTGTAATATTTATTGCAGAGGTAACAGTGACTTGGTTTTTCCCTAGGAAATTGAATAATTGGCAAATAGGTTGACAAACTTATACATGTAGGATACAGTCTTATTGCTATCACTAACACCAAGTTACACTGTTGTTGTAGATTTATGTTGGTATGGCTGATAGCTGCAATTCCTTTTTTAATTAATACTTTTCATGTAGGAGATTTACAGTGTCTTAGCCGGATTTATACTTTGCAATTCATTTGTCTTCAGAGGCCAGAATCATTAACTTAAGAGCTATTCCGAAAACTATTGTTAATATTTATTTGCCCAAACATTAATTGAAGAGCTATTCCAAAAATGATTATAAATATTTGTTTTGCTCAATTCCTTTAATTTTCATCAATGTTCATTGGCTTTTTGCCTGTATTCATATTATTTACCTTGTTGACAAAAATCACCATTTACATAAACTTCCAAAAAAACAATTATGTAAGCATTTCAGGAGGAGAAGAGAGAAAGAGGCTGTTCGAGTAGACATTATATCTTGCATAGGTCAAAATGATTGATTATATAAAGATGGATGACCATTACTAGAGATGGCATAAATATGGAAATAACAATTATGTCTTCAGATTGTGTGGCAGAAAGGCGTGGACATTTATGTTCTGTTCACGAGGTGGGGTAGGATAGGAGACCGGGGCCAGTTCCAGCACACACCATTCCAGAAGAAGGCTGAAGCTGTTGCAGAGTTTGGGAAAGTCTTCAGGTCCAAAACTGGGAATTATTGGTCGAATGTCAACTCGTAAGTGGTGGGCTGTTTTGGTGGTTGTAGTTGTGTTTAGGAGTAGCAGTTCTGTTATACTAAAGGTTTTGTGGTTTTCTATATAGTTGTCTTTATATCACAGATAAGAAAGATCACTGTCCTGTCTGAGATATATATATATATATATATATATATATATATATATATANATAGAATAAAAACAATTTTTTCAGATCGTCCGCTATGTATATATATATTCAAAGAATACAATTTTCATGGTGAAGTCCCCAGGGGTAATCTTTAATGAATATATTTTCTGTATTGGAAAGAGTTTTGTTCTTACATGGTACAGCTGTTCTGTTTTTCAATTATTTGTATTTCAAAGCATTATAATGACGAAGATTTCTTCCTCATTGTTAGCGTGTAACCTATTCATTTACTATTAAAACAAGTAAATGTGGATTATGAATTTGGAAAAGTAGGATTAAAATATATTGTTTTACCAGGGTATATTCCAAAAATACTGTATGAGCAATTTTGAAGCATTTGAAGAAGTAGCTACATTAAAATATTTAATGTTTGTACCATGCAGTTACAAATTGCATGGTACTTAACACATATTTATTTGCACTGATTTAGAATACTAATTAATCCTATTTACCCACATTTATTTGTACTTATATAGAACACTTATTCACTTGTCCATACAGGTTTGAAAATCAGCCAAAGAAATACAGACTTGTACCGCGGGAGGACAAGAGACAGAAAGAACGCAAGATTGAGTTCAGTCTCAAGTCTGACATTCCCTCCAAGCTACCTGAACCTGTCCAGCACTTGTTCCAGGAAATGGTGAGTAAGAGGGTTTACTAAATCAACAACAAGAGGACCAATGGGCCTGCATCGCTCACCTGGTATAAATCTCACACTTGTAACCTTAAAAGTGATCTAAAATAAAGCTACAGGAAAAATATCAGTATTTATGATTAAAATTCATTCAAAAGATCCTGTTAATTTTAAAACATTTCACTCCTGTGATTGAAAGTCGAACAAAGTCATTATGTTGAACAAATTTTATAGCCTTTTATCTCAGGATGCAACTTGCAAAGTATCAACATCCTGGGACCCATGGTTATTCAGAAGAGGTCGTTCAAAGATTTTAAACAAATTTGACCCCTGTGACCTTGAATAAAAGTCAAAGTCATTCACTTTAACAAACATAGTAGTCCTTGATCCCAGCATGCTACTGACTAAATATCAACATCCTGAGCCTTTTGGCTATTCATCAGAAGTTGTTTAAAGGTTTTTTAAGACAATTGACCACTGTGACCTTGAATATGGGTGAAGGTCATGCATTTGAACAAACTTGGTAGCCCTTAACCCAAGCATGCTACTGGCCAAATATCATTACCCTGGGCATTTTGGTTATTGAGAAGAAGTTGTTTAAAGTTTTTAACATATTTGACCCATGTGACCTTGAATATGGGTGAAGGTCATTCATTTGAACAACTTTGTAGCCCTTCATATCAGCATGCTACTGGCCAAATATCATCACCCTGGGCATTTTGGTTATTGAGAAGAAGTTGTTTAAATGTTTTTAACATATTTGACCTCAGTGACCTTGAATATGATTTAAAATAATTTATTTGAACAAACTTAGTAGCCCTTCATCTCAGCATGTTACTGGCCAAATATCATCACCTTGGGCCTCTCAGTTATTCAGAAGAAGTTGTTTAAAGGTTTTAAACATATTTGACCCCTGTGACCTTGAATATAAATCAAGGTCATTTATTTGAACAAACTTGGTAGCCCTTCACCCAAGCAAGTTACTGGCCAAATATCATCACTCTAGGCCTCTTGGTTATTCAGAAGAAGTTGTCTAAATGTTTTTAACATATTTGACCCCAGTGACCTTGAATATGATTCAAGGTCATTCGTTTGAACAAACTTGTTCGTTTGAACAAACTAGCCCTTCATCCCAGCATGTAACAGGCTAAATATCATCACCCTAGGCCTCTTGGTTATTCAGAAGTTGTTTAAAGGTTTTAAACATATTTGATCCCTGTGACCTTGAATATAAATCAAGGTCATTCATTTGAACAAACTTGGTAGCCCTTTATTTCAGCATGTTACTGGCCAAATATCATCACCCTAGGCCTTTCGGTTATTCAGAAGAAGTCGTTTAAAGGTTTTAAACATGTTTGACCCCAGTGACCTTGAATATAAATCAAGGTCATTTATTTGAACAAACTTGGTAGCCCTTCATTTCAGCATGTTACTGGCCAACTATCATCACCCTAGGCCTCTTGGTTATTCAGAAGAAGTTGTTTAAAGGTTAAAAACATATTTGACCCCTGTGACCTTGAATATAAGTCAAGGTCATTTATTTAAACAAATTTGGTAGCCCTTCATCCCAGCATGTTACTGGCCAAATATCAACACCCTAGGCCTCTTGGTTATTCAGAAGAAGTTTCTTAAAGATTTTAATGTATTTGACCCCTGTGACCTTGAAAATAGATGAAGGTCATTTATTTGAACAAACTTGGAAGCCCTTCATCCCAGCATGCTTCTGGCAAAATATCATCACCCCAGGCCTTTTGGTTAATGAGAAAAGTTGTTTAAAGTAAAAAGTTGAGACCGGACGGAAGACGAACGGACGACGGACGCCGCACCATGCCATAAGCTCACTTGGCCCTTTGGGCCAGGTGAGCTAAAAAGACGTTTGCTGACCAGTAAACTTGTGGCGATGTGGACATCTTTACGTTGACTAAGTTGCTGCAACATATATATTTCATAGTGTGTCATTATATTTGCAAGTGCATGTTTCCATTCTCATCGAAAGTTTCCACACCATAGAAAGATTATATCTTTATGGCTATTCCTTGAATAGTTGTGTGGAAGGAGTTGGAGATGCTCGAAGTCGAATTGAGTTCAAAGGTAAAATACATTGTCTTGTTGACCTTTTCGTGGAGCATTATCCATCGCTTGTTTATAAAGTCTTAAAAAACTCTTCTCCCATACAATTGTCACAATAGAAATGCAACGGCCAAACCGGGGTTCAAACCTGGGACCATCCAAACTCTTTGACAGACGCTATATCAAATTGAGCAACCTGGTCGCCCGCCATTGACCCAGTCCAGTTTCGCGACACAATTAATGTTGAACTAATTTATTTTGAATGTCTTGATTCCGGATATTGATATTGATACACTGTTGATCCAGGCACTGTTTTTCTCAACAGACAAGTGTAAGCATGATGTTGGCAGCTGTGAACAAGACTGGGGTTTACTCGGATGCGATGCCATTTGGTAAAATAAAAAGAGAAGCTCTCATAGAAGGCAGGAAATTACTGAATCAACTTGGGTAATACTTTTCTTAATGCATTGTGCAGGTTTCCAATGCCTGTTGATTTTAGGTCAGCTTTTCTTAAGACAACTGACTGAATATTAAAATAACTAACTGATACAAGCTAAATCGCTTTATTTTTTTTATAAGAAATATCTTCAGAATTGTTTCAGATTGAAACTACTGTAAATATGTATAGATTCACAAAAGCACAAGAAAATCTCAACTCTAGACATCTAGAAAAAAACCTTGACATTCTCTAAGTAATAGTAGGATTATTCGGTGTATGTCAAGTCCAGAACAAAATGAGGAAAGTCGTAGTTGAGTGGAAGACGCGAGAGGATATTTGTAGGATAAATGTATACTGATGATGTGTTTGTGAAAACAGGGATTTGATCAAAGCTGTGGAAGATCAGCAAAAGTCAAGAATGATGACCGCAGAAGACACACAAACATACCAAAGCAATTGTGAAAAGGTATGCAGTATATCTGCCCTGGCCCTGTATAACAAGATGTTAAATCATTGGTAGAGAAATTTATCACCTTGGCCTACTATAATAAAATGTTGAATCATTAGATTATTTATAGAGTGGTCAATATGAGCTGCCCCCTCTTTTCTTTAGCCACTATAACAAGAATCATTTGTAGAACGGTCACTACAACTCCCCCTCCCATTCCACAAGAATCCTTTGAAGAGTGGTCACTTCAAGGTCTCCCCCCTCCACCTTCCCCTATTTTTCTTTGCTGACTATAAAATGAATCAGTTGTAGATTGGTCACTACGAGCTCCCCCTCCCATTTCTTGACCCACTGTAACAAGAATCATTTATAGAGCGGTCACTGTGAGCTCCCCTCACCATTTCTTTAAAAGTTTTTGCAACAGATCAGAGTTGATGAGGATATAAAGCGTTTACCGTTTAATGTCTTGACGACACCTGAATTAGACTTAATGTTTACCTCGATACCTCGTAAACTTGAAGCCCAATAATAGTCAAACTTCGTATGTTGATGCATCGCGAGAATTAATAACCAATGTATCCAATTAAGGTCATTATTTATATATATATATATATATATTTGCTTATCCCCTTGTATTTTATTAGAGTTTTGTTATGCTGCTTTTCAATCAAGGAGAAACATAGAAACATTATTTAAGTTAATTTTTCAGAATTTTTTAACCTGATCGTCTTTTACAGTAGGATAATTGTGTAAAAATGTAATAAAGTATCTGAAATAACATTGTAAAACAATTTTTTCAATTATTGTCTTGATATTTCAGATCTCAAAAGTGACTAATGAATATTACCATCTGATACCACACCATGGCTTCACATTTGAAAAAATTGCACCAATAAACAGCTACAGATCACTTAAAGAACACACGAGAGTGCTGTCCGATCTGTTGGATCTGGAATGTGCCAGTAAAATGTTGTTGGGAGCTCAGTCAAAATTGTCTCGTAAGTATCAGGAAAAAACAAAGCACCAGGGCTATTCCAGCCCACTTTTCTTCTACACCTTGATACATTTGATATATAATTGTTGGAAACAATTGAAAAATATTAATTACTTTGCACAAACTAGTCAAATATTTTTACATTAGTCAAGGTATGGAAGTGGTCCTACACATTCCAAACTTATCACTACACACTCTTTAAAAATACTTTTTTAGTTTGAAAAGATTTGTTTTCTCTGATAGTATCTGAGTGTTATTTTATTAGAAGAACTTGAAAACCTGCTCATCCTGATATTTGTCGGTTTATGTTGGCAAGGAAAGGATTTATACTTAACAGATACGTTTATTCATTACAGAAATGAACCCACTGGACTACATACACCAGGCTGTTGGGTGTAAGGTAGAGCCCCTCACAGAGGACAGTCCAGAAAGCCAGTACATACTCAAGTACATGTATGGGTCCTGTAAGTTTATATCAACTGATGCATTTGAACATCTGGGTAGGAACCAATGAGTTAGATGTGAAGTTAATAACTTGTTGTGTAATGATCCAAAAGAGGGTTTGTTTTAAAAACTGGAATTAAAAGTTGTTAAAACAGGAATTGATATGTGTAAAAAGCTTTAAACAACAGTAATGATGATGTTATAGGTGAAACTGAAGTTCAGGCAATATACAAGCTGAGCAGACCTGGTGAGGAAGAGCGACTTACTGGTAAAAACTTAGACAACCACACACTGTTGTTCCATGGCAGCTCTACAGCAAACTTCCTCAGCATACTGCACAGGGGGCTCCTGGTGTCTCCTCCTGAGGTCCCCTTCACTGGCAACCTGTTTGGGGAGGTGAGTACTTAGGTTCGATCGCGTATCCTGGTTAAAACGGCTCAAGTGGTGCAGAAATATTCCATGGATAAACAAACACACTTGGACCGAACTGTAGGCAGAGCTAAAAAATGCACAGCTTTGGAGAATAAATTACAATATATGAAAAATAATATGTCCTTCTTTCACACATCCACTAAAGTATCTAAGGTATCCTAAAATCTACATGTGGATCAACCTTCTTTTACAAAGAAATAATGCCAACTAGCAATAATCAGCATTTTAGTTTTGATGAGGCACGTCTGGACCTCTCAATTTACAGGAGCCGAGGTCCTGAGGTCAGCCTTGGTTAAGATCTGTGCCAGTCGTTTTCTTTCATGCTCAACCATTTCAACAGGTTGAACCAGATATGCAAAAGGGGCCTTACTTGGTACTATGGTACAGAACCGAATAAGTGACTATTTGGGTGATCCATACTTACCAAATATAGAATACTTAAAATATCATCTCTAAAAGCATTATCCAAAGAGTACAAACCAGATGACATTCAACAAGTGAAAATGTTACATTTGAAATAAATAAAAGTAGAAATAAATTCTGAATTTTGGTTATCAACCGTCTTTCTGCCTGTCAATATGTAACACAAGAAATACTTTTTGTAAGGTTTATTACAATTGTCAGTGAAGTAAATGTTTTACTTTACAGAGAGTATGATGAAGTAAAATTTTACAGAGAGTATAAAATAATATTTTATTTTACAGGGAGTATACTTTGCTGATACCTTTTGCAAGAGCAAGGACTATTGTTACAACAGTAACCCTGAATCAAGAACTAAATTTTGCTTAGTGTGTGAGGTAGGTTGAGCAGATCTCTGACTCTGCCACTGATTAATTCATAACCAGTTCAAAGACTTAAACAAATTTGTGTATTGAAAATACTTAAATGAAATACCAGTTTAACAGTATGTGAGTGAACTGATATGGAAAAAATATCATGTCTGTAACAAAGTTGTATCTCCAAACCCATAATGTGAATGTTTTTCTGTATCCGGACGGTTTACATACTTTGATCCTGTTGATGGCCTTTTTTCAAATACTAAAAATATATATTTATAAACAAATGAACCTTGATGTGTCAATATTTTGTTCATCCTTGGCTCATTAAAGGCCTCAAACTTTGGTGTATTTCTCTGAAGTATGTATTTGTCATGAGGGTAACATCCTAGTTTATCTTTAATGATTTACTCTTTAATGATTGACCCTCCCAGGGTCATATTTCTCTGTCATGAGTGGAGCATACCATGATTTGAAATAATATCCTTTATCAAGTGCTGTTCTTGAAAAATGTTTCATGGATCAATTGACAAGATTTGTATGTGAACACCTCTTTGGACTTGCAAAATGGTGTCTCCTTTACCTTACTACATGGACAGCTAAACTTATGACCCTTTGCTCGTTTTTGTACTATTTCATTTACTCTGTCACCTACAATTGCCAAATTGTGGATGTATTGAAATCAGGTTATGTGTCCCACAATGGGACCATTAAGCTCAATAGTTGTTTTTTTCAATGCTATTCTGGTATCGAGGGTACTATGAATCGCTTGCAATGCTTTGCCTCATTCTTGTAGGTTTAGAAATAAGGAATCTAAGATGGCCATCCATTTCTCAAGTTGATTGGGAGCATTTCAACTTTTTCAGTTAAAAAACCCCACCAGATGACAGGCATGATAGGCCTCTTGTTTTCACTTTGGTGAAACCACAGATATACCATTACCTTGAAGTACCTGATTAAACAATCTGAAGGCTGAATATTTAAAGTGTATGCCTCTATCCTGTAGGTTGCCCTAGGTAAGGTACAAGAAAATCCTGCACATTTAGCTTCCTCCACCCAAGACCTGAGAGACACCGACTTCAACAGCAAGTGCATCCTTGGAGGGCAAGGTCCCAACCCAGCCTTCAACATAGCTCTGCCATATGGTAAGGTTAACTTTTGTCTGCAAAAGTAGTATTTATGGAAAATATAGTTGTTTTAGTTTACACAAGTATATTTTTTTTTAAGATATATGTGACTTTATACTTCATGAATTGTACATTAGGCAGGGACAGGATATATTCATATACATAAAATTGAGTTTTGGCTATGATCAACATTATGAGGTTATAGTGTACCTCACCTGCCTGAAGGGCCTGAAGGGCAAGTGAGCTTATGCTGTGGAATGGCATCCGTTTTTAAATATTTTTTATTATCGCTACTTGAGGAATCTTTCTCCTATTTTATATTTATACTCCCCTTGGTCCCCTTGTTAAATATACCCCTGGCCCAGACGAGAATTCATCTCTCAGTGACAACACTTCTAATTATGTAAGAATCTAATTTTGTAATAATTTCAATTTCTTTTATGGGATTGGGAGTGTCCATTCCTCCACACTTTGGTTTTGTGCAAGATAACTTGCTTCAATATTATTCATTTTTGATGAAACTTGTTATGCATTTACTCTAGACAAAGACAGGTTAATTTCGAACTTGAGCAAAATCTGCACACAATTAATTACCAGGTAGCATACTGCTCTGATTGGTCAATTTCCAAACTTCAGTTTCTGCAAGATAACTTGCTTCGATATCATTCAATTTTTAATGAAACATGGTGTGCATGTACATTATATGAAGGCTGAGGCTAAGTTCAAAATGGAGCAAAATCAGTGTAAAATTAATTAGTGTACTGTGCTCTGATTGATCAATTTCCAAACTTTGGTTTCAGCAAGATAACTTGCTTTAATATTGTTCAATTTTGCTGAAACTTGGTATGCATATACATTGTACAAAGGCTGAGGCTAAGTTGGAAGGTCAGCAAAATCCGCAGATAATTAATTAGCATACTGTGCTCTGAATGGTTGACAGTTTTTGCACAATAACTTCATCAAATATGACTGGATTCTGATTTCTAATAGCGAAATCTGCCACAAATTAATGAACAATAGGAATATATTTGGTGTTAATGGTGCAAGATGAATCAATAATTGGCAAAAAGGGGCAATTTCTATTTACATGGTTTGAAATATATAAAAGGGAGACAATTTTAATGAAAAATTTATGAATTTTATATGAAACATTAACATATTTTCATACATTCAAGATACAATAATGCATCAGTAGGATTTGATGTGTGACAGTTTGGCATGGGACAGGCATATATTGTTCCGCTCTACAGCACTCTTGATGCATGTAGTTATTATTTTTATGCAAAAGCATTTACCAATGTGGCTAATAACATATGACATTAGGAGGTTTAATGTGCAAGATTCTCGTTTAGTATTTCCAACATGATACTAGGTAATAGTACCTCTAAGATCTTTTATAGATCTGATAAAGATCCTTTGATAGTGGATGCTAGGACCTCTTGTTTTCAATAAGAAAAAAATCGAACTTAGAATTATTGATATGTGATTGCAGTTTGATACTATGAACATTGAGATCTTGACTCAGGCTCAGAGTGGGGCCCAAAAAGGGTCAAATTGGATAAAATTTCAAGAATCTACTTCTTCCGACCCAGATTTGTTGGTAAATAAAGAAATCATTTTTAATGGGGGACTATTGATTGCCTTGTTATATCAGTTTTATATACAATAGATGTTAGTCACTCCCTATTTTATTTCGTCAAGGAACCCACTGTCAAAAAGGCAGGTACTCGGATCAGATGATACTATTTGTTTTTCTCACATCACAACAACAAATACCAGTTGTATTATAACTCAAGTGATCATTAAGGCCCATTGGCCTCTTTTCCATTGTTTCCAAGTAATTTTTCCAAAACATTGCTCCCATTGTTTTGCAGGACCTACAATCCCACTTGGCATGCAGTGTGCTACACATTCATCAAAGGGCCATCATATGAGCTTCAGTGAATATGTCATTCAAGACCCTTCACAAATCTGCCTGCGCTACCTGATAGAGTTCACAAAGGCTAAGCCGAGGTCCGGCACATAAAACCCCCTCAGTTGTACATACACAGAGGTTCATCTCACGTCGGCTTTACACAGAAAGGAGAGGCATGAACTGCATCCGACATCGGCATCACAGAAACAGGAGAGGCAACAGAGATATAAGTGGAGCTACACACGAAACTGGCTCGCTCAGTACATCTCCTCTTCATTAAAAAATGTGTACTTAATCTGATGGCTTGTTATTGGAATATTCAGTGCTAAATCATGTTTCAACTCCTTACAGACAATTGAGTGTTACCTGTTGTTTAAGGAAGGGCCATTTCAGAAATCAATGTGTTTGGGTGAATGTGCAGGGAGGCACTTTTAATGCGACCCTCCAACACACGCAATCATGTTTTCTTGGACCTCGTAATACAAATGTTAACAATTATTTCAGACCCAAACAACAATATATTATCGATAATAAGTGCCTCCCTGTCCCACCATTAATTCATATCTGGAATAGTCATTAAAAATATGTCAGTGAGGGTTCGATTCCAGAGAAGAAAATACAATAAAATATGTTTATTACCAGAGCCTGTCTACAGTACTTTATCTATAGGTTTAAAAGTTTTCAATTATTTTGGAATGAAATAAACATGTTTTAATGTATGCAGATAACTGTGTATGAATTCCCAGATGTGCAGCTTCAACATATTGTTGGTATTACTGAAGAATGAATTGAATCATGTATGTAGGTTGTAAAGTGTTTGTGAGGGTCCAAAGCCATATTATACTTGTTTCTATTGGCAGATGTTCAATGAATGTGTTGATGGATGATGCAAACAAGAATCAAATTCAATGTTACATATATATACACTTATACATACTTTAATATTATAAGAAATATTTATTGTCAATTAAAACTAAAACGAGGAAAAGATTTCTTTTCTTCCTTGATATTTTCAAAAATGTTGATCACAGGAAAAGTATATACATGTATTTGAATCGGACTCCCAGAGAAAACCCCTCAAAGAAGATTTTTTTTATACATTTTCAGTTTACAACTACATGTAGTTAACAAGACTTTCAAAAACGTTTAAAATGAGCCTCATTACTTCAATAGTGGAAATACTAACAAAGATCCTAGCATGAGGTACACGTTTACTGTGTGGATCGTTGTATCATTTAAATTTTCTAAGTTACATCTTTATGGCTTGAAGGCTTATATGTATTAACTATACTCTATCTCTTACATTTATGTTGTTCAAATTGCATGAACTAGTAGATTTCTCTTTGAATATATAGCTTTTTGAAATTAAAGTTTTCTAAAAACTTTGAATGTAATTTTATTCCTATGATATACTTGTGTAATGTTATAAGTTTAAAAGCATAACTTTTCTAACAGATGAGTTTGCATGTTGTGATTGTTGTATTGTCAAATATCTGTTGACTAGATTATTTTTAATGCAATAGATGTCTTCTACTGTGTATACAATGGGTTTGCTGGCTAGACCATTTTCTTGTAAAACAAATGTATTCTATTTTTTACAACTTTATATGATTATTTCTAAGGTTGCAATCAATTAACAGAAGACACTTTTTTTCAAACTCTGTGCAATTTCTTTTGTTATATGCCTACAAGATGTGTAAGATCTTTCTGGAAGGGTCTTTGAGAGTATTTTGTGCACAGTTTAGTGCTTCAATTTTGAAAAATAACTGAATATTTGTGTTTAACGAAAACAGTATTCAAAGTTTTAAATGATTAAATTAATTTCTTAAGTTCAGTAGCTACCATTATATTTTGTATGTGTAGATCAATTTGGAATTTTCAAGAAATGATCTCACATCGCAAATTTTAAGGGCACCTGGTAGTTCATGAAGGTAAACAGATTACGTTTAACCTGTCTAACCTGTCTAAGCCACCACCACCACAACCACAAACGGTAGTAAAAAATAAAAATAAAACAATCATTTAGATCCATAAATATCTATGGTAATTTTATTACCAGTGTTGACAGTGAGTTTGAAGCATATTACTTGTTCCACAAGTGCTGTGTAAACTTGGTAGGAGTTAGGTCTCTGAGTGCTGTGAGAACTTGTTAGATCTAGATATATTTGTATGAGATGAAGATTTAATGAAAAAGATGTCGTAGTAGATTTTTATGAATGTTGATGTCTAGATTACATAAAGTAAGGGATGATACCAATTTGAATTGAAGTTATTGTTTGGTTGCAGATTTGTATGCTTATTTTGAGTAAGTTATGACACTGATATACTAGTACCTATACAAAAACGGTCTGAATTTGCTCTCTCTCGTGCTCTCTTTCTAGATGTATTAAGTTTTATATTAACGTGGACTTTATTGGATTAGGCAGTAGGGATAAGTTTCATCATCAGATACATTTTTGAGAAGGCTTTTTAATTCTAAAATAAGTATTTTTCATATATTATTTGAAATGTCAAGCACAAAAACCAAAATGATGCCTGTGTGTATAATATATGAAAAAATGGAGTGACCCTGTTACCCAGGTTTTAACATAGATATATTGACATTATATATGCACATTTCGAAATGTGCCTATCATATCACTCAGTATTTCTGTAAAAGGAAAACTTTGAGGAGTTAGAACATATAAAAGGGAAATCCTTGTTAAGTAACATACCTGGTCATGTCTTGGGATGTTTCGAGGGAAAACAATTATTTCATAAAAGAATGCATAATGTTGTTTATATACCTGAAATAGTAATAGTGCTACGTATGTGTACTGTACATGTGAACTCTACATAATTCACCAATTCTAGGGTGGCTATTAGTTTTTGAAAAATCATTTTGTAATTTTACTGTTAAATTTATCAAAAATCATTAAAACAAGGGTATTGTATGATATGCAACATGCGACCATATTACTGTAAGTTCCAGATCTTAAGATTCATGTGGTTGTTTAAATTAATTAAATTTGTTGCACTGTCATTAAAGATGATATTTAGAAACATGATTGTTGACATTTAGGTATTATTAACAAAATCCAAGAATTACTATAGATGCAAATGATCACAAGGATGTTTGATTCAATTGACTTTGAGCATGTAGCAATTATAAACATGAAGTTTGTACTCAGGAACAGAAGTTAAAAATAGATCATGCTCATGTCTCATGTGACCTTGACCTTGTAGATAACATACATTGTCATGCCAACTCGCCAAGCTGTAGATAATGCCTAAACAATAGATCTTTGTTTGAATGTTATTTGTAGTAGCTTTAGCTTCTGTGGTTAAGCAATATTTTACAGCGATTGCTTTGGTATATGTAAACTGGTATGTGTAAACTGCAGTGTTTCATGCTCATATTCTCTTCATGTTTTAAGGTATTTGTTCAATTTTGCCTTTTATGCCATTAAAATTTTCAATACAAAGACTGGCAAAAAATGAAAAATAAACAATAATACCCGACGGTGAAATGCAAAATGTAATAGTTCTCATGGCTTTCAAATTTATGTAACTTCATATCAAAGGACAACATGCTCTAGATCTAGTCCATCACATTTCCTGTCAGTTTCAGTTGATTGCCATATCTACCAGGTATTTACTCTGGAAACATTTAGCATACACATTACAAGTAGTAGGATCTGTAACTGAACATTGTAAGTAAGAATCTATCAGATATGTATTTTGTAATAATGGTATAATTAAACTTGTCACTATACTACAGTTGTGTTGTCATGTTTTTAGCTCACCTGGCCCGAAGGACCAAGTGAGCTTATGGCATGGTGCGGTGTCCGTCCGTCGTCCGTCTGGCGTCAACTTTTTACTTTAAACAACTTCTTATCAATAACCAAGAGGCACAGGCTGATGAGATTTGGCCAGTAGCATGCTGGGATGAAGGGCTACCAAGTTTGTTCAAATGAATGACCTTGACCCACTTTCAAGGTGACAGGGGTCAAATGTCTTAAAATCTTCAAACAACTTTTACTCAATAACCAAGAGGCCAAGGGTACTGATATTGGGCCTGTAGCATACTGGGATGAAGGGCTACCAAGTTTGTCCAAATGAATGACCTTGACAAACTTTCAAGTGACCTATTCTGATCACTTTCTGTCCGTCATGCATAAACTTTTACATTTTCAACTTCTTCTCAAGAACCAGTGGATGGAATTTTTAAAACTTGGTCAGAATTCAAAAATCTTCCTCTCCAGACTCAGAGGTACTACAGTCATTTTCTCTGCAGTGTGTAAATTTCAGGACCCCCGAGCTATCCGTTCAAGTTTACTATAGTTTATATAGGGAAACAACACTTTTGGGTATATTTTGACAATTTTCTGTAGGAAATTATTCTTACTTGGTGAGAATTATCTTTGGAGGAAGATGGTTTTAAATTGTAAAATTGGGATTCCTACCCCAACCCTAGGGGCCAGGGCGGGGCCCAAAGGGAAAATTAACAAATATTTCAAAAATCTTCTTCTAGAAAGATCATCAGCTTTATTAAAATTGTCAATTTCAGGACCCCTGAGCCATCTATTCCCCCTTGGGGAGGGGGTAAATTTTACTTTAGTTTATATAGGGAAATAATACTTTTGGGTATATTTTATCCATTTTCAGCAGAAAATTATTCAAGCTTGGTTAGAATCATCTTTTGGTGGATGAGGGTATTACGTTGTAAAATTGGAATTCATGCGCCATCATCCCCAGGGGCTAGTGCAGGGCCCCAAACGGAACATTTACCAATATTTTAAAATTCTTATCCTTTGATGACATGACAAGTATTGTATTTCACTTAGTTTACATGCTGATTTCCTCATCACATCTAAATAAAGCTACCAGTACCTATGCTATAACTCAGGTGACCGCTAAGGCCCTTGGGCCTCTTGTTTTTGAGACTGATCTGAAAAACAGGATTACTGTCAAGTAGCCATCTGTAACTTTGACATTCGAAATTTGTTTTTATTTCTTAGAAGGAATCTTTCGAAGTTCTTATCCAGGCTCTAATTGACTTAATTTTTAGGTCACCTGAGACAAAGTCTAAAGTGACCTATTGCGATCGCCTTTTGTCCGTCGTCGTCCTTCGTGCGTCTGTAAACAATTTACATTTTCGACTTCTTCTCCAAAACCCCTGAACCAATTTCAATGAAATTTTGCAGGGACCTTCCATGGACAAACGCCAACAAAACTATTGGCCGGTTTAGTCCCAAGCCCCCAGGGGCCTGAGGGGCGGGGCCAAAAAGGGTCAAATTGACTAAAATTTCAAAAATCTTCCTTCTCCAAAACCCAGATATGGTAGAATCAAATACTCTTCATAGATGGAAGGGTCTTAAGGTGCTTTACCAAAATTGTGAATTTCTTGACCCTGGGGTCTCACGTTTTCCCCTGGGGAGGGGGTAAACTTTACTATAGTTTATATAGGGAAATCACATTTTGGACCAACATTTGTTTAATTTCCATTGGAAGTAATTCAATTTGGGTTCACATTATCAGTATTAGGTAGTAGTTTGATAATAAGCACATATGTACAATTTGACTGCCAAAAAACAAAATTCTCTCTAGGTCTATTTATTACTCATTAATTGATATGCTAGTAAATAGGTCAAATAACAACCTCACTTTCAGAACAGAGTCAAATGCAGCTGTATGGAGTTTTGATGAGAAGTTACCACAAGATGTATAAACTGTTGACATGACTCGGTCCAAAAATGAAAAGATCAAATTAACACAGGGCTAATGAAGATCTTACCATGGTTGGCACAAAGATCCCCCTGGGACTGTGTTTGATTGTATTCTCTATAAAGTAGTAACAAGGAGTCTACTGAACAATTTTTGTATACTTTATTATAGCAGCACATATCTATTACATAAATCCTCACTAAGGATACTTGCAATGACAAACATCTACAACCATACATCATGAACATTAATTAAATATTTTACATAAATCATGAACAATTTCAAATAATCCGATCATACATCAATATTGAATTAAGATAATGCATTGTTCATTAACTTTGATATATAGGAATGTTGCATTGAGCTACATTTAAGAATATTATATAACTCATTTCAACCATGATACAGATAAATTCTTATGAACATTTTAAGGATTGTCCATATATAGTCATGATAATGCTTATTTGAAAAGGAAGTGCCTCTGTTTTGAATCAAAGCCCTTACTACCATACATGTTGACTCGGACTGTCTCTGTCTGATTTCCTTCAGTTATTGCTTACTTATATTTATGATGTCAAAATGTAAATGTGTTTGATATATGTAATGGCACAATAATCAGCTACAAATCTCATTGCTCCATACTGCTATGGTTGCAATGTAAAGATAGCCTTCCGCACTACATCTATTGTAATACATCATTTGTGTGAAGGTAAAATTCAACTGGTTTTTACATTTATCAAACATGCACATACTTCATGAATCAATCAAATGGTTTGACAACATGAAAAAAGACCAGCTTTTGATCAGAAATAATGATACGAAGACTTTGACATATTACACTAAAACCGACCCAATCAATCCTTGTCATCTTGTGATGTATCTGTCTTTGAGTTGGTTTTTAAGTGTTTGAACATCCCACAATCAAAGAAGCGACACCCTCCAACCAAAATCAAGGCTACAATAAAAATATTAAAACATCAAAAAAATATAAACGCTTTGTTTATTCCTAAAATAATATATTATAATTTGCAAGCTTTTTTTAAGTTCTGAGTTTTTTTCTCATTTTCATGCAAGCATAGCCTAAAACAAGCCTCAAATGAAGGTTTTGATTACCTGCTTTGGTCAAGACAATAAAGTAGATTATGATACATGTAATGGGTCTCATTGATGATATTCTTTATCCATTGAAGTTGTAATTTCTTTCAAATATGACACAAAACAGCTGTTTAATAGACCTATTTCTTAATTACCTGATGACATTCCTAAACACAGGATATTCCAAAGCATTCCTTCGTATCCCTTGTAAACGCCAATCTTCTGTCTGTGGTGATACAGAATATATCCTGCTGCGCCAACAGGTACTGCTGTCCCAATAAGTTTACACTCTAAACAATCCTGATCAGGCACAGCCTTGGAGTTCAAACTGGTATTGTCAGCTATCCGACTCTGACAGTCTTGAGAGTAATCTTCTCTCGTTGTCCCTAACATTCGTCGAATTCGGTCCATTTAGGTTCTGTCAAAAGTTTTTGTCATATTATTACATTTGGCTCATGCATTAAATTTATTTGTTATCTGCATTAAATTGTCACAAAATATTTGGACACAAATATCACATGTATGAAGTATCAAGTTATGATTTTCAAAACTTGATTATAAATTAAGTTATTATAATAACAGTCAAAACGATCAATTACATCAATTGAGGTATGAAGGGAATAACATAAATTAAGGCCTGTATATAGTTGGAAAGTGTTGCGAAATTCTACCTTAAAGACAGATTTGGAAAGGAAGAAATGGTGAATGTAAAAGGTATTACATGCATGTTCAAAAGGTATGTCGAACAAAGAATGTGTTATCTCTGCAATACATAATAGTTTTTCACCTTTGCTCCAAGTGTGATAATGTTACAACATCTACTAAGCCTTGTGGATCAGTAAGACATGCAACCCATTTTACAATTCATGCACTAGCAATACATAAAGGAGGCTTTAATTATTTGTTTCATCAGGGCCTCAGTATTAAAGCTTTATTTTGAATTCTGCTACATTAAGATTGCATCACCTCTAGGAAGATGTAGTGCAGTTGTACCGGGTTAGGTTAAGATCAGCCAGGTCAAACCTGAGAACATCTCTCATCCTATCAGAGGCAAGTGTAACCACATAATGTATATTAATTAAAAGGATACTTTTTACCAAAAAGTAAATGAAACATCAGTCATACACTTCATTTATACAGAATGCATTTCCTTTTGTCTAGGAATGACTTTATCTTAAAAGATATGAAGCTAAATTAAGGATAAGCCATTTGAAAGATTAATGACCTCTCTTCCCTCCATCAATCTGACTCCAACAACCCTCTGATTTTTAAAGGAATCACATCTTTCACTTATACATCATTAAATTATCTTGGCTCCGAAATACCCATACCTAATTGGTCAAGATCCATTAAACCAATCTGGACTAGAAGACTTAAAGATTAAGAGGACTGAAGATACTCATCTGATTGGGATGGCTTTTCTTTTCAAACTTTGTGGCACTCCATGCTAGCAATTTATTTGCCAAATATCACTTTTTCCAGGTTGTCTGTGCCTTCAGAAGGAATTGTATGAGCTTTTAAAGAAATTTGACACCCTGGACCTTGAATATTGGTAAAGGATATTTCTCATTTTTAAAAACTTTGTAAAACTCTATGGCCAGCATAATGTTACTCAAATATCTTGACTCAAATTGGCCTTCAGCAGAGTACCTCAGAAGAAGTTAATTGTTCAATTAAGGATTTTAATCACTTTCAGTCCTTTGACCCTAAATATGGGTCAAGGTCATTTCTTTTTGCAAGTTCAATAGCACTCTTTGTCAGTAAACTACTGTACTTAGAAGTCTGCATTGAAAGTTTTTTTAACAAATTTGACCCATGTGACCTTGAACATGAATCAAGGTCATTTCCTTTTGCAAACTCAGTAGAATTCCATGCCAGTGAGCAAGCTTTGATTAGGCTGGCACTTTTTGGGTTTGTGTTGCTGATAAAGGAAAAGATCCTAACCTTCCAAACTACTAGATATCATTTATGTGTTATCTTTTTATCCTCCTTATACATTTTCAAAAGTCCATGAATTTTTTCCTTTGTTCATATTTCTTCCTAGTTTTAATGAAAAGAATTCCTTGATTTTTAATTTAAATCACGGTCATATTGACACTTCTGTATTCTGTTATTGTTTTCTCTATTATTACCAAATTTAGCCAAAGTACCGAGCCTAATTCTGTACATTTAGTCTTGAGATTAAAAGTAAATGCTGACAGACAATTAATCAACCAAACACCATTGCTTAAGGCGAGTTGAAATGTATTATTGCCATGATCACTATTGTGAAATATTTGTTATATTCTGCAAAAGTATATTCCTTATATTCAGTCATGCTAATTAAGCTTGCATAATGTCACCTCGAGCTCTAAGCTTGCAATGCATGTTACAAAATTATAGTTATCTCAAAACTGATGATAAAGCAGTAGACGTCTATAAATTGAAAGTGAGGTCAAAAAGTTTAAAACTTAAGTTACATGCACAAGAGCTCTTACTTTCATGAGCATTATTGTGAAGTGGGAAATGTTAAAGGGCAGTAACTCCAGTAAAGATCAAGCAAGTTGTATATTGCACTGTACATAGTGTTCACCTTTTTGTATAAAGGTTGAAAGCAACTGACAAAAAAATATGGAAGTGACAGTGGGGAGAAGTCAGGAAGTATTATTAGACACTGATATAATTCATTACATAATTGGGGATAGTTTTATATCGAGTGTTTATCCAGAGAGATTCTAACATAGGCCTACCAGAGACGTACATGTTTTATATAACAGTTACGTCTCTGGGCCTACATGTACATGCTGCCTACAGTACATTGTACGTATGTGCAATGCCCCATACCCCTGTGCACATGTGGTATTGTTCTTTTCTATTAAAAAGGGAACGATTTTAGGTAAATAAACAGCTCACGTGTTTAGGTCCCCTGATGATTTCAATCTTCAAGTATTGTCTACATCTCTTACCAGATTGTTTCAATATAAAAGGAAGGGGGGCTACTCTCAAATGTGTGCTGCACCAATCACGTGACCTCGCACACATCATATGGGAGTTGTTGGCATCGTCATTCGGTGTCAGTGTAACAAGAGAGTCGCACGCTTCGTTATTCATTGGAGGGGAGCTCACAATATGAGCGTCAAGACAGCAGCATATGGATCATGGGTGTCGCCCATCACCAGTAAAATTGTCACGGAGAGCAGTGTCCGCCTACTAGAAGTCAGGACAGACACCAAAAATCCAAGTAGGTGATCTTACGGCTTAAATTTCTACTTTCACTTTGTCGATCAATCTATCAAACGCAACATGTATAAAGTTAACATGCTAATTGAGCCGGGTTTTTTTTTTAATTATCCGCCGCTATTTGAACCTGTTAAACTGCTTCTTTGTCTATGTGCAAACCAGAACAAAATATCTAGGGTTGGCATAATTAATTAAATATTAGCAGGTCGATCACCGGCGGTAGCTGACCTGACAGTGCCAGATCTTAAACAGGGGTGTACACCAGCCCACAGGAAGATTTTGACAAATAACGCTACTTCAAAACATTTTTTATATAATGAAAAGTTTCACTAGCCCTGCTACATGAATCTATCAGGCCAGGGCGTCAGGCTAGTGGAATCGTACATCCCAAATTAAAAGTGTAGCTTAACACACTAATTTGCATTCAGCTTTAATACATTTATACTTTACTGGGTTTTCCTCAGAATATATTTAAGCTGATATGTTTTATTTTCAGTGGATGTTCGAGATGGACACAGTACCATATAGCATGCTCGACAATACCATATCAAATTTTACCTTAATGTGAATTAAGGTGCCCAAAATTGAAAGCTTCATATCTATAATACAGCCTTTTTATTTTGCAAAAACTTATATAGTTATCGGCAACTGGACCAATGTTTCTCTATATGCTCACAAACTCAATTGATAAATTAAAACAATGAAAAGAAAATATTCATTTTCCGGGAAATGGCGCAGTCAGTGACATCAGAAGAGATCTATCCTGTCACTTTTTTAAACACACAAAAGTATCTTTTCAAATGAATATTTTAAAGAATGAATATTATTTACTAACTAAACATTTATCAGAAAGTGTAAAAAAAATCTTAAATGAAGAATCCTGTTTTCAATGCTGTCAGCAGCGCTATTTTCACAAACTGATTTATATGATGAGTGTCCCGGCCATTTTGGTTACCTGATAAGCTGAAATTTCCAAGAAAACCTGACTCAACTAAAAAAACTCTATAAATAGGTAATTTCCAAGTAATATGCCTCAACTAAAAGATCTCTATAAGTATATACACAGGCTCTGGTCATACTCAAGAAATACATAAAAACAGTGGCGGATCCAGAGGGGGTTTTTGGGCTTCAGGAACCCCCCCCAGATAGGTCTCTGGATCCGCCACTGTAAAAAGAATGTTGATAAAAGACATGTATTGTTTAGACCTGCTAACCCCTGAATCTCCCAATGGGGGTCATGACCCCCATCGGGAAATTCTGTGGGGGGATGATAAGGTACGACAAAAAATTCACGTCAGAATTAATCATTTAACTTTCGCGCCATCATGGCATAACATATGTTGTGTCTTCTGGTAGGATTTAGGACTTTTTTTTTTTAAATAAATAAAACATACATTTTGTTTTATTATTACATTATCTCTTTTCAAAATACTTATTTTCCTGTACATACAGGTAGTTTGAGGTAATTGTAGAAAACTTTGCATATTTCATCATTGATGCATACTGGGAGCATGAACTCCTCTAGAGGCTCCTCTATCTATTTCTCTCTCTCATCTTTTTGTACTGACTGCCTGCTGGTTAGAAACTGGAAAAAATAAAATAAAAATAAAATATGCATTTAATGTTAAATACAGGTATTTATAATATTGGTTTAATAATATCTTGGTACACTCAAATTTGTACGACTGCAACAAATTTTAAAGCAATCTCGCGATCAATATCGGGAAGCATTATCATGCAGATTTTGGTAAATTAAAATAATCATGATCTGCCGTTGAGAAAGTAATGTGCTCAGAATTTGAGCTACTAAATAACGACTTTGCGTTTATAACCACAGTTTGTGAAAATCATTCACATGTCTGTTGATGTAATAAAGAGCACCCGAACCTACCGAAAGAATTTAGGTATACAGTAGAGTACAGTTTACAATAAGAATGATCAATCAGACTCAACATTTTTTTTATGAAGCCAATCAAAATCATTTTTCCACAAAGTATTGTTATAGCAGAGACACTTATTATTTTTTCTAACGTTTAACGCAGTCCGGATTACGGTTGTGCATGTGAAGAGAAAGTACTACGATCGGGATTCCATGCACTGTTGTAATACTGTAGTAAACAGTACTCACCTTTCAAATTTGCCTGACTTCCATGAAAGAGACCGCCATTGTGAAAACATTTCGAATTGTGTACAGACTTTACCCATACCTAAATAAAGGACCTAGCATTCAAGGGCCTTGAATGCTAAACCTCCTCATTATAGTAAAACATTGGTTTTCCAGAAACTAAATAGAATATATTAATATAATATTTTTCTTTAAAAATTGTTCCATTTTGTGTACCCTCACATTAAGTGGTACCGTTGGGTAAACCATATTCACTGTCGTGCTGTATTACGTGGTTACTGGCTAGTGCCTCCGGTGCTTAAAAATGTATGATATTGGGGACCTTTTGCAAATTGTTTACATTGGAGTAAAGTAAATTAAAGTTGTTTGTGACAAAAAAAGAGGTGTGCTTTTAAGAGGAAAGACAGAAATGAAGTACAAAATTATGTATTACACTCGTACGTGAAATATGAGTTTTACAGCCAAACAAGCCCGATCAAGTTAGTGCTTTATTTTTCCAAAATGAAGGAAAATGAGAAATATCTTCTCGATTTTAATAAAGCAATGTTATATTTGCCCAATTCATGTAGGAAGGGGTTGTTGTATAAAAATAAAGGTCAATGAGATGTTGCTGAGACAAAGACTGTATTACCGGGGTATAGCTGTACATATATAGACAAATTGTAGTTTATTATTTATAATAAACTTTGTTTGTAAACAGCCATTTGTTTATATGTCATGTGCAACATTGTTGATTTTTAAGTATTAAGGTGTGTTAGAGATACATGTGGATAAATATCATATGTACATATATATATTTATTATCTTAAGTACCATCATGTGTACCAAAATTTAGGTATACGTAATGCTGGCAGGTTATATTTATAGATACAGAACAAAGAACATAGCTCAACAGTCTCCTACACTCTTCTTACACGTGATAATATGGTAATAATTAGATTAGTGATGATGCTGATTGGCTAAAGTTATCACTAGGCAGGCCAAGGTAAATTACCATTGGTCAAGCTGTTAGCCATGCATAATTAATGAGATGACCAACAAAGGTCAGCATCACCCTGCACTGTTTGAAGAAACTATCGGAGCGTGCAGACGCATTTTACATCAGCTTACCGCCCTTCACCCCAACCTCCACCTTATAATTATTACAGTGTATACATGTATACTGCAGCATCAGTTTCTTGAGTACATTATTTACATACGTCTGCAAGTGTACCAAGGAGTACAGTGGAATAAGTAAACAGAGCAATTCATGTTGTTACATGTAATTTTATTGAATAATGAAAGAGCAGATACAAGTCACATAGAGTGAAGTCATATACAGATGTACATGTACTTGTATATTTATTCAAACGTTATAGTACTGGGGCTATATCATGGTAGGGATATAGGGAATACAGATCAGAGGTATAAACTATGGGAGGTACAGGAGGTACACAACACATATGTTGTTGTATTCAGGTGGGAGGTACACAACACATATGTTGTTGTATTCAGCCGGGAGGTACACAACACATATGTTGTTGTATTCAGCCCCCATGTTAATATACAGTTATACCTATATAATAAGGTGCATATAAGTTATAATTAGGTATCCTATAGATCAAGGATTTTCTAACAATGATGAATCCTCTGATGGGATTGGTACAACATTGGCTAACGGGGCCCATGTGTCTGATCCAGGATTCAGGAAATATCCTCTCATGGGATCTATATCCAGAAAATTAGATCTAGACATCATTCAGACCCAGGAATTTCCTGATCCGATATCCTCTCATGGGATCCAGGTATATGAGCTACTCATCATGTCTGGATCCAGGATTGTCAGAAATATCCTCTCAATGGGGTCCTTTTTTTGATAACGGGAAATCTCATCCAGCCGTTGGAACCAGCGGGGACTGTTTCGCTCCTGGGGGGATATATTGGCAGTAATCCTGGGACAAGGGGTGAAAGTTCACTCCTGGTAGGATAGCGTCAGTAATCCGTGAGATTTCCATAGCTTATATATGTGTAGTATGATATAGCCCCAAGGCCAAACCTAAATGTAGTTCATCATGAAATGACAAACCTAACTCAACTAAAAAAACTCTATAAATAGGTAATTTCCAAGTAATCTGCCTCAACTAAAAGATCTCTATAAGTATAGAGGTCTGTCATATGTATAAACATGTGTATGCTGATTTATAAGACATATACAACAATGTTGGTCATGATAACATTGCATACCTATACAGTTGATAAATAGCATTTATTAAACTGCATCATATTGTTCTGGTTGTTTATAAACTTGATAGAGGTTACGAGAATAGCATACAGTATATTTAAAATTGTTGTATTTTAGCTACCTAAAGCAAACTTGGAAAAGTTATAAAAGAAAAGCATAAAGTGTATTAAAAAATGTTTAGACATAAAAAAAAGCAAATAAAACAGAAAATAATTGTAAAACTGATGAAAAACAAAGACAAGAATCTGACCTGTACCTGCTAATGATATAATCATTGTAGATGATGTGTACTGGACGGAGATGAGGTATGATGAGGAAGGTCGCTATGTGATTTGTAAACAGACAGTGGGCCAGGGGTGTCCGGTATCCCTCACACCCACAGAGTTCAGTGCCAGGACCCTGGTTCACGAGTATGGAGGCGGAGCATTCTTCGTCAATGATGGAAAGGTTTATTTTTCCAACTTCAAGGACCAGAGACTGTATGTGCAGAAATCAGAAGTGGGAGCCGTTCCTGAGGCAATCACACCAGCAGAGTGTGCCTGGAGATATGCTGATGGGGAACTAAATGAAAAGGTAAAAATATTATGCACCTAATATTTTGTTTTCTTTGTAAATATTATTTCAACTGAGATTATATTCTTATTTTCCTTCATGAAAAAATTGTATACACTTTAAAATGATAAGGGAGTGTACTATAAAACTTAATACATAATAAGTTAATTTGGTAAACACTGAGAAGATTAGGTTTAAAAACTGGTGAGACAAATCTTTGACAGTTGGTCATATCACAATTTACATCAATATTAATAAATCTGCCTTTAACGAGCTGAAAGTTAAAAGCGGTATAGACAAGTGATCTCCTGTTGTTGATTGATTTTTCAATTTTCGTTACATAACAACCTTAACATATTACTGTTTCATTTCTGATGTTTTCATTTTATCCTTAAAGACAGGAAAAATCTTCTGTGTGAGAGAAGAACATAAAAAGGGAGCCAAGGAACCTGTGAATACGGTCATCTCCCTAGACCCCTCCAGTCAACAACAGACTGTTTTGGTAAGGTTAATACTATCATCTCCCTAGACCCCTCCACTCAACAACAGACTGTTTTGGTAAGGTTAATACTATCATACCCCTGAACCCCTCCACTCAACAACAGACTGTTTTGGTAAGGTTAATACTATCATGTCCCTGGACCCCTCCAGTCAACAAACAGACTGTTTTGGTAAGGTTAATACTATCATATCCCTGGACCCCTCCAGTCAACAAACAGACTGTTTTGGTAAGGTTAATACTATCATATCCCTGGACCCCTCCAGTCAACAACAGACTGTTTTCGTAAGGTTAATACTATCATATCCCTGGACCCCTCCAGTCAACAACAGACTGTTTTGGTAAGGTTAATACTGCCATCTCCCTAGACCCCTCCAGTCAACAACAGACTGTTTTGGTAAGGTTAATACTATCATCTCCCTGGACCCCTCCTGTCAACAAAAGGCTGTTTTAGTCACAGCATTGAAGTGTTTCAACATTGATATTTAAACAGACTACATATGTCTCATTCTTCAGTGTTACACCCAGAGCTAACGTTCAGGTTTTCTTGCCAAGTATAATGGAAATATTCCAAACACGCTCTAACCTTGATTCTTTACACAGACCTAGCCTTTTCTTGATATTCTGTTAGTCATATCTATTGTTAGAATTCTCGGAATATGATGTGGATATATAAATAGCCACCATTGGAAATTAGTAAGATAAGAAAATAATTGTGCATAGTTTGCATTAAACAAGAATTTTTTATTTCAAGTGCTGACGAACAGTGAGTGAAGGTTCAGGAAGCCTGGTTAGCTTGACAATAAGATTTTGTTGTAGAAACAACTGTGTTTATAGGAAGCCTTGTTAGCTTGACAATAAGATTTTGCTGTAGTAATAACTTTGTTTATAAGAATCATGGCTAGCTTGGGGGTGAGATTTTGCTGTAGTAATAACTGTGTTCATAAGAATCCTTGTTATCTTGACAATGAAAATTTGCTGTAGTAATAACTTTGTTTATAGGAAGCATTGTTAGTTTGACAATAAAATTTTGCTGTAGTTATAACTGTGTTTATAAGAATCCTGGTTACCTTGACAATAAGATTTTGCTGTAGTAATAACTGTGTTCATAAGAATCCTTGTTATCTTGATAATAAAATGTTGCTGTAGTAATAACTTTGTTTATAGGAAGTCTGTTTAGCTTGACAATAAGATTTTGCTATAGTCATAAATTTGTTTATAAGAATCCTGGTTAGCTCAACAATAAAATTTTGCTGAGGTGTTAACTTGTTTATGGGAAGCCTTGTTAGCTTGACAATAAGATTTTGCTGTAGTAATAACTGTGTTTATAAGAAGCCTGGTTAGCTTTACAATATTTGCCAACTATCCGTCTTTTGGAGGGTGACTCCCGATTTTGGACTACATGTATAAAAATGTGAACATTTTCGGCAAGTGAATTCGCTCAACTATTCTTATATAATTTTGAAATCTTATGATTTCATCTGAAAGAACAATTCAAAATACGCTATTCTAAAGTGTAATTTTTTACCTGGATGGTACATTTATATACACACTTTTATGTATGGTTCTAAATTTGAGCATATGAAATCTCCCTCACTGGAGTAATAGGGCACCCGGCTTGTACCTACAAAATCAATAAGAAGACGTATTAACAGCTTGACAGTTTGATGGTGCCATATCTCGACACCTGGGTACCTAGCTTGCGCACGCACCTGATGCATGACCTACAGAGTTTCCTCCTTTTGTCCTTCTTTTTTTAGCGTATTCTTGGTATTCGCATTGATAAAGAAGATACTCCAACCTTTTGTTTTCAATATCACCATGTAATTATTGCACCTGAAAATTCTTTCTTTTCTTCTGCTTTTCCTGAAAACCAGAGAAACTTAAAAACATTGTTTTCCGATCAGGAGGATCTCACTCGTTCTATGGAGTTGAGCTGATTTGGGAGGTACCTCAGTAATATTGATGCTCAGGTTAACTTTGAGGTGGAATGGAATCTAGGTTTATTTAATGAGTTTATTTGCGCTTCCTAGAATCCCCTGGCGCTTCCTAGAATCCCCTGGAGCTTCCTAGAATCCCCTGGAGCTTCCTAGAATCACCTGGAGCTTTCTAGAATCCCCTGGAGCTTCCTAGAATCCCCTGGAGCTTCCTAGAATCCCCTGGAGCTTCCTAGAATCCCCTGGAGCTTCCTAGAATCCCCTGGAGCTTCCTAGAATCCCCTGGAGCTTCCTAGAATCCCCTGGAGCTTCCTAGAATCCCCTGGAGCTTCCTAGAATCCCCTGGAGCTTCCTAGAATCCCCTGGAGCTTCCTAGAATCCCCTGAAGCTTCCTAGAATCCCCTGGAGCTTCCTAGAATCCCATGAAGCTTCCTACTGTAGGAAGTAGTAGTAGCTATACTGCTTAGACTAAACATTGAAATTAAAGTTTATTATGATCAAACTATTGAGTAAATTGAAAACAGAATGTACCTGGAAATGACAGTGGATATGGTCTATGATGGCAGATATAAATTATCTTTGTACTGATATGTTAATTAGGAATTATTGTAAATATGAAAAATATACAAGACAAATATTATCATTGTATTGTTACAGATATTTATATTATCGGGTCATTAGATTTCTTTGCTGGTCTTGAAAATAACTTGGTAAGATTTTAAGTGATAGAGGTTTAAAAGGTGTACAGTATCTCTGTTTGGTATTTACAGGTTAATGAGGTGAACAGTATCTCTGTTTGGTATTTACAGGTTTATGAGGTGTACCGTATTTACAGGCTTATGAGGTGTACAGTATTTACAGGATTATGAGGTTTTCAGTTTTTCTGTTTGGTATTTACAGGTTTATGAGGTTTACAGTATTTACAGGTTGATGAGGTATACAGTGTCTCTGTTTGGTATTTAGAGGTTTATGAGGTGTACAGTGTCTCTGTTTGGTATTTACAGGTTTATGAGGTGTACAGTATTTACAGGTTGATGAGGTATACAGTGTCTCTGTTTGGTATTTACAGGTTTATGAGGTGTACAGTGTCTCTGTTTGTTATTTACAGGTTTATGAGGTGTACAGTGTCTCTGTTTGGTATTTACAGGTTTATTAGGTGTACAGTATTTACAGGTTTATAAGGTGTACAGTTTCTCTGTTTGGTATTTACAGGTTTATGAGGTGTACAGTATTTACAGGTTTATGAGTTGTACAGTTTTTACAGGTTTATGAGGTGTACAGTATTTACAGGTTAATGAGGTGTACAGCATTTATGGGTTTATGAGGTATACAGTATCTCTGTTTGGTATTTACAGGTTTATGAGGTGTACAGTTTCTCTGTTTGTTATTTACAGGTTTATGAGGTGTACAGTAGTGTCTCTGTTTGGTATTTACAGGTTTATGAGGTGTACAGTATTTACAGGTTAATAAGTTGTACAGCATTTATGGGTTTATGAGGTGTACAGTTTTTACAGGTTTATGAGGTGTACAGTATTTACAGGTTTATGAGGTGTACAGTATTTATGGGTTTATGAGGTGTACAGTATTTATGGGTTTATGAGTTGTACAGTATTTACAGGTTTATGAGGTGTACAGTATTTACAGGTTTATGAGTTGTACAGTATTTACAGGTTGATGAGGTGTACAGTATCTCTGTTTGGTATTTACAGGTTAAAGGATCAGACTTCTACAGCCATCCGAGGGTGTCACCTGATGGAAAGACTCTGGTCTGGGTTCAGTGGGATCACCCAAACATGGTTTGTATTCAAACTAACATCAACCCACCACTTTCATGAAAATGCTTTTGTGATTCTTTATCTCCTATAAATGTAATTATCCAATTCCAGCCTCTGCATAGACCTGTATTAACTGATGGAAGGTTTCTAATTCCGCATTACCTAAGTGAATTTGAAGTTAGGGTTGGGATTGTTGCTTTCATGTTAACTGTGGGAACGGTTGGTCAAACATTCAATTGATTATGACATTTTATATATTGGACTAAAGTTTAAAATAAAACGATCAATCTGTTCCTGTAGCTACTTACATGAACACACACGTCTTTGCCTACCCACTTTTAGCAAGGCCTTAATATTTGAAAGTCTGACGATGTTTTGTTGAGACGGTATACATAGATGTATAAGTTAGTACTGTGTCAGCTGTGTATATAAATTACTGCCATGTTGTAGCTCTAGAACCAGGTTGTTACTTGGTCAAAGCCTAGTGACACCTTTATGTCAATTTTTTAAAACCATTTTTTTCAACCTGATTTCAGCATATGAGTTTTATCATATATCATATATGATGGTAATAATTTTGAGTCTGAGAGTATACATATAGTAACAATGTCCAAGTTGTTGTAATAGATTCAGAGAAACTCAATTACTGACTATGTTATACATTATTGGTGAAGTTTTTTATGTTAAATTTAGTCAAAGTTCATAAAAATAAATCTGTAAGCAGCAGGTATTATGGTTTTTGAAACACTTTTTAGATGAATAGTTAAATTTAAAATTGATCCTAAATTGTTAAATTTAATGAAAACCAGTTACATTAGTTTGTTTGTTTGTTTGTTTATGTTTAACGGCCCATCGACGGCTGTGGTCATTTAGGGCCATGGTGATTTATTTATTCACTTTACTTTTTTAACAAACATGTGAATAGCGAAGATAAAATCAGATAAAATGGTTCATTTTAAAAGTATTCGCATTGTATGTGTAGATAATTAAAAATAATAAAAGGGGGTTAAAATAATAAAAGAGATAACGAATAGATGATATGGAATATGCGATATATATATAACGTCAAAAAGGATAAGGTGGGTTAAAAGACATCAGAGTCTATAAAATAGACCGATGTCTTTCAAATAGTTAAATAATGCCTTCGAATCCACGGAACTGAAAAGTGTTTTCATATCCGGGACTCGGAAGTAGTTATCACGAATGTGTTTAAAATCGGAACATTCTATTAAAAAATGCTCCACTGTAAATGGAGTGTCACATGCGTGGCATGAAGGTATATCTTCTCGTTTTAAAAGGTACGAATGAGTAGGATATGTGTGCCCAGTGCGGAGCCGAGCGAGGACAACTTCCTCTCTACGATCTTTCCGACTGGGAATAGATGTTTTAAGTTTCGGTTGTATCTTAAAAAGTTTGTTGTTGGTCTCCAGAGACCAGCGTTTCTGCCATTCATTTTGAATGGCTGTACGAATAGTAGGTTTAAAATCTGTGTATGGTAGTTTGATATTTGTTTGTTCGAGATTCAATGCATTTTTTGCTTCCCTGTCAGCAAATTCGTTGCCTTTTATTCCGACATGGCTCGGAATCCATAGTAAAGTTATTTTAGACTTTTTTAATATACGAGATATTCGATGAGCAAGGTTTTGTACGATTGTGTTTTTAGGATCTCGTAACTGTAAACTCTGTAGGACAGATAGAGAGTCTGAACAAATAATTGCCTTTTTAATGCGGTGTTCATCGATATGGTCGAGGGCCAAACCAATGGCGCATGCTTCAGCAGAAAAGATGGAGGCGCCGTCTGGTAGTCGGACTGAAGTGCAAGTATTGGCAGTACAGCAGGCTGCTGCCACTTTCTCACCTTCTTTGGAGCCATCGGTGTAAAGTTGTGTATGAGAAGGGTAATTCGAAATGCATTCCCGAAAGGAGGATTTGTGTTCTTCGGGCATAACACTTGATTTCCCTCGCTCATGTAATGTAAAGTTAAAATCGGGGGTTTGAATGGTCCACGGAGGAACATCAGATATGTTAAATTCAGCTATGTCCGTCAATTTTATGTTGAGTTCTTGCAGGAAATTCAAAATTCGGATACCAAATGTTGGCAGAAGTTTTTGGTTTTGCGTAAATATGTTTTGGTATTTGGGGTTGAATACTTGGTTGAAAGCAGGATTTTTAGGGTTTGATTTTAATTGAGTTGCAAATTGTAATGAAAGTTTTATTCTTCTGTCATAAAGGGATGGTTCATTTGCTTCCACGTACAGGCTTTTTACAGGTGTTGTTCGAAAAGCTCCCAGGGCAAGACGTAGCCCTTGGTTATGGATTGGATCTAGCATCTGAAGGTACGAACTGCGCGCTGACCCGTATACCATAGAACCATAATCCAGTTTTGTTCGAATAAGTGATCTGTATAGGCGCAAAAGCATTTCACGATCCGCTCCCCAATCAGTATGAGAAAGGACTCGTATAATGTTTAACGCCTTGGAACACTTATCCTTCAGATACTTTATATGTGGTATGAAAGAGAGTTTCGAATCAAAAATGAGGCCGAGAAATTTAGTCTGTTCAACAACAGGAATTCTAGTGCCATCGAGTGTTAGATTTGGGTCATTGTGTGCTTTTCGTTTTTGACAGAAATGCATGCACACAGTTTTGGATTTAGAGAATTTGAAGCCGTTTTCGTCTGCCCAATTTTGTAGTTTGTTTAAACTCTGTTGAAGTTGTCGTTCTATCGTGTGCATGTTCTTAGATCTGTAACAGATCAAGAAGTCATCCACAAATAACGACCCTTCTGTTGATTGACCAAGACATTTGACTATATCATTTATTTTAAGTCCAAACAGTGTGACTGATAGGATTCCACCCTGTGGGACTCCCATTTCCTGTTTAGACGTTTCAGAAAAAGTTGAACCAACACGGACTTTGAAGTGTCTATCTGATAGGTAATTAGATATAAAATTGGGAAGGTTTCCACGTACGCCAAGGTCGTGAAGATCTTTCATGATGCCATACTGCCATGTAGTATCATAGGCCTTCTCAAGATCGAAGAACACAGCGACAAGGTGTTCTTTCTTGGCGAAAGCCTCTCGAATGAACGTCTCTAATCTGATGAGATGGTCATTTGTCCCTCTTCTATTTCTAAAGCCACTTTGAAGAGGGGATATTATATCGTTGGCCTCAAGAAACCAAACCAGTCTAGTGTTTATCATTCGTTCTAAAGTTTTACATACACAACTAGTCAGAGAGATAGGACGATAGTTGTTTGGGTCAGTAGCATCCTTTCCCGGTTTTGGGATAGGTATAATTGTGGAGTTCTTCCACGAATCGGGAATCTTTCCGGAAGCGTAAACTTGGTTGAATATGTAAAGAAGGCATGTTAGTGAAGAGTCCGGTAAGTGCTTTAGAAATTGATATGGAATATCATCAGGACCTGAAGCAGTGTCCTGTGATTTTCTAAGCGAATCAACAAGTTCTGGTAGGGTAAATTGTTCATTATAACTTTCTTTGTTTGATGATTTGAAATTGAGCCGTTTCTTTTCTCTCTTTTTTTTCAAAGACTGGAATTTTTGGGAGTGGTTTAGAGGGGATGAGTTTTTAGCTATGTTTTTTGCAAATGCATCAGCAATTTCAGTTATAGACGAGAAAATTTTGTTTTTATTAATGAGGTGGGAGGATGTTGCCTTTTTCTTTTTCCCACTTATTTTCCGAATCATATCCCATACTTTTTTTGAGGACGTGTTTGATGATATCTTGGATACATATTCTCTCCAGCTGTTTCTTTTGTCAATTTTAATTGATCGCCGAGCCTTTGCCCGCCAAATTTTAAATTCACTGTAGTTTGAAGCAGTTGGGCAATTGAAGTAGCGTCTTAGAGCAGCTGCCCGATTACTGCGTGTTTTAAAAGATTCTTCAGATAAAAGGAACTTCGTAGGTTTTGGAGCGGATTTTGGAATTGTCTTTTGGGCAATAGAAGTGAGTGTTTCAGTAAAAGTTTTGATAGGGTCGTCGAGGTTAGTAAAATTGTCTATGGTTAGTTTTTCAATGCACATGTGTTGGAATTGGGCCCAATCTGCTTTGTGCATATTCCATCGAGGTAGAGGATCATCAAGAGGAGTCCCAATATTCTGAAGAAAAATTGGGAAGTGGTCACTCCCACAAAGATCATCATTTACCCTCCAGTCATAGTCAAGTAAAATGGATGGATGGCATAATGATAGATCAATGTGGGTACGAGAGCCTGTAGCAGGGTGTAAATAAGTAGGGGTATTGTTGTTAAAAAGGCACAAGTTGTTTTTATCTATAAATTCCTCAATACGTCTTCCTCTCTCGTCTGTGTTGGGAGAGCCCCACAGGCTATTATGACCATTAAAATCACCGAGGATTATGAATGGTGTTGGGAGCTGGGAGACGAGATTATTGAGTTGCTCACAAGTGAAAACAATACTCGGAGGGAGATAAATTGAACAGACAGTTATTTGTCGGTGTAATGTTGCACAGACAGCAACAGCCTGTAAATTTGTGTTTAACTTGATCATTCTGTGAGGAATATTTTTATGGACAGCTACCGCTGCGCCACCTGCTGCTCTGCTAACTACAGTTGGAATATTAGTGTAGAGTGAGAAATTTCTAAGCGTGATTGGGTTTTTGAGCATGATTTCTTGAAGACAAAAAATGGCGGGTCTAAATTCTTTTGATAGATTCTGAAATTCTTCTATATTTGCCTTTAATCCGCGGATGTTCCATTGGATAATTGTGTTATTTATCTTTTGTTATTTTGGCTGGATTTCGATGGAGTTGAAGCACGAAGCGCGGAGGCATTCGTCTCCATCTCATCATCGAAATCTAGTAGGACATTGAACCGGTTTGTCGGGTCCTCTGATCCTTTGCCAAAGGTGACATTCAGATCCGGTCCTTCGGATTTGCCCCTCGCTATTTTAATTTTTTTCCTAGGTCTGTTGGTGGGTGATGTTGTCTCTGGTTTCAGTTGGGATCGAGGAACAGATGTGAGTGAGCGAGATCGCTGCGAACGCACATGTGCCCTAGATGTGCCAACCTTTGGAGGGTTTTCTCCTGAAGAGGAAGGTGTTTTTGATGGTGGTGCTGGTTTTGATTGTGGTGCTGGTTTTGATGAAGGTGCTGGTTTTGATGAAGATGCTGGTTTTGATGGTGATGCTGGTTTTGATTGTTTGCTGTTTTTGGTTGGTTTTCGAAAAGTCGTGAAACGGGATGGGTCCCCCGTGAGGATTTTCAAGTTCTGTTGACCAGCCATGTCTGGGACTTGTGAGCCCCAGGCAGGTATGTCTTCAGAAACTTGAACCGAAGCATCCTTGACCGTGACACTGTCAACCGGCGCCTTGCCTCGAGTCACTTGTGCGTAAGAGGGTGTAGCAATGTCTGCACTCCCGACTATCCTCCTGGCCTCGGGGAAAGAGACACCTCGGGTATATTTAACCCGTAATATCTCCCTCTCCTGGCTCCAGGTAGGGCAGTCGCGAGAAGAGGCAGCGTGCTTCCCCTCACAGTTGACACAGCGCAGGTTGGCGATGTCACAGTCATTTTGCTCGGTGTGACCCTCACGGCCACAATACTGGCAGATCGATTTTCGTCTACATCGCTTTTCGTGATGACCGTACTTCTGACAGTTTCGGCATCGCAATGGATTTGGGATGTAGACGGAAACGTTGTACCTCTGGTATCCGATTGTTAGTATTTGGGGTAGTGTTGGCGTTGAAAAAGTGATGATGAAGGTGTTTGTTTTGATTGTATCATTGTTTCTCCTGATCACCATCCGCCTCACCTCAGAGACCGGGACGCTCTCCTCCTGGAAATATGCCAGTATGTCTTCATCGGTGTCATTGCGCAAGGCTGGGCACCTGATTACCCCCTTGCTGCAATTAAGTGATGAGTGTGGTTTCACACTGACACCGATGCCGGCAAAACTGGTTGTTCCGAGTAGGTTCATCGCCTGTTGTTGGCGATAAACCTCTATAAGGAGATCGCCCGATCCCAATGGCTTAACGGATTTCACATCCCCTGCGATTCCCTGGATGCCCTTCCTCAACAGAAGTGGCGACAACGCGGCCGTTGTTTTACCACTCTGTGTGGAGGTCATCACAAGGAATTGCGGGAATTGGGTGTTCTGTGTTGCGTTTTGTGTTGTTTTTGAGCTAGGGTCATCGTTCCTGATTTTGGTATGTCCGTCGTTTTGGTGGTTTTTATCTTTACCCATGTGTATATTTGTTTGTTTCACGATCTATGCCTCCACCCGCCACGGAGCCCAACAAGGGGACACTGGTGTGACGCGGATATCCAGCGCCAAGTGTCGGAGATACATAGAATAGTATACTCGTAAGAATATACATACTATTTGAAAGAGTATACTCTCGCGATTGACCCTGAGCCACCGCCTTCTTGGGAGTATGTAAACCAAGGGCTCGGCGTGACCAGCCGATTGGTGATAGAGGGCCCATATCACCTCTCGTCTACCCAGAGTCCGAAGCCAAAGCAGTATGTTGCAGAATATCGGATCATGTCTCCTTCCTATCAAGAGTTTGACAGTGATTCCGACTCTGCTCAGCTACCAGGATCTTCTTCCCCCAGGAATACGAGATGCAACCCACGGCAAACAGGTTGGCTCAAATTGGAGCTACTGTGAAAGCCTTCTGCTACGATGACGCCCAGCGCGCCACAATCATACCCCCGAAATGATCACATACGCACTGAGCACCAACGTACCCAGCCTCGGGACGTGGACCCAGCTTTCTTGGAGGCCTGTTGCATTAGACTTGAACTGTGATTTAAATCTCAGAATAGCAGATCCTTAAAACAATTGTTTTAAATGTTTCCATAACATGACATTCAGCTTGATAAGTAAATTAGTTCTACAAAACCTGAACAATCACTAGACTGAAAAATTACTAAGATTACAGAGGAGCGACACCCGACTTCAGAGCCAGTAAGTTTTACCGTTACACGACCGTGAGCTTCCCTTGATGTACTTCAAAGGATCAAATTTATCTTGTCTCATCAACAAGGTTGTGCACACTGAGCCTTCAATTTTGCTATGACATATTCCAGGGGTGCAGAGAGCGTAAGTGAGTGTAACCTCTGGAGGGTCTAGGATGTTTGGTCCAGGCTGTTGTATAACATAGTGCCATGTTCCTAGATTCAGATCGGTTCATGTATGTTCGTTCTTTATTGTTTAGACCAGGCTGTTGATACCCATAAGTCTGCAATTGCTATAATCCTCGGTCCAGCCCTCCGTAAGTTAATGAAATGCTCCAGCCCTGTATAAGTCAGTGTTGTGATCCTTGGGTCAGGCCTGTTTAGATGATATAATGTAAATATGTTTCAGCCCTGGAACAACACAGAACTATGGATTGCTGACCTGAATGAAGCTGGTGATGGGATTAGTGATGCCAGACAGGTCAGTACAGATACAAATGTATACAAACAAATAGCTGAGATCCTGAAAATACCTGAAATTAGTTCCTATTTTTTGCTTCTAAGGTCAAGGTTACTATTATTAGCTCACCTGCCCGAAGGGCAAGTGAGCTTATGTTATGGTGCAGCATCCGTCGTCCGTCCGTCGTCCGTCTGTCCGGCGTCAACTTTTTGCTTTAAACAACTTCTTCTCAATAACCAAATGGCCCATGGTACTGATATTGGGCCTGTAGCATGCTGGGATGAAGGGCTACCAAGTTTGTTCAAATGAATGACCTTGAACTTTCAAGGTCACATGGGTTGAAATATGTTAAAATCTTCAAACAACTTCTTCTCAATAACCAAAAGGCCCAGGGTACTGATATTAGGCCTGTAGCATGCTGGGATGAAGGGCTACCAAGTTTGTTCAAATGAATTACCTTGACCCATTTTCAAGGTCACTGGTGTCCGATGTCTTTAAAACCTTCAAACAACTTCTTCTCAATAACCAAATGGCCCATGGTACTGATATTGGGCCTGTAGCATGCTTGGATGAAGGGCTACCAAGTTTGTTCAAATGAATGACATTGACCCATTTTCAAGGTCACTGGTGTCAGATGTCTTTAAAATCTTCAAACAAATTCTTCTCAATAACCAAATGGCCCAGGGTACTGATATTGGGCCTGTAGCATGCTGGGATGAAGGGCTATCAAGTTTGTTCAAATGAATGACCTTGACCAACTTTCAAGGTCATAGGGTCAAATGTCGTAAAACCTTCAAGCGACTTCTTTTCAATAAGCAAAATGGCCAGGGTACTGAAATTGGGCCTGTAGCATGCTGGGATGAAGGACTACCATGTTAGTTCAAATGAATGACCTTGATCCACTTTCAACCTTATGTCCTTGTTCAACAATCAAGGTCAGAGGCGTCATATGTTTAAATCTTTTAATAGGTTATTATGAAATCTTAAGATTACAAGTGTTTGATTAATAACAGGTGAGCGATGCAGGCCCATTGGGCCTCTTGTTATTTATAGAAATGTAACAACCAATTCTACGACATCACTCTAGCACCTTCACATCTTAAAAGATTTTGATCAAAACTTTACACAATGGTCAAGTATGAAAATGCCTCAAATGATATCCAATATTTTGGGGTTCCAAGGTCAAGGTCACTGCTAACTAGAATCATTGGTGGTTATTTCACCTTTTGATTATCAGTTGTGGTCTACCTGTAACACTGATCTAGAATTTAAAATCTGATATTCCATGTAATTATATCTTATTAATGGCTTTGATGTCATGTCAAGTCGATGATATACTATTACTTTCTTAAGATAATTATGTTATCAACAATATTTTTGATATTTGGTATTTCTGTAAGTTTGGCTCCTAATATTGTCAGGTTGTGGGAGGTGCCGATTCCAGTGTGATTGAGCCTGGTTGGACCACAGACAATGAACTACTGTACGTCAGTGACAAGTCGGAGTGGTGGAACTTGTATAAGATGACTTCGGAGGGGGAGCACATCAACCTTCTGCCACAGGACAAGGAGACGGGAGGTCCACACTGGGCGTTCAACTGTACAACTTACAGTGTGAACCCATCAGGGAATGGTCAGGTGGCTATTAAGATGGGAGGGGTGAGTATAACCGGCATGTTAACATAGGAGCTCTCCTGGGTGGTTTACTCCTGTTTCATCTTGACTACCGTAGTGATGATATGCCAGGAGGTGAAGTTGTATCTGAGATGGATCAATGCATGGGTAATGGTATCGTGCCAGTATTCCCAGATAAATCCCTAAGGATTGTCAAGAGGGGCTGATGTAAATTTCATCAAAATCTTTTTGAATAAGCATTCCTGAGCATTGGCTTGTCACAGGGTAGTTACATTACAAGCATTTAATGCAAAGGCCCTATAACCACAGATAATAATTTGTGAACTGCTTTGAGACGACCTACGAACGATGTTGTGCTAGAACCTCAAATTGTTTTTATTATTAGTTACATTACAAGCTCACCTAATGCAAAGGAACAAAGTGTACTATTAAAGTGGAGTTATGTCTTTAGTCTATCTATCTTCTGTATTACTATCAACCTTTTTCTTCAAACAACTTCTTCTCAAGGGCCACAGGGCCTAGTTTGATGATGTTTGGCCTGTATTGCTTGGATGATTGTCTGTCAACTTAGTTCATATAAAATACCTTGACCCACATTCAAAGGTCAGGGGTAAACTATTTTAAAATCTTCAAAAGGCTTCCTGAAACCAAACATGAGGCTAAGAGTTATGATAATAAGTTTGGTACGTAGTTCGTGGCTAATTTGTTCAAATATATGACTTTGAAGCATGTTTAATGTCAAAGATCGAATGTGTTAAAATTTTCATAAAATTTACTAAGAAAAATAATGATGTTTTTGCCTGTGAAATGTTGAGGTAAAAGGCCTTAAAATCTTGTTTTAAAAATATTGACCTTGACCCACATTCAAATTTAGATTAAAATTTCAAACAAAATCTTCTAACAAAACCATGAGTCATAGAGTAAGGTATCTGTGTTTTCTATGTTTGAATTATAAAACAAGATTTCATTTTTGACATATAAAAAATACACATGCACATGGTTTGCAAAATCCATCTACATGTTGTTCCTTGAACTATTTTGTATCTAGGACCTGGGAATATTAGATCTCAAGACAAAAGCATACAAAGTGATCGACACAGGCTTTACATCTTACCGATTCCTCCACCTCACTACCAGTGGCGATATCTTCTGTTACGGAGGCAGTCCAACCCGTTTCCCCTGCATCATCCATGTCCTTCCCAGTGGCAAGGTTGGTATTCTCAGCACTGTATTGTAACACGAGTCCACTGTAAACAGGTTTTGAAATAAACTTTTACAGCATTAATAGCATCGATCTGGAATTAAATTTCAAATAGCAGACAATAAGGCTACCCGGCATATGAAAACGAAAAAAAGAATTATCTAAATTAGAGGTAAAATTAAGGCACAATTTTGACTAGAAAGAAATTGCAGCTAGCTGAAGATGGTGGGTTTTTTTGGCGGTGAATGAAGGTTAATTTTTGGAGTTTTGTATTGTCTCCCCTTCCAAACTCTTACCTACGGTGCTTTTTGTAAGGAAGAAGAGGACATGTATTTCTTTATGATACCTAACAGATGTACTGAGAAAAACATTGTTTCTGTGACATACAGCCCAATCTGTAATAAGGAACAACCCAAAGGGAACACTTAAAGGTGTCCTCCTGACATAGACACTCTCTTAATAGTAAATATAAACTGCATTGTGGGGATGGTAACCTCTCTTAGGAGAGTGTAGATTGATAAACATGTTCTCTTTTTCAGATTGGACAAGATATAAAACTAAGTTACAATACCAATTCATCCTTTACAGGTAAATATTATCAAAGAGTCCAAGGTGTTACCCATTGACAAGGGCTATTACAGTGTTCCAGAAGAGATCACCTGGCCTACTTCTAATGGAGACAGATCTTATGGCTATCTGTACCTGCCACAGAACAAAGACTTTGTCGGCACAGAAGGCACCTTACCTCCACTGCTTGTCAAGGCACATGGAGGTCCCACTAGTCAGTCGGACAATAGTCTAACCCTCACCATTCAGTACTTCACAAGTCGGGGATTTGCTGTCCTGGACGTCAACTACCGAGGGTCCACAGGCTACGGACGCACTTACAGATTGAAACTTCTTAAAAAGTAAGAATACGGTTGTTATTTATAAGGTTCCTTGTTGTACCTTGGCTTCTGTTGTCAATCATTCTTCAAACCATTTCCTTCTAAATAACTGAATGAAATTTGCTAAGGTGGTGGGATTAAACATTGTTTAATATGGAGGGGTCTGAGGGTTTGGGCAAGGGGCAATTTTGCTGCATTGTTTTAAACAACTTCTCCTCTGGAACTATCAGATGGATATCAAGCTTATTTGGTTGGAAACATTCTCAGGGGATTGAGATTTTTAATTGTACATACCTTTTTGATTGGGAATAGATGTTTTAAGTTTCGGTTGTATCTTAAAAAGTTTGTTGGTGGTCTCGAGAGACCAGCATTGCTGCCATTCATTTTGAATGGCTGTCTGAATAGTAGGTTTAATATCTGTGTATGGTAGTTTGATATTTGTTTGTTCGAGATTCAATGCATTTTTTTTACCTTCCCTGTCAGCAACTTTGTTGCCTTTTCATTCCGACATGGCTCGGAATCCATAGTAGAGTTATTTTAGACGTTTTTAAGATACGACATATGCGAAGAGCAAGGTTTTGTACGATTGTGTTTTTAGGATCTCGTAACTGTGAACTCTGTAGGACAGATAGAGAGTCTGAACAAATAATTTCCTTTTTAATTCGGTGTTCATCGATATGGTCGAGGGCCAAACCAATGGCGCATGCTTCAGCAGAAAAGATGAAGGCGTCGTCTGGTAGTCGGACTGAGGTGCAAGTATTAGCAGTACAGCAGGCTGCTGCCACTTTCTCACCTTCTTTGGTTTGTTTGTTTGTTTGTTTATGTTTAACGGCCCATCGACGGCTGTGGTCATTTAGGGCCATGGTGATTTATTTATTCACTTTACTTTTTTAACAAACATGTGAATAGCGAAGATAAAATCAGATAAAATGGTTCATTTTAAAAGTATTCGCATTGTATGTGTAGATAATTAAAAATAATAAAAGGGGGTTAAAATAATAAAAGAGATAACGAATAGATGATATGGAATATGCGATATATATATAACGTCAAAAAGGATAAGGTGGGTTAAAAGACATCAGAGTCTATAAAATAGACCGATGTCTTTCAAATAGTTAAATAATGCCTTCGAATCCACGGAACTGAAAAGTGTTTTCATATCCGGGACTCGGAAGTAGTTATCACGAATGTGTTTAAAATCGGAACATTCTATTAAAAAATGCTCCACTGTAAATGGAGTGTCACATGCGTGGCATGAAGGTATATCTTCTCGTTTTAAAAGGTACGAATGAGTAGGATATGTGTGCCCAGTGCGGAGCCGAGCGAGGACAACTTCCTCTCTACGATCTTTCCGACTGGGAATAGATGTTTTAAGTTTCGGTTGTATCTTAAAAAGTTTGTTGTTGGTCTCCAGAGACCAGCGTTTCTGCCATTCATTTTGAATGGCTGTACGAATAGTAGGTTTAAAATCTGTGTATGGTAGTTTGATATTTGTTTGTTCGAGATTCAATGCATTTTTTGCTTCCCTGTCAGCAAATTCGTTGCCTTTTATTCCGACATGGCTCGGAATCCATAGTAAAGTTATTTTAGACTTTTTTAATATACGAGATATTCGATGAGCAAGGTTTTGTACGATTGTGTTTTTAGGATCTCGTAACTGTAAACTCTGTAGGACAGATAGAGAGTCTGAACAAATAATTGCCTTTTTAATGCGGTGTTCATCGATATGGTCGAGGGCCAAACCAATGGCGCATGCTTCAGCAGAAAAGATGGAGGCGCCGTCTGGTAGTCGGACTGAAGTGCAAGTATTGGCAGTACAGCAGGCTGCTGCCACTTTCTCACCTTCTTTGGAGCCATCGGTGTAAAGTTGTGTATGAGAAGGGTAATTCGAAATGCATTCCCGAAAGGAGGATTTGTGTTCTTCGGGCATAACACTTGATTTCCCTCGCTCATGTAATGTAAAGTTAAAATCGGGGGTTTGAATGGTCCACGGAGGAACATCAGATATGTTAAATTCAGCTATGTCCGTCAATTTTATGTTGAGTTCTTGCAGGAAATTCAAAATTCGGATACCAAATGTTGGCAGAAGTTTTTGGTTTTGCGTAAATATGTTTTGGTATTTGGGGTTGAATACTTGGTTGAAAGCAGGATTTTTAGGGTTTGATTTTAATTGAGTTGCAAATTGTAATGAAAGTTTTATTCTTCTGTCATAAAGGGATGGTTCATTTGCTTCCACGTACAGGCTTTTTACAGGTGTTGTTCGAAAAGCTCCCAGGGCAAGACGTAGCCCTTGGTTATGGATTGGATCTAGCATCTGAAGGTACGAACTGCGCGCTGACCCGTATACCATAGAACCATAATCCAGTTTTGTTCGAATAAGTGATCTGTATAGGCGCAAAAGCATTTCACGATCCGCTCCCCAATCAGTATGAGAAAGGACTCGTATAATGTTTAACGCCTTGGAACACTTATCCTTCAGATACTTTATATGTGGTATGAAAGAGAGTTTCGAATCAAAAATGAGGCCGAGAAATTTAGTCTGTTCAACAACAGGAATTCTAGTGCCATCGAGTGTTAGATTTGGGTCATTGTGTGCTTTTCGTTTTTGACAGAAATGCATGCACACAGTTTTGGATTTAGAGAATTTGAAGCCGTTTTCGTCTGCCCAATTTTGTAGTTTGTTTAAACTCTGTTGAAGTTGTCGTTCTATCGTGTGCATGTTCTTAGATCTGTAACAGATCAAGAAGTCATCCACAAATAACGACCCTTCTGTTGATTGACCAAGACATTTGACTATATCATTTATTTTAAGTCCAAACAGTGTGACTGATAGGATTCCACCCTGTGGGACTCCCATTTCCTGTTTAGACGTTTCAGAAAAAGTTGAACCAACACGGACTTTGAAGTGTCTATCTGATAGGTAATTAGATATAAAATTGGGAAGGTTTCCACGTACGCCAAGGTCGTGAAGATCTTTCATGATGCCATACTGCCATGTAGTATCATAGGCCTTCTCAAGATCGAAGAACACAGCGACAAGGTGTTCTTTCTTGGCGAAAGCCTCTCGAATGAACGTCTCTAATCTGATGAGATGGTCATTTGTCCCTCTTCTATTTCTAAAGCCACTTTGAAGAGGGGATATTATATCGTTGGCCTCAAGAAACCAAACCAGTCTAGTGTTTATCATTCGTTCCAAAGTTTTACATACACAACTAGTCAGAGAGATAGGACGATAGTTGTTTGGGTCAGTAGCATCCTTTCCCGGTTTTGGGATAGGTATAATTGTGGAGTTCTTCCACGAATCGGGAATCTTTCCGGAAGCGTAAACTTGGTTGAATATGTAAAGAAGGCATGTTAGTGAAGAGTCCGGTAAGTGCTTTAGAAATTGATATGGAATATCATCAGGACCTGAAGCAGTGTCCTGTGATTTTCTAAGCGAATCAACAAGTTCTGGTAGGGTAAATTGTTCATTATAACTTTCTTTGTTTGATGATTTGAAATTGAGCCGTTTCTTTTCTCTCTTTTTTTTCAAAGACTGGAATTTTTGGGAGTGGTTTAAAGGGGATGAGTTTTTAGCTATGTTTTTTGCAAATGCATCAGCAATTTCAGTTATAGACGAGAAAATTTTGTTTTTATTAATGAGGTGGGAGGATGTTGCCTTTTTCTTTTTCCCACTTATTTTCCGAATCATATCCCATACTTTTTTTGAGGACGTGTTTGATGATATCTTGGATACATATTCTCTCCAGCTGTTTCTTTTGTCAATTTTAATTGATCGCCGAGCCTTTGCCCGCCAAATTTTAAATTCACTGTAGTTTGAAGCAGTTGGGCAATTGAAGTAGCGTCTTAGAGCAGCTGCCCGATTACTGCGTGTTTCAAAAGATTCTTCAGATAAAAGGAACTTCGTAGGTTTTGGAGCGGATTTTGGAATTGTCTTTTGGGCAATTGAAGTGAGTGTTTCAGTAAAAGTTTTGATAGGGTCGTCGAGGTTAGTAAAATTGTCTATGGTTAGTTTTTCAATGCACATGTGTTGGAATTTGGCCCAATCTGCTTTGGAACCATCGGTGTAAAGATGTGTATGAGAAGGATAATTTCGAAATGCATTCCCGAAAGGAGGATTTGTTTGCTTCGGGCATAACAATTGATTTCCCTCGCTCATGTAATAGAATAATTTGATATGTAATGATAAATTATAGTTTATATATAACTGTGTAAGCCTTCCATTGCCTTGGCTGTTGTAGATGTAGATATGATAGTTTTGTTGTTATATATATATGTTTGCAATATTAAGTGTTATAGGATATCAGGCTTTTCCCTTATGTTCATTTTTGTAATTCCTTCTTTTACCTGGTTATGGAATGTGTTCTTCTTCGAAGAGTGATAGTGTTTACCTATGCAAATTAGATGTCTTACCATGTAAGGTATCATAGTATATGTTAATCAGTCCATAGTAACTTTTGACCAATCAGCAATTACGTCTTAGAGGGGTGTTTGTATTGCCAGCTTCAGTTTCATTCCTCGTAGTGCTGGCAGATTACACTTGTTTATTTTGGCTTACCCACCCACCAACCCCTGCATCGCCTCTAATTAATTTGCCTCATGATCATGAGTTTTTGTGTATTTGTTGGTTGTTTTTTTCAGGTTCATGTATATGTATACAGTAACTTCATATTTGTCTATTTTGTCGATTTATTACATGCTGCCCCTTTGTGAGGCTTCTGTGAGGTTTCTTTTTGCCGCTTCATGTTCTATGTTATATGTAATGTTTATGTTAGGTGGGTTACTCACTCTATTGATCGAGACTTTATGAACAACTATGTGTAAATTTAGGCTTGGCTTTAAAATTCTTGGGGAATTTTACCCCCAATCTCTTCAATAGATTATTACTTCACTTTATCTGTAGCCAGTTTTCTGGTGGTAAATTTAACAGATATATTCTCTGGGGTGGCTATAAGTCTAGTCGCTTCTCTGGATTCCTCCAGAGTCTAGTGACTTCTCTTGCCTTCTTCGGAGTCTAGCGTTTCCAATTCATAGTCTTTTATAGCTTCTCAATGGATATTAGGAGTCTAGTGGCTTCTCCGGAGTCATGCAGAGTCTAGCTGCTTCTCTTGTTTTCTTTGGGGTCTAGCTCGTGTTATTTATCAAGCTATAGATTATTACTTCACTTTATCTGTAGCCAGTTTTCTGGTGGTAAATTTAACAGATATATTCTCTGGTGTGGCTATGAGCCGATTTTAAGGATTTGATTTTAATTGAGCTGCAAATTGTAATGAAAGTTTTTTTCTTCTGTCATAAAGGGATGGTTCATTTGCTTCCATGTACAGGTTTTTACAGGTGTTGTTCGAAAAACTCCAAGGGCTAGACGTAGCCCTTGGTTATGGTTTGGGTCTAGCATCTGAAGGTACGAACTGCCCGCCGACCCGTATACTATAGAACCATAATCTAGTTTTGTTCGAATAAGTGATCTGTATAGGCGAAAAAGCATTTCACGATCCGCTCCCCAATCAGTATGAGAAAGGACTCGTATAATGTTTAACGCCTTGGAACACTTATCCTTCACTCAGATACTTTATATGTGGTATGAAAGAGAGTTTCGAATAAAAAATGAGGCCGAGAAATTTAGTCTGTTCAACAACAGGAATTCTAGTGCCATTGAGTGTTAGATTTGGGTCATTGTGTGCTTTTCGTTTTTGACAGAAATGCATGCACACAGTTTTGGATTTAGAGAATTTGAAGCCGTTTTCGTCTGCCCAATTTTGTAGTTTGTTTAAACTCTGTTGAAGTTGTCGTTCTATCGTGTGCATGTTCTTAGATCTGTAACAGATCAAGAAGTCATCCACAAATAACGACCCTTCTGTTGATTGACCAAGACATTTGACTATATCATTGATTTTAAGACCAAACAGTGTGACTGATAGGATTCCACCCTGTGGGACTCCCATTTCCTGTTTAGACGTTTCAGAAAAAGTTGAACCAACACGGACGTTGAAGTGTCTATCTGATAGGTAATAAGATATAAAATTGAGAAGGTTTCTACGTACGCCAAGGTCGTGAAGATCTTTCATGAAGCCATACAGCCATGTAGTATCATAGTCCTTCTCAAGATCAAAGGACACGGCGACAAGGTGTTCTTTTTTGGGGAAAGCCTCTCAAATGAACGTCTCTAATCTGATGAGATGGTCATTTGTCCCTCTTCTATTTCTAAACCCACTTTGAAGAGGGGATATTATATCGTTGGCCTCAAGAAACCAAACTAGTCTAGTGTTTATCATTCGTTCTAAAGTTTTTACATACACAACTAGTCAGAGAGATAGGACGATAGTTGTTAGGGTCAGTAGCATCCTTTCCCGGTTTTGGGATAGGTATAATTGTGGAGTTCTTCCACGAATCGGAAATCTTTCCAGAAGCGTAAACTTGGTTGAATATGTATAGAAGGCATGTTACTGACGAGTCCTGAAGCAGTGTCCTGTGATTTCTAAGCGAATCAACAAGTTCTGGTCGGGTAAATTGTTCATAATTACTTTCTTTGTTTGATGATTTGAAATTGAGCCTTTTCTTTTCCCTCTTCTTTTTTAAAGACTGGAATTTTTGGGAGTGGTGTAAAGGGGATTAGTTTTTAGCTATGTTTTTGCAACTGCATCAGCAATTTCAGTCATAGACGAGAACATTTTGTTTTTATTAATGAGTTGGGAGGATGTTGCCTTTTTCTTTTTCCCACTTTATTTTCCTGCGATACCCTGGATGCCCTTCCTCAACAGAAGTGGCGACAACACGGCCGTTGTTTTGCCGCTCTGTGTGGAGGTCATCACAAGGAATTTACGGGAATTGGGTGTTCTGTGTTGCGTTTTGACCCTAAGCCACTGCCTTCTTGGGAGTATGTATACCAAGGGCTCGGCGTGACCAGCTGATTGGTGATAAAGGGCCCATATCACCTCTCGTCTACCCAGAGTCAGAAACCAAAGCAGTATGTTGCAGAATATCGGATCATGTCTCCTTCCTATCAGGAGTTTGACAGTGATTCCGACTCTGCTCAACTACCAGGATCTTCTTCCCCCAGGAATACGAGATGCAACCCACGGCAAACAGGTTGGCTCAAATTGGAGCTACTGTGAACCAATGTACCCAGCCTGGGAACATGGACCCAGCTTTCATGGAGGTGGAAGGAAACAAGACTCACATCATAGTACATGTAAAATGTATATTTTGCTTCCTTGCGATTCTTTTTGAGGTCCAAATGTCAAACGTCAAGCTCAGCTATATGGGCAGATTGCTTCTTGATGATTATTGGGGATATACCGGTATTGCCACAAGACGGGGCCCTTACTGACCTGTCAGTGTTCTAGTTACTCTTGTTAAGAGTTTTCTTTCTCAAAGTGGCGTCGCTTACGATTGATAGGTTGTGTTGTGGAAACGGTTCGAGCACCGAACTTTGATGGAAGGGTTAAAAATTAGATGCCATAGCGCATCAAAAGAATTCTGGAGAGAACACTGATGGCTGTCAACTAATATCAAAGTCACAATAATAAACGTAATATCATACTTGTCATACAAGTTGAGATTTGAGTAAGATGTAAAATGTGTTAAGTCATGTCTAAGAGGATTGTTTTAAGTCTAAGATTGACACTTTAAGAGTATTTCTTTCAGCTAATGATCCAAACTAAAGCAGTTTCATTCAAAGTTTTACATTACTAATTATTACCTCACCTGCTCTTCTTGTAACTGTTAAAAAAAGTATAAGTTTTGAAAATTACATCAGTGAAAAGTGTTAAGGCTTTTGTTAGTCTCTTCTATTAGACCATAGGTAATAACCTGATAATTTTGAATCCCTGTAGCTGGGGAATATATGACATGGACGACTGTTGTCATGGTGCTCAATTCCTGGCAGACTCCAAGAAAGTGGATCAAAATAAGTTGTGTATTGATGGTGGATCTGCAGGGGGCTATACCACACTGGCCTGTCTTACGTTTAGGGACACCTTTAAAGCAGGTAGGTCACCTGTACGATATATACTATATTATCCTGTCACAGCCTCAAGGTGACCTTCAAAGTAGGTAGGTCACCTTTACAATATATACTATATTATCCTGTCACAGCCTCAAGGACACCTTCAAAGCAGGTAGGCCACCTGTTCAACATGTGACAATTAGTTACAGAAGACAAGGTCATCTTACAACATACAAGGTCATGTTATACTAGACTTGATCATATAACATTGTTATATTATGACAGACCCCTATTATAGAAAAGGTCACAACAAATAAAGTCATGTTATGATAGACTAGGTCACCATCTATCAGACAAGGTCACATCACAACAGACAAGGCCATTCTACAATAGATCAAATAACAAATTTTGTGTTGCAGAAGTGATTTGGTCAGTTCACAACCCTTTGTCCAACATGCATTACTAGATTATGTTATGTGCCTTCGAAGTTAAAATGGTCATACAGCTAATGTTGTACAATATATGACAAGATGTTCATTGATGTATGGTGGACTCCTCAGGTGCCAGCCACTATGGTATTTGTGACTTGGAGGCCTTGGCACATGACACACACAAGTTTGAGAGTAGATACCTGGACTCACTAATTGCTCCATACAGTGGTGACGGAGTGAAGATCTACAAGGACCGCTCTCCCATCAACTTTGTCGATCAGCTTAAATGTGCTATGGCCTTCTTCCAGGGAGATGAGGACAAGGTATGTTTTAAAAGTTATTTTTATAAAGTGAAGTAAATGTCACACCATGGATACCAGTAAATTGCTATGTATGATTAATGGCAGGTTTATAAACAAGGTCTCTAGCTCACTTACGTTATTAGATGTTGACACTTCAGTTACAGGTGCTAATAATTCACTGAACTGTTAACATTCATCAGACAGATGTTTTTTCTCTGAAGCAGTTCTAAGTTTCAAATTGTGATTGATGTATATAAATATTTTTGTAGATTGTTCCTCCTAATCAAGCTCAAATGATGTTTGACGCAGTCAAGGCAAAGGGCCAACCTACAATGTTTGTCTTATTTGAAGGTCAGTTTCACACTCATTCACTTAGAAAGGGGAGGTCATTGTTGTGTTCACAAAATGTTTGATATTAATACATTGTAGTATAAATCTAGTTGTGTTGTGAATAAGATCATTAAGATAACTTCATATATTATTCTGTTACAAATATGTGGTAACCATTTCATTAACGGTAAGAATAATCCAGGATATAATGAAATTGGAAGGAATTTGTGAAAATAATTGCCTTTGGAATCAAACCAGCAACTCAAGACTTTTTAGTCCCATGCTCTATTGATCTGCAAAAGGGAAATTTCCTGCTGCTGAAGCTCATAGGAATTGGACAATATGTACAATGCACATCCATTAAACTGTTCCACCCTTTTTGGAAATGCTCTTCTCACCCCCAAACCCTCCGCCTCCTACCCAACTTCTACCACCTCAAAAAACACCACAACCTAGTTTCATCAGCTTCACACCAAGGGTCTTTTTTAAAGGGGGGTTCATCAGTATGGTTCAATTTGTAATTGGAAAGAAGTTAGTAGTGAAAAGAACACAAGCTTTCACTAATATTACAAAGTCTGGATTATTTTTCTCTTTGGTTTATACTTGTAAATTTGTTTTTTAAGAGTGTATTTTGTTGTTGTTAAAATCTTCAGGGGAACAACATGGCTTTAGAAAGGCAGAAAATTTACAGACAGCCTTGGATGGAGAGCTCTATTTCTTCTCGAAGGTGTTCGGCTTTGAAGCTGCTGACATCACATGTGATGTGAGTATTTGTTTAACAACATGTCACTGATATCTTACGTGTATGAATATAAAATCACTTCACTGACCTAGTTATCATTCTATGATTTGATTGGTACACTGTATTATTTCCCTGTAGAATTAATAACTTGACCCAATTCTTGAATTATGTTTGTTGTTGGACTGTGTTGGAGTATAGTTTGGTTATTGTTCTCAAACTAACCTATGGGACAGATTGCAGAAATTATTCTGGATCATCCTTCAATACCCAGCTTTCCTTTGTTCCCTGTTTGAGGGCTCCATGGGTTAAAACTCACTTATACAAAACTCATTATACAATATTTTTTTTAACCAAGTTGATTATCTCTCTTCCCTCATGTATGACTTCTAGATCAGTAGCAGAGAGACAAAAAGATAACCAATTCAATAAAAGGAATAATTGTTATTTTTCAGAAAATTATTCACAACATGTGAAGAAAACATTCCACAACAAAAGTAACTGATTTTTCCTGATGTTTCCTGGCTGTCTCCATTCACGTGTGATCAAGTACCAAGAAGAGCTTCACTATTAAGTGCTATCAATTTCCATAGAAGATGTATTAGTTTGGTTGTTGAGATTTAAGTACCATTATAAACCTTAACCTTATATGTCAAATGAACCAAAGTGAGAGTATCCCATAATACTGGGACTTGCGATGATCATTGTCCATTAATATAATTTTGTCCTGCTAAACTGAATGGATTTCATCCATATTTTTTATGTAGTATCATTTAGATCAGGGAATTAACACTATATTTAGCAAGTTTGTGGCTCCCTGGGGGTAGAAAGGCAGGACCCAAAAGTGGAAAAGGTATTAATCTTTAAATGAACATTCTTCTGGTATGAAGTAAGGGATCTTGGCATAATTTAATTGGTATGGAAATTCCTTGATCCAAAGGGGCAGGGCCAGAGATATATGGTTGGAGATTCCTTTGAAATATTTGGTATATTGCCGCCATGGATTCCACCTGGAGTTTTTTTTATTAAAATAATGTGTTAATGAACTGATTTTGCTTAAACGTTTTGGAAATATGAGTACATGGTTTTGAGTGAATACCAGTAGTGTATAGTACTAAAATTTTCATCACAATCATCTTTTTATCTTTGTTTCCGTTTCATTAGACTGTGGAATTCATTTGAGAGGTATTTAAGGCCCTTTTGGCCTTTTTCTAGTATAAAACTGTATTATGTATATTAAATATGCATGATATCGTAATATTATATAGTCTTTGTGCCCATAAAGGCATAATTATACATACATAATTGATCCCAAGTTTTAGGCCAGGGATGGTTAACATTGTCCCCCTTTTGTTTCTATGTTAACATTATTTTTCAAATAAGTTCAAATATATATCTGAATGAATAATGACTATATTTATCAGAAAATTTCTAAACTTACTTGAAATGAAGAAACATATTTCAAATGATGTCAGTTATTTTTATAAACTTTTTTTGAGGTTTTCCATTTTTGGTAACATACAATGTATGTATGCATTGAAAGTAATTTATTTTGTTGATTTTTATTACATGTTTGATTTCGATGTTGGAAAAGTAACAAGAAAAACTTAAAATTCCAATTACCAACCAATTATCATCAGTTATGATTTTAAACTAATTGCTCATTACTACTATGTACTAAGTTAAAACTACCAAATGTTGATATCTCGGAGATGCACAAAGCGAAAGCTAAAGGCATTCAACGTTTCATTAAAAAATAGTAAAAGGATTTCAATAGCTAAATATTAATAACTTTCTTCAAAAAGTGTTCTAATTTAGTTACCCTTATGTTAGTGTGAAGATGAAAAAATAAACACTCTTGGATTGGTGTGAAATTTTTGTTGGTGTGAACTGGTTTCTTTTTCAATGCTGTACAATTCACACAGGGACACCTTAATGATAAAGTTGTATTGATGGCACTATATACTGTAACAAGGGTCATATCAATAATATATATCTACAAATCTTTACTGATATCTTATATCATACTTACATGAACTTGTTTATTGATTTATCAATAAAGATGATTCCCAATATCATGTCGAGTGATTTTTGTTCTTTTGTTATGCTAAAGAGAGCTATATAACCATCAACAGTCTGTGGGCTTATCAAATTGCACTGTGTCCATGGTCTGTCTGTCCTTAAATAATTTTTGTTAATGCCATTTCTCAAAAAGTTTTGAACAGATCTTTCTCAAATTGCATTGATGGAGAATACAGGATGGCCATCTTGGACTTCGAGAGTTCAAGTTTGTTATCCCTATTTCTCAACGAGACTTTACAGGTGCTGGTAGCCGACACTGCTGTACTAATTCATTTTCAGCAAAATATATATCATTGTACGGTGTATTTCTATCAGAGATTGCTTTAAACAACATGGCCAAGTTACCCCGATTGTGACCTGCCCTAAAGCTTTCTGTGGGGGTCAACCTTTTCTTGTACTTTTTTTAATCCATACCACCCAAGAACACTTACAACCAAATATGGTTCCAAAGGAAAAGTTGCTTCTAGTCTATTATAGGAACATTGACTTTTGTTAAACCACACCCAAAATGAATTGGCTTCTTCCTCTCCTCTACGTCAATCCATGTTACTATAGTAAGATTTGTGGAATCCATTGTTCTCAGTTGGACTATGGGACGCAATTCTCCCTTTAGTAACCAATATCAACAGGTCAACCCACATACCAAGTCTAAGCTTAGTGAGATCACTTGTTCTGAAGTAAGCTCCGGACAAGAAAATTACATGAAAACAAATTACCTTAATCTTCGACAAACAAAACCAAAAACCAACAGGGTCCTTGCCTTTTTTCTAAAACAATCAACCAACACATATCAAGTTGGGAGCATTTGTTCTGAAGTAAGCATCCAGACAGCAACATATGTCAAGTTCTATTTTCCTGAACAGTGACCTTGAATTTCAGCAGACCATGTCCAAAATTAATAGGGTTCTCTTTCGTAGGGTAGCTTGCATACAGTCAAAGCTTTGTTCGATTCTTTAGTAACAGTAACCTTGACCAGGCATAAGCTTCCTTTGATCATTCAGTAACAGTAACCTTGACCAGGCATAAGCTTCCTTTGATCATTTAATAACAGTAACCTTGACCAGGCATAAGCTTCCTATGATCATTCAGTAACAGTAACCTTGACCAGGCATCAGCTTCCTTTGATCATTCAGTAACAGTAACCTTGACCAGGCATAAGCTTCCTTTGATCATTCAATAACAGTAACCTTGATCTTTGATGACAGGGCTAAGCTTCAATTTGTTACAGTTGTTTTTTTTTTCCAAATTAACATGTTTTTATTCAACCTTTTGCATATTATACATTTGACAGTATATTGTACATGTTAAAATTAATATATCTGGTATATAAATATATAGATCTGTGAACAATATACAATGAAAATTTCCTCTTGACTGCCCATCTTATATTTTTCCTGGACACTGTTTTTAATTTTTTATTAGTGACTCAGGAAGGTGTTTACTGTATTTTTGTTCCCATTATGGTATTTAATATAGTTATCAGGCATTCAAAAGGATTCATTGTGCATGTAAAAAGTTTTTTTGTTTTTTTTAATCTACATCGACATATCTCTCACTCACGCATTCTCACATTTTCACAATATACGTGCACATGATATGTTGTATGTGGTAATTCTATTCGGTCTGCAGGACTGCGGCATTGATTATTGAATTTGGGACCATTTTTTTCCAAATTTTTCATATTCCATGGTTTTTTGCTGTGATTTCTTCATATTGTATATACCTGTCCAGTTCTGTTTTAAAACCTAAAATACTTGGTATGCATTTTCTCAGTTTTTGCTTATACATGTGGAATTTAGCGATTATAATTATAATGTTTAGAGATCTTATTTCTTGTTTATGTATTAGTTTGCCTAGTATTACATCATTATTCTGGAGTTGTATAATTTTATTGGTTTTGTTTTGTAGCCATAATTTTAGTTCATCCCAAAAGTTTTCTACTATTCTGCATTCCCAAAACAAATGGATTAATGTTTCAGTATGTCTATTGCAAAAGGTGCATAATGGAGAGTCGTTTATTTTAATCATATGCAGATATTTATTAGTACTTATGATTCTATGCACTATTCTGTATTGGAACCATCGTAGTTTACATTCAATCGTTGATTTAAATGGGATTACGTTAATTTTTCTCCACCATATATCATTTTCTGCTAAGTCAAGTTCAGTAGACCATTTCATTTTATGTTTATTGTTTGTTTTTAAGTCTTTGATCAATAAATGATATATTGACATTCCTCTTTGTTTGTTTGTTATTATACAATATATGTGTTTTGGGCATTGGGGTAGCATAAAGGTGTGCGGTCTATCTTGTATTACATTCCAAGCAGATATGATAGCATTTCGAATGCCGTAGAACCTTGTAACTGGTGGGCGAAAATTGAATTTATCACAGAATTCTTCATATGACTGGATTAATTCTCCTCTTTCATTTAATAAGTCGTATACATACATTATATTTTGTTCTTCCCATAGCTTAAAGTGCACTGGTTTGCTATCAATCTTTATTTTATTATTATACCATAAATGTTGATAAATATTGTCGTCCTCGTCCACAGTATTGGAAAAGCAGTATAGGTCATTTAGAACTTCCTTCCAAAAAAGGTTTCTGATCAGGCTTGCTTTCTTTTTTATAAATTCTTTTCCATAGTTAATAATAGAGTTTATATTGTCTCCAATTTACAGTTACAGTAACCTTGACCTTTGATGACAGGGCTAAGCTTCAATTCGTTACAGTAACCTTGACCTTTGATGACGAGGCTAAGGCTACATTCGCGTATCCGGTTGAAACTGTTGAACCGATTGAACATGTAAAGAAAATGACAGGTACAGATTTGGACCGAGGCTGACCTCAGGAAAATTTGGTACGTGTAGATTGAGGGGTCCAGACGTACCTGACCGAAACTAAAATGCTGACTATTGCCAATTTGCGTTATTTCTTTCTTAAACAATGTCAAGTTACATGTAATTTTTAAGATACATTATGTAATTTAGTGGACGCGTGAGAGAAGGGCATAATATTCTTGATACATTGTTTTTTTATTCTCCGAAACTGTGGATTTTTAGCTCTGCTTATAGAACGGTCCAAGTGTGTTCGTTTATCATGGAAAATTTCTGTGCCACACATACCGTTTCAACCGGGATAAGCGAATGTAGCCTAAGCTTCGATACAGTAACCTTGACCTTTGATGAATTGTGCTCAAAATCAATATTTCTTCCTCTTCCATAGGGCAACACACTAATTTTAACTTGGTGTGTTTATTTGTTATGAAGTAGCATCAAGACAGACAGGTAATTCTTTCTATGAAACTTTATCTTATTATCAGTGATTTGAACGTGGATAAATGGCACTGAAAATCAATAGGGTTCCAAGTCTGAACTCTGTGCAGACATTTGTTCTGGAGTTAGGATCCAGATAATTCAATTTTTATTAACAGTCACCTTGCCATCCAATGAATCATGCCCAAAATCAATAGGACCAAGTTTGAGCTTTGTGCAATCATTTGTTATGAAATGTAAAATGCTTATCATCATAACCCCCCCCCCCAAAAAGCACATAAAGCATTACACAGGAATTGACATTTTTATTTTTTTCACAATTGTTGAACATTTTATTTAAATGAAAAATTAAATTGTTAAACAATCACCTTTTAATTCAATTATGAACATGAAACATAAGATACATCATTGGCCATGTTGGAGCAAGGCTATACATTTTTAGAAACCTTGACTTACTAGTTAGAGAGGATTTTCCATCAAAATTAAGGTGAGGTAACAATGTTAATATGGTATGTATAGTAAAAGTTAGATTCTTTCAGAGCACAGCTAACCGGGTATTACTGTTTTAATTATTACTGTTGAAAACAGCATTGCGATGTTTGAAATATGCTGTACCTCCAAAATTCTTACTTAATTGCTTTTAGAAAATAATAAACCGCTCTGAAACAACCACCGACAGGCTATAACATTATACATGTTCTATCATGTTGTGATGCTGCAATATTGAATTTGACATGCACAAAAGAGCTAATCTGATCAAACTTTTGAACAATACCAATAAACATGTATACTGGTATATATTTAAGAAATGAAGGCATAGTAAGAACATATGAAAGAACTGCCATTATACTCTCAACTCATAGGTTAAATGCCAATATTGATTTAGGTCCATTAGGCCTGCATCGCTTTCTTGGTTTAATTCATTCTCAATGTAAAAAAATCTGTTTTAAGTTTAAAATCCTAATGGTCTAATTTTATACTTAACGACAGACACAGTGTCACAGCAAAAGTTCAGTTAAGCCTCTTGGTGAGCTAATAAAAATTATCATTAATTCTGAGAAATAATAAATGAATGAAATATAATGTCAAAAAAGTGCATTCGCTGGACTTAACAGGTGGATTTCAATAGTCACTTCACTGATACAAGCAACGAAAGACCAGTTTGAACGAAACACTACACAAGCAAGTTTTGATTTACATGGTCACATAATAAAATATATTACATTGCACACAAGTTAACAGCTCAATATTTCAATTTCAAAATTCAACAAGATTGAAAATACCCAGATCACTTGTAAATGGTTCTTACCTATAAAAGGAAAGTAAAAACAAAATTTTATTGTAGCTGTTCAAGATAAATGTTTATATAGTTGATAAAGCATGGATAACAACTTCTTGGCGTCAGATTCATGATACTAAATTTTCCTTAATTATTGTAACTTCCAAAACAGCATTTAAAAGTGGAACAGATTCAGTACTCATTACAACTTGACCAGTCACAATAGTGACAACAAACCATTGTATTGATACTTATTTTTGGTCATTGAAATATCTACCCAATCCCAGGACTCCAAAGAAACAACTTTTATTTGCGGTTATATTTCCTTACAATTTTTGCTATTGCAAATGTTTTTAATTCTATGGTTAGTCCCCCTACACAAAACCTAGATCCCAGAGTTCTGGAGCGAGATAGATGCTTTCTTGGAATAGTTAATTTTCGCATGTTTTGAGTAGTTATTGGATAATTAATCACCATTTTGACAGTATACAGATTTCATATCTGGACATTTCTGTTGTACGTTAAGGCATGAATATATACAAACAATAAATGAAAAACAGTCCTTTATGGTCTGTGGGTGTAGGGACCCCAATGTACACAGTACACAAATATAACCTACGTGTCAAATATTAATATTCTAGTAGCAATTATGCCATGATTGAGGCTATCACATGTGTTAAATACACCATCCAGTGTCAGTGATATAAGAGATACTAGGCCTAGGTAATGTGAAAACTTCACACTTAACTATTTTTCGGGAAATAAGTAGGATCAAAGTATGAAACAAGAGTATTGTGAACAATATATAAAATGCACAAGGCTGACGAATATGGATCCAGAAAGTATAGGGGCTTATTCATTTATGTGGACAAAATGGTCACTGTGGTGCATCTGTTTTTAAATGTGGTGTTTTAAAAATAAAGCCTGACAGACCTGCAAATGTAAGTGCAGGCCTTGAAAGTATTTGACAAGGCTAACCGGAAGGTAACATCAAATTACTAGGTCCGTCCCCATTTCATAAACAAACAACATTGGCCCAACTGCTAAATGAAAGCAGCCTATGTGTCTACCTCTCATCAAGTTCTACAATTTCACCAAGTTTGACTAAGATTAGGTTAGAAATAATGAAGTAATGAATCTACCTGTCAATCCAATGGAAATTTACCTTGAAAACCTCAAACTTTCATAAAAATTTGATGTGTCTACTTCAAACTAACAACTTCATGAAGTGTTAATCATCGATAAATCAGTTTGAAGCAATCAACCTTGTATGACTGGTATTAAATTACCTCTGATCAATTACCACAACCACAGGATCTAGATTATTAGCATCTAAAAGACATATCTGGTTGAGAAGGTCTTCACTGTATGGAGATAAGAACACTTAATGAGCCTTGTTCTGATTGAAGTAACATACGTATGCAATATGTGATTTGTGGCACGAAAAGTCATAAGATTTCAGTTGCGTAATCTATAAAACAAAACAAAATCAATGCTGCATATATTATACCAAAGTAATGCATCAGGAAATATGCACTTGGTAAAATATGGTTTAAACTATTTCTCACAAATCATCTGCTTCAGATACCATACATCACACACATTCTGTAAACACTCTCTCCCACGTTTCTGCACTTAAAAAAGCACTAAAGCAGAGGTGAGTACACCTTGCTTCACACATTGTCCCAGTACTAACACATCACCTTCTATGTGAAGAGACATTCGACCCTCCTTTACCAAAGTTTCACAAGTCATACTGGGTATGCTGTACTGATTGCAATACTCGTTTCTGCACTTGATTCAACCCCTTAATCTTAAGCGGTGAAAATGTTTGTGCCCAATAGTGATCGTTTACATGTCAGTTTTATGCCAAACATATCGAATTGAGAATTCGAAGATGGACATGTTTGTCAAACAGATCCTCAACATGGTACATCCTTTTAGTCGTGCGGCTGTCTGAAGGGCACCTGACCAGGGTTTCATTGTTGGATTATGTTTAATGTTCCACTTTGCGACTAAGCAGACGCTGGACAAATTCCCAATGGGAAGTGTTCCCTGTTCACGTCACAGCAGAGATTCAACAGAATTGGACCAGGTGTAATCCATGGCAGCCTTAATCCTGCATGTCTTCCTGAATCTCGTGAGGTCCTATGATACCCGGAACAGCCATCTGTACCTTTCGTTTCTCATCAGCTGCTTGTTTGATGGCGGCTTCTCGCTCCTCAAGGAATAAATCACTGTTGTCTTCACCAGCAAACTCCTGCAAGCGGTTATAATAGAATGTGAGTTTCAGGTCTGCAACTCTCAAGTACAAACACACTCAGTTTGAATTCTTACTTAAAATTCAACCTGTGTCCCCTGGCAAGGGACACCAATAAACATCAAAATTTATATTAACCAAATTCAGTCTTTTACAAACTTAATACTTAGGCATCTGGGATACATTATGTTTAAGTCGAATAGTACAGAGCAATCAATGCCAAACTAGTATTTTAACAATCAACATCTGATATAATCTATCTATAACATTACACTGTACACACCAGTTCCCATTTATTTACTCATTACAAAAACAATTACATAAAATTAATCTTGTTATCAAGCATGAATTCTGTGCTCAAAGCAACTTCCTAGCCACTCTCTGAAATCATGTGACAAAGTCACTTCAGACTTCTTCCAAATCAATGAACAATGTGAGAACTAGAAACATTTATGAGTTTGGCTTGAACACATTATCTGCGGAATCTGAGAATGGAATCACAAATGCAGCACCATTAAACTTATAAATGCAAACACTCAAACATACCCTGATCTGCACAAGGAAATCTCGGACATGCTCCTTGAAGGCTGGGATATCTCTGTCAAAGCTGAACGCACCCTCGATAAACACTCGGATTTGTGGCCTGTAAACAAACAAACACAATTAATACAATGTACTTTGAAACAGATGTTACAAACAATTGCCTTTTGTCAACATGATCATTAGCTCTGTCATTGGTGGGACTAGTCAATCCCCTGAATAGCAGCTCCTATAATTGGGGCTTCCTAAATAGTGGCTTCTATAGTATTTACAGACCCCGAATCATTAGATCCTAAAGTACTTATTAACTCCCGATATCAATACTTCCAATAGAAATTACTGACCCTTGATTAGTAACTCTTGAAAGTACTTCATGGACCCCTGATCAATATTTCCAAAAGTACTTATTAATTTTATGACTGGTAGCTCTCGAAGTAGTCAGACTGATGGTAGCTCTTGTAGTACTTACTCATTGAGATGAGGAAAAGCTGCTTTTAGAAGGTTGAGGAGGAACTGCTGTATGTATTGGACATTTTGTGATGATGATGAGTTTGAACCAAGGGCCACTGTGACCTTCCCCGTCTCCACCAAAACAAACATGTAGGCTAAAATTGTGGCTTGTGTTGTCAGACCTACAACAAACAAATATTCACATTGCACAAAAACGGGAAAATACGAGAAATGACTGCAATGAAACGAAGAAGAATGAATATTTTATAGATAAATGTTGACTCCATATCACATTTTCATAGTCAGTCCAGCTATTGAAGTGTGTTAAGTTTCCATTACACGTATAGTTACTATCAAATATATCCAGAATCTGATATGCAGAATATGAGAACTTGGGTAGTACCTGGTAACATTAGATTTACCTGCTGTGTGAGAGCTGTCTGTCACAACAGAAAACACATGCTGTAAGATGTCTGTAAAATAGGTCTGATAGAAGCTCTGGGCTGCAGTCTCCTCGTTGGCTATATTCTGTAGCAACACATACAGGATGTCTAGTCCAGTGTCCGCCACGTTCCTCATGGTGTGTTTAAAAGCCCAAATTATAGAATCCAATACCAACTTGAATTGTGCTGGTGGGATGTTCAAGAAAGCTGGAATAGAGGTTGCAAACTTTCATTAGTCTGTGTATTAAAGACACACATGTTAGATTAATACTTATAGTAATACTACAGTATCTTTAAGTCGATAAAGTATTAAGTGGTTAAGTTTTGTTATAGCAACCTTATTGAGGAAAATATTGTTTTTGAAAGTTGCTTTTTATCAAAAGGAAGTCTTTCCAACCGTAAAAATATTCCCATGATAACTGCTGTAAAATACAGACATTTCATAAGTGCTAATCAGACGTTCTTACCCTCATAGCACATCATTAAAGACTTTAATACCAGTTATACCGTTTTTCTTGTGATTACAAGTAAAATTTCTTACAATTATTGAAGGAACACTGTTTATAACGAGTAAAGTTTAGATAAATTGTCAAACCTTGGAAGCAGTGCGAGTTGACAGCTTGCAAGAGCAGGAAGAAGTTTGTTCTGTGCTCTGGGAACTCCTCAAAGTCCTTATTGATCATATCCAATGTACACTCAAACACAGCATCAAAGATCTGGGGGATGTCCTTTGTAATGTGGTTCTGTGGAAAAAAACAGTTCATTTTTTTAATTAAAACAACGGTTTGACATGTTTATCACTTCTGATGTAAATAGACAAATTGGACTCCAGTCTAGAACACTGAAATTTAATTCCAGATACTCACTTCCAATCTGTTGACAATGGTTGCCATTGTGCTGAGCACCTCAGGTTCTCTGGCAGCTGGAACATTTCTTTGGTAGTCAAGTAACACAGCGTCCAATAAAGGTGGAATGAAGTTCTCAGCAACCTGCACAAAGGAATGAATTTGCCCCGTTACAGACGTAGACTGAACCTACTTAATGGTTTCTCAAGATTCACAAACTCAAAAAATTACTGTCCATCTGCGTGTCAAGTTTACAATTATCAAGTCCCTATTTTGTTTCATGAAATTCAAAAGGTAACAAAACTGCTATTACTTAAGATTGATGGTACTTACCATGGCAGGATCATTGGAGCGACTGACCCATCCTGATATCAACTTGAGTGTTTCTTTCTTGACTGTCCTCATGCTCCTGATAAGGGGCTGTTTGGTGACGCTCTCCCCGTTGGTAGCTATAGCACTGCTGATATTCTCACTCATGACCTTGTACACATTGAGCATGTCCAGATAGATCCTCCCCAACTATACAGAAAATAGAAAGTATCATAAGCATGGTACTGGTTTTGTAACATACCAGCACAAAAACAAGAACATTTGAAAAGCAATTAATTTATGGAACAGTGGACTACTACAGAAAAAAGAGGAAGTAAAGATCCTTAAATAGATGTAACAGGTGGGGTTTTTATGGTAACAAGAACCAAGAATGAAATTCGTCTAATCTAAATACTGTTCATTCACAATTTCCTTAATTTAATTATGCAAGGACAAGTTATATGAAAGGTCAAGATAACTTGCGATGGTTGCTATCTTGCAATTTGAAAGATGTTAAAGTGATTATAAGTATACAGCACATGTTAAAACTGGATATTTGGAAAGTAACTTCCTCAAAAAGGAGAATACTGTGACTCACCTGTACAACATAGGGGTGGCCCAATGCCTTGCAGGCTCTGACATTAGTTTTCAGGATGTTTCCAAGTTGTTTTACAGCATCAGCATCCTTGAGCACTTCAACATTCTGTGTAGCTTGGTTGATGATTCCGTCCCATACTTGGTTTGGCAGTAGCATGTACCTCTCAATAAGATGTTCTTGGGCCACCTGGTCAGTCTGTGCACTGATCATTAACCCAACTGCCTCGTAAAATGTATGTACCTAGAAATGCAACAATTATTGGTGGAATTTGTAAAACATTTGGATTTGCCAAGTCTCAAAATGTCAACATGGTTTTTATTTATCCCTTCGTCTATGTAATGGTTCTATGTTTATTTCCTAGGAACAGTTAATAGCAGAGACATTGAATGTACCTATATCTTGATATTAAACTGTAATTATGTAACATACATCTGTTCTACTGTCTATTCAATCATTCAGCACCAGGTAATTTACATTTAGCTATAATAATGTACTTTAAATCAAGAATGTTAGCAGTGACTGTGTACAACATGAGCTCATCCATATCAGCATTGATTTCCTATTTACCTGCTGCGGCTGTAGATCACAGATAATAGTGTTGATGCCATTTAAGATTTCTTCAATGAAAGGCATGACCTCGCCCACTTGCACTTGCACAAAGTGACGACGACATTTCTGTGCTATCTTGATAAATGTGTCGCAGGCCATATCTTGTACACCATCATGAGTTTCTGAAATAGTAAACCACATCATTTTATAAAAACATATTTCAAATTTCTTTCTCCCTTTAAAAATAAATAAATAAAAATTGCATACATGCTTTTCGTTATTAACATTTTCCTCGTTTGACTTTCACATTAATAGCGGTCAAAATACTTACCATGCATAAATTCAAACAATTTGTTGACAACTGTTTTGAGAAACTTCCAATGAGCCCGGAGAAAGCGTGGGTACTGCCCTACTACGTACATGATGTTGGACGCTATGATGGCTTTGTTGTCCTTCCCTCTCTTCTGCTCACATAACCCTAACAAGTCCTGAAGAATAGTATTTGCATTAAGATATAATGCAAAAACAAACATTTTAGCTCTAACTTGTCCTTGAGACCATGGTTAATGAAACTAAATAAGCGACAGTTGCAAGTAATACAGTACATACCTGGAAAATATACAATGCAGAAATGAAAATTAATTAAATTTTCAAAATTATTTCAAAATTGAATTCAATCAACATTGCATCTCGTAAATTTTCTTTTAGTTAACAAGAGAAATGGATCAACCTGTTAATTCAAATTTCTTTTCCTTAACAACTCACCTTTATCACAATCACCAAGAACCTCTTTTCATCATCTTCATGCATTGCACCACTGATTGACCCAATAGCCCAGCATAGCTGTTAAAAATATTGTAAAAGGTTGAGGGCTTTTGGTTTTAATTAACAGCAAACAGATGTCTTACACAGAAGACTGGTTTGAAGCAGCAAATTCGAAAAGTTCAAAAAAAGAAGGAGACATTAAAAGTTTTAAGGAAAAAAAAACAAAAGGACAAAAAAAGCAAGGGGTGTTAAAATTAGCCAACAAGTTGAATTCCACAAAATCTAATAGATACATACTGTATTAAGATTTTTCCATGACCATTCAGTGCCATTCACTTGATTGTGTAGTTTTTCAGTCATAATGGATTCAGTGTCTGCACAATCCAAATGTGTTAGATAGACTGAAAATAAGAACATTCAATTGAAATGACATGTCCATTCCTTTATGACAACAATGCCTAGCAAAAACACTTTCAGTTGCTTACTAATCAGAATAGTAAAATTTCAAATTTTAGTGAAATCCTGCAGGCCAACAAAAGTGATTTAAAGTTTCTATATATTTATTTCCACTAGTGTTGACATTACAATTTCTAGCCCCAGGTATCTGGTTAGTGGAATGGTACACCCTTGTTCACTTCCCAAGTAACTGATTCCTTTAACAACTTAATCTAAGTTCACCCAAAATCGTTATCTGGGAGCAAATTACATGTAGTTACCATGAACCAAATATTTTGAACAACATCATTGTAGTGGGAACAAAGTATTTACCAAGTGTCTCCCTCATGTTCTTGTATAAATTTATTGAGTCTGTATCCTTCATGAATTCCCTAACAACCTCTCCTTGTTCATTTTCCACAACCAGCACCTCTTCAGGTTTTGCCATTCTAGAGATCATCACTCTCCGCACTCGTGATAACACAGGGTTGTACAGCTGTCGTCGGGCAGGCAGCTCATTATGGTGAGACTTGCCCAGGAGAAGAGGAGAGGAACTTGTGGCAGAAAAGGGACTCTCCCTGTAAATGTCTGCTGCCAGGCTATTCCAATACTCGAGACAGATTTTGAAAATCTCCACTTCTTCAACTTCTGATATCAGGATAAGGTAATTAAGTGCCTGAAAAAAATTAATTAAAAAATCTAAAAATATCTCTCTTCATTTTTGTGTGTTTAAGTTATGTTGTTGCATCGCAGGTAATATAAAAAGAGCATAAAGATCGACAGTGAAAGTTAGTAAAAAGAAATGGAAAGAAAAGGGGAGCAGAAAAATGTTGGTCATCCCTTTAAAAGATCTATACAAGAGTCATTCTGCATTTGTGAAGAAAATTTCATAAATGTTGCTAAATGGATCAAATTATTTTTAGAGTGACATTTTTACATATTATTTATTTCATAAAAAAACTTGGACCTTACCTCCAGTAACGTTTCATGATTCTCCTGTTTTCTCTCTATTAATGTACTATGTTCCTTCAAATAAGAACACAGGAAAAGACTGAGATTTTGTATGAAGTTTTGTTCGTCATCTGTTCCACTCTGGTAAGCTTCTCTCAAGTTAGTTTGTAGTGGAAGCATCTGCAAACAGCACAAAACAACAAAATTAATTCTAATTCACAAAACAATCTATAATATCATAAAACACATCACCCAATTATCTTGATTTTAAAATCTGTTTAACATACTATTTATATAAACTGGATGTATGTGGGGTCACAAAAAGGTACCAGATTTATTTATTCCTTGAATCTAAACAAGTTTTACCTGTTTCAGTTGCCCCATTCCTAAATTGAAGAGAAGTAAAAATTGGTCATCGTACTGCGATACTTGAACAGCAGCTGGAATGAAAATTTAGTTGTTAACAATAATAGTCAACATCAAATATTACCAATTTTATGATGAATGATCTGACAGGTATGTTTAAGATTTTGAACCTGAATGCGAGACATTACAATTTACATTCCATATGGTACATGCAACAACTAACACATCTTTCTTTTGATCTTTCAATTAAGACTTACATTTTTAGGTTATTAAAGGAAAGAACATTGCCATGGAAGCAGTTCATGTTGAAGTTGTCTAAAGACCATTTAGTTTATCAACACATTAACTAGCCCATGGCATGATTGAAAATTTGGACCTATATATTTTCATTAAACATATTTAAGTACTGGAATATACTGATACCAGTGTAAGATCTGTGGATCAGAGAGACGGCGTGACATTGATCCCTACAGGAGTTACTCACCTATTTCTGTGAGACACTTCAGTGTGACATTCCTGAACATTGGAACATTCAAAAACTGTAATGTAAAAACAGCAAATATAAGACTGGAATTCACACAATGTGGACAAATATATTTATTTAATAAATGAAAAATATAATGGTTAGTTTCTCACGCACCACTGCATCTAATTTATGTCCTGAAGGATTCTACTAATAAATATCCACAACAACAACCAACGGTGATTTACAGCAATTAATTACTGTTTGAAGCCAGAATCAATTCACATACTTTGAAGTTTGAAAATGATAAAATCTGTTGTCGGATTTATGTTTTTAAATGTTTTTAAATAAAAGTGTAAAAGCTTTTAGGGCATACACATTAATATGTCATCAGTTAAATGCAAAATACAAAAAAAAAAAAAAAAAAAAAAAAAAAGGCCCCCCANCAGGCCTGCCTGTCTCATAACTTTTTGCAAAAAATGGACAGAGAAACTAAGAATTAATATTTTTGCCTACAAATAACATCATTGATTATATTGCATAAAAAAATGCAAAAGTTAAATAAAAAACAGAACAGTTTAATCACAAATATTATATATATAACATGTTGCATGAATTATTGTATTTTGTAATCATATGCTGCAGTGTTACAAGAATATTTGAATTAAATTTAGTCTTATAGCATCTGTAACAGTGGGGATAGTACTGCTAAGTGTCTCATGTTCAAGTGAGATATTTTAATAATTGATAATAGCTATTCCTTATACATATATTGGGATAAACCCAACCTACAGATGCGGAAATAAGATTTCTTATGTTTAAGGTCACGTACAGTGAAAATCACTTAAATTTGACACCATGTGTCATATCATGCTCATAAATAGAACTAAACTTTAACCCTTTCACCACTATAGACCATAATGGAACTATCCAGATCAATGCATAGTAGAGTTTATTAAAGTTACATAGGGGTGAAAGGGTTAAGTGAAGTTCCAGTGTATTCTGTCTACTGTGATGTACAGAAAGTATACAACTGTGTGTAACATTTAGGCGCAAAAAGAATAATGTGAATTGAAGACTTGCAGTCATTTTCAAATACTTGCAAGGGAACCAAATGCAGTATGTGATTTTAAAATAAAATGTACCATGCTGTGCATCAAAGGTAATATAGTGGGACTTGTCATTTTCTTCAGCCATTAATTGCAATGTTTTTTTTTCTTCAGCTATTAATTGCATGGGGTTTCTATTTACTATGGGTCTGGATGGAATCCATTGTAACCATATCATTTATCATGAATTTTCTTTAAATTATTTAGAAGCAAGTTTTCTACCACCCTACCAAATACCTAGAGGCCAGGACTCGCACCAGAGCATGAATTGGTTTGGTGGCCTTCCTGGAAATATACCATCATGTCAAATAACTTGACAGAAAACAAAAGATACATGCCCAGATATACAGTTAACACTTGGAAATAACACATCCAGCAGTTATTGATTGTAAACTTGGTCATTCTTATTATCAAATACCCATTGACCCAGATGGCAAGATAGCTAGGAGAGGACTTATATAGGCATAGCCTGTTGTCCAATCCTTTTGATTTTTCAATAAAATTTACTGAAATGATAGCATTTTGATAATATGCAATTCACCCCCCATTCAAGGTGCTGATACATGCAATAAGTTTCAGGTAATTGATGATTACCTTTGAAATAAAAAATGTTCTTTAACTTATTTGTTATAAACAAAAACTGTCACATGCAATATTTACAAACTGGTTTATCTTCACCTTCTATCACATCTTTCATCTTTTTAAAATATTCTCTCATTTGGGGAAGCAGGTTTGTTTGGTTTCCGCTGTGTTATAAAAACCTTTTCTCACCAAAGGGTGTGTAATGCCCTTTTATAGTTCATACAAACTTTAACAAGCAATTTTCCTATACTTTCTTGCAGTTTTCAAAGTCAAAATTATTTCAGGAAGGGGTAAAGATTTTCTGCTTTCAGTATACATATTCTGTTACACTGACTTCAATTCCAGCACTTATTGCGTGTATGAACTATGCAGGGGTCGACACTAACACCTGTCCATTAGTCCTGGACTAGTAGATTTCAGGAAGGACAAGTTAATCACCTAACGTAACTGGTCCTTTGGACTTGTGAGAAATATGATTATAAAATAAGAATATTCCTTTCAAAATTTAGAAAACTGCTTGAAATAAGATAAATTACATGATAATTGTCAACATTTTCCCCAAAACCTTTACCATTTTAATATGGCAGTTGTTATTTTAAGTCCCCTGCAGTCAATTGCTTTTGATTCCTTAAGGAAATCTTGGACTAATTACATTGATGAAGGACTAGTAAATTATCTAATCAACTAGCCCTGTGGACTACCAAGCAAAAACAGTTAGTGTCTAACCCTGCTATGTCCTTATTGGGATAGTTATTATTCATATGCAATATACTGAATCACATTTTATACTGCTTCAAAGCTTGTTAATGATGATGTGAAGCTAAAAACTAAAAGCAATGAAAGATTATATATACCTTGTAAATCAGTGTACTGATCAATTTTGTTTCAAAAATATATCCAAGTGGGATCCAGTTGAGAAATCGCAGTAACGTTTCCAGTGTTGCACCAACCAGAGGTGCATTTTGAGAATTATCCTGAAAGAAAAGTCAGCAAAATTTTATCTAAATGCTGTAGGACATTCAATGAATGGTCACATCTTTTACACATTCATGTACAAGTTTAGCAATATAACTAATGAATTTTAAAATGTCTCTTCAAGAATATGAGGGCATTGTGACTTGCTTAAAATATATACAACAATTATTAATATGAAGCATCTGTAACTTTTAACCCTTTAAAAGCTTACAATGGTTTGTACTGCCCACTCAATTTTGGTATGGCAGCCTTATTTTAAATCTTAAAGCTTTCAGAAACTGGGTACTTACCATAACAAACTGACAAAGTTGAAAGATCTGTGAGAACTCGGAACACATACTATCCTTCAAATGTTTAGCTTTGGCTTGTGTCATTTGGCCGCTGCTGAAGTCAAACACTTCTTCACTACAACAAAATACAGAAGATTCTTATTATGTCAGTCTTCAACATTCGCACAATGGTAATTCAGGTAAATACATAAGATGCAGACAAAAATGGACAGGGACAGCATTCCTTTAACCCTTTCACCACTGTAGACCATAAAAGACTCATCCAGATCAATGCATGGTAGAGTCTACTAAAGTTACATTGGGGTGAAAGGGTTAAGAACTAGTGATCAAGCATACACAACTCAATGCACAAAAATGTCTTCTTTCCAACATCATATTTAGGGCTTTACCGTAACTTACCTCATAGGGAGGCGGGATGCACCTGCATTTTTATATTATGGGTGGAGGGGTTAAAACCAGATCTGCTGACCATTCCTTATATTAAATCTTTTTCAAGATTTTAACGGGTGTTGGGGACTCTGAAAAAAAGTAACCCCCCCCCATGGTTAATTCTGGAACAGCCCTTACAAAGATCTCATTGAAGAGGTAATTTTCTAAATATCCACACCGAAAAATTCATGCAGAGCTCTTTGATCGTCTTGAGTTGTTTCTGTTTTCAATTTGTACCCTAATATAAGCCCCATAAGTATTCATACAAACCTTAAAAGCTTCAGGATGATCATGTTGTTCTGACAAAGCGACTCATTTGTTTTGCTAGCACCAACAATATCACAAATGAATGACGGCCAGTTCCGTGGCCATTCATATTTTAGAATCTGGTAAGAAACATAACAACAATTAGAATACATTGTAAACAGTGTTCTCCATGAGCTAGGGAATAGTTTATCAATTATAAAATAGAAGTAGTCACTTCCATGCCAGGTAATGATGGTCATGAAATGGTTTCAGTGATACTGGTGAAGCTGGTGAAAACAGTAGGGTACCCATTGAACTGTTGAGTTGTGCCATTTGTTATCAAGAGCACTGAAGCATAAAAATATAAGGACTCCATTCATTAATGAGATCATACTGCGTAGCTATTATCCGATAGATTATAAGTCTCTGTCTTTAGCAAACAAAACTACTGCTAAGGTATTTGCAAACAGTGGTAATCCAGTGTTGGTTTGTTTATTTCATGACTTTCCTAAAAGTTGTAAGTGATCTTGAGACCTGACCACATCACCCTGGATTGGCCTGGAATCTAAACTGTTTGAGGTATTTTTAGACCTAACAATAGTATTAAGTTTTATGAAAAGGTGTAAATACAACAGACAAGATGAGAACATATGTAGATAAGGGCAGAGCCCTATAACCAAGTGACAACATTTTTGCAAGGGGATTACAGTGATAAATATAGGATTCACTTTATACAGGGTCAAATGAAAATTAGTTTATTTACTACTTACTTGTACAAGGATCATGTTAAGTTTTCCAATGTAGACCTTTTCTTGTTCTAACATGGTAGCATCCGATGATGTTTTGATTATCAATCCAACAATATATTTCTTTATACCTAAAAAAACAAGATTTGAAATTTGTTTGATGTTTTTAATGCTCAATCGGCACAAAAAAGGAAACTTTGAACCAAATAAGTATACATGTATAAACATTTTACTGACTTATGCAACATATAAAATTAAACTAAAATGAAGTAAAAACGTAACAATTTTATGCACATTTATAGATGTGTGAAGTATCTTTTGAAAATGAGAAATATTGTCTTCATTTTAGAAATTTGAGATCTTAAATGATTACTTTAAAGCCAAATAGGAAACAAATCGTAGTAAAGACTTAAATTAAAACATACTCTATAGAGAATGTCAATAAATCACAATTCTACATTACACTTGAAGTTTTGAAAATCAAGAGAGTACAAACCTTCACACTGTGGTCTCGGTAAGACTTTCCATCTAGTTTTGATGACATTTTCTAATATTTGAAGAGCATAATACTTTGTCTGTTGATTGCTGGAGTATTCTAATATGGTGTCTACCCTCGTCCATGCATCAGGATGTTCTTTCAGTGTAGTAAGTACCTCTTGTGCCATGCGCTGTGAAACCATAACATAATCACATGTTTTTAGAACAAGACAGTTGACAGGACTTTGATCTTCTCGACTGGATAATTTGGATCAAGCTGAAGAAATCTACCCAGTAATGTGAGAGACCCACAGGAAAGATTGACATTTAATTTTTATAACTTGAGATCATCATGGGCTAAGAATCATGCCATCACCAGTTAGGTTGAAGCATGTCCAGTAGTTTGGGAGGAGATGTCATTTAATAAATTAAACCATTCTGAACCCTTTTGACCCCATCCCTCAGTTCTCAAAGAGGGTATTTGTGTAATTGATGCCATTATGTTTTATTTAATTGGTGTCATTATGGTTTTTTTAATTTATATAATTTTGTTTTATTTGAAGTCATTTAGCCAATATCTCTAGGGATGTCACGGTTAACCGCGGTTCAGTTCATAATTTCAGTTCTGTACAAGAGGCCCAATGGGCCTGCATCGCTCACCTGTTATTAATCTAACACTTGTAATCTTAAGATTTCATAAGAACCTATTAAAAAATTTAAACATATGACGCCTCTGACCTTGATTGTCGAACAAGGACATTAAGTTGAAAGTGGATCAAGGTCATTTATTTGAACTAACATGGTAATCCTTCATCCCAGCATGCTACAGGCCCAATATCAGTTCCCTGGGCCTTTTGGTTATTGACAAGAAGTTGTTTGAAGATTTTAAGACATCTGACCCCAGTGACCTTGAAAGTGGGTCAATGTCATTCATTTAACCAAAATTGGTAGCCCTTCGTCCCAGCATGCTACAGGCCCAATATCAGTACCCTGGGCCTTTTGGCTATTGAGAAGAAGTTGTTTAAAGTTTTTAACATATTTGACCCCTGTGACCTTGAATATAATTGAAGGTCATTCATTTGAACAAACTTGGTAGCCTTTCACCCAAGCATGCTACTGGCCAAATATCATTACCCTGGGCATTTTGGTTATTCAGAAGAAGTTGCTTAAAGTTTTTTTTAATACAATTGACCCCTGTGACCTTGAATATGGGTGAAGTCATTTATTTGAACAAACTTTGTAGCACTTCATCTCAGCTTGCTACTGGCTAAATATCATCACCCTGAGCCTTTTGGTTATTCAGAAGAAGTTGTTGAAATTTTTTAAACATATTTGATCCCTGTGACCTTGAATATGGGTGAAGTCATTTATTTGAACAAACATTATAGCCCTTCATCTCAGCTTGCTACTGGCCAAATATCATCACCCTGGGCATTTTGGTTATTGAGAAGAAGATGTTTAAAGTTTTTGACATATTTGACCCCTGTGACCTTGAATATGGGTGACGGTCATTCATTTGAACAAACTTTGTAGCACTTCATCTCAGCTTGCTACTGGCTAAATATCATCACCCTGAGCCTTTTGGTTATTCAGAAGAAGTTGTTGAAATTTTTTAAACATATTTGATCCCTGTGACCTTGAATATGGGTGAAGTCATTTATTTGAACAAACATTATAGCCCTTCATCTCAGCTTGCTACTGGCCAAATATCATCACCCTGGGCATTTTGGTTATTCAGTAGAAGTTGTTTAAAGTGTTAAACATATTTGACCCCTGTGACCTTGAAAGTTGGTCAAGGTCATTCATTTAAACTAACTTTGTAGCCCTTTATCTCAGCATGCTACTGGCCAAATATCTTCTCCCTGGGCATTTTGGTTATTGAGAAGAAGTTGTTTAAAGTTTTTTTTAATACAATTGACCCCTGTGACCTTGAAAGTTGGTCAAGGTCGTTCAGTTGAACAAACTTGATAGTCCTTCATCCCAGCATGCTACAGGCCCAATTTCAGTACCCTGGCCCTTTTGCTTATTGAAAAGACGTCGCTTGAAGATTTTACGACATTTGACCCCTGTGACCTTGAAAATAGGTGAAGGTCTTTTGGATGAACAAACTTTGTAGACCTTCATCCAAGTTTGCTTCTGGCCAAATATTGACACCCTAGGCCTTTCGGTTATTAAGAAGAAGTCGTTTAAAGAAAAATATTGATGCCGGACGATGGACGGACGACGGACGCCGCGCCATGGCATAAGCTCACTTGGCACTTCGTGCCAGGTGAGCTAATAAGTGGGTCATAGTTGTTTGGTAGCAGCAAATGCGTGTATTATTTGTGTCATATCTCGATCGATACACACCCCTGACTCCATAGTCATGCAACCGCAATAATAAGTATGACTGTGTTTTTTAGGATTGTTTGAAATGGCAGCTTCGACTTGGATTTTCTCGTCGCAGGCGGTCTTGTGCACAAGACGGTAACTGAACACTGGATATATGTATAAACACAAATTAAACACTTCTTGGGATTTACCTCTTCAATCAATGTCGGCCTATATTATAAATCTAATATAACTTTGAAATCAGCAGCTACGAAAGAAAATGGATTAAACACATGGACCCAGTGCAGAAAACATGACAACACGAGGCCTTTGCTTTGAAAAAGTTTTTCACATGACTTTAACCCGATTTCGTTACAACGTTATATTATGTACGATATGGACGGACAAATAACCGAAAACCGACAACAAAAATGATAACCGAACGGAAAAATTCCTGAACCGTGACATCCCTAAATATTTCCTATGACTTTTCAATCATACCTGTTGTCCATCGCCTGTATACATCATAGCAACAATGTTGTCCAGGAGATTTATGTCCAGCTTCTGGTTAAAATCCAGAAGTTTGGCAGCTTCCTCTGGGAGGTTAGCCATACTCATACTTATTGGTGGCATGAATTATTTTGGAGAAGAGGCCTGAAAAATAGACAAATATTTAAGTGAAATAACATGGGCAAAATGATATAGCTATATAATTACTAATTAGTGTTTCCCCTGATGAACCTCTAAAGAGGTGAAAGTGCTAGGGAGATACTTTTATATAATACACAAGATTGCTGTATTAATTTTTACAATATACATTACTAACTTTGTTTTCAGACAATGGAAATGGAATGTTGTGACCTTTGATATTGTTTTTCGTACAAACCAGAAAGAATTAATTAAGTTGCATAAAACAAACTCAACAAGTATTTTTTTTATTGAAGTAGAATAGATAGTGCCTTAACTTTAGAGTTTCTCCTGTTGACAAATCTCGGATTTCAATTTTATTGGTTACTTTAAAATTTAATATGTTTTAGGAGGTATTTCATGATACAATGTATCTGAATTCTTTTAACATCAGATGGAACAAATACTAGGGGAAATTCATTTTTTTAGTAGACCTGTAGACAATCAACATGAAAACCCCCCAGACCTGTTGGGAATCATTTGCTTCATTGACCAACTTCACGTTATTTTATATGTGTATGATACAATGATAAGTATGCTAGGACTAAGGAGTGAAGAATATTTCATTAGGTCTTAAATGAAACCCACAGCGTCATGCCAAAAGTATATACGATTTACCAGGATATTCATGCATCTTATCTTTATCATTGAATTTTCCTGGAGCTAATTATTTCGCCACTAAAATTAAATTAGACAATCTGATAGAGAATTAATTAATGTTTAACCGACAATGTTTTGATTTTTGTGGAATGATTTGCAAAATTTGTAGAGTTATTTGCATTGTTGTTTTTGTAAGACAAAGAACAAAATGGCACAGTTAAATTGATCTCATCTTAATTGAATAACTTGTTATACCTTAAAAACCAGTCAACAAATATATGTAAATAATTTCAGATTATTATAAAAAGGTATCTTTCAGTATGTGAAACTTTGTTTCAATATTGCTAAAGTAAGCTCTACAAAATTTTAATAAAAAAGGGAAAAAAATCATGAAACCGAGGGGACTTTTGACATGATATTCGACTATACTTAGACATATTATTGTTTATGGTGCATTACAGGTCCAGTACACTCTGCCGATTGAGCTATATAGCTATAAAGACCTATATAGCTATATAGACCTATACATTATAGCTGTATTGAGCTATATTTTCTCAGATTTCAATTTTCATTAAATTAAAGCAAAGTCGCATCAAACAATAAGGTTTATGGTAATGTTGACTACAAAAAGCATACAGTTAGATGTTTATTTTCATTTTTCATAAATGTAAAATTTCCGATTTTTTTACATCATTATTTTTTAAAAAGAATACATATATTTAATGTCTTTTGTTATCCACCTAATGATACAATCTCCTTTTAAAAGCGACTTTGTTTGGTTTTCCTTAAAAAAGAAAATTACTTGAAAATAGCTCAAAAGACCTATTTCAGATAGGTCAATAGAGCTATTATAGGTCTTTACAGCTATATAGCTCAATCGGCAGAGTGTACTGGACCTGCATTAGAAATCCCAAGACATAGAAAATGTTAAGAAAAAAATTCAAGCTAAAATTGTTTCAATTTGTCACAAACAAATATAAAGCAATTTTGAATAGGACTATTTATAGTAAAGTGAAAGTTGATGAAGAGCATTCAACCATAACATAATAAAGGAATATTCCCGAAAAATTCGAAACAGTATCAGAAAGTCGATGTCAGCCAATAACTTTCGACACTCTGCAATTTCCTATAATATGTGATCATGTTGTACCTGGTAAAAACCAGAATATTCCAGTTTAACTGAAACTTGAGTAGGATGCCATGTATAAGCCTATGGCATCCTACTCTACGGCATGAAACCAGTAAACGTCATTTTCATATCAACTAAATGTGTTGTTGGCTAGTGTTGTCAGTTAAACAAATTGTATAAAAAGTGTTGGCTGTCTACATCCACATTTATTTTCATGGGTAGGCCTAAACTGCAATTAGTATTTCGCTGACGAGTCCCGACTGCCAGTAATATTACTATAAGTTTATTTAATGAAACAAGAAGCATGACAGAAATAATAATAATTCGAAGAAAACGTAAATTATTTTTTTAGTGCGTATTGATTAGCATAAGTTGATATCTATAAATAAACCCAATGGAAAATTCCAATCACCCGCCTAAGTTTAAAAGTCGGTCAATATCCAATGACAGTGAGCGCATGTAAACTTCCGTTATATCTTATGTTGTGATGTCAAAATGGCGGCGCCCATGAGGGAAACAGTGAGACAAATTTAGTGACTTATGGTTAATTACAAAATTGACAATAACAGTTCTCAATGCATTGAAATAAATGGTAAAATTCAACAAAATACCTGTTTCATGTCTACGCCAAACTCCCACCTTCCTTGCAATGAAAGGCATTAAACTTTCTGTAACCGGTTCAAACTGGAACATGTCGGTCTGTTCGGATGTCTTCGGTTTTTGACGAGTAAGAACATTCTTGTTATTTTCAATTAAGGTAATAATAAAATTACCATTTATTTTTTATACAACAACAGAAGTGTAAGTGATTAAGAAATCATAAAAAATATGGACAAAATAAAAAAATCTTTGAAAATTTATTTCCGACTGTGATGTAGGCGTGGTTGTTTTCTTTGTCATCTGCTTTTTGATTGGTTATCGTGTTTGGATGCTGAAATTCTGTTTTAACGCTATTTTCTTTTTAGTAGAATGAAAACATTTCGTTATTAACCTTCCAGATTATTTAAAACACAACTGTCGAATTTCTTGTCTGTTAATTCTAGCAATACTGAGATGATTTTCATCATAAACTGTTTTCTCCTGTGTGGAAAATTTTGATACATTAGCCAATCAACTTTCCGCATACTGAAGCGAATCGGATGGGTCTTAAAATTTACATATAATTCCCTAGCGTAAACTGACAAAAGATAGTGCTGTTATATAGATGCGAAAAGAAAATCAAACCGCTGTCCAACTGTTATCTCGTTTGACATATTTTTTAAAGTATTTGTTTCGCACCATATAGATTTAATACTTTGCATTATAGAAAGCAGTTGATTAATCTGATAAACGAACCAAATCCTTGCGCCGAAAATTCAAAATGGATGAAGACCACAATACTCCAGACCATAATATTCTGTAGGTATTTTTGCGGGAGTTTTAACGTGCTTCTTGCGCAGCTTTTCAGATGTGCTCAAATAGATTGCAAAGTTAACGTGACGTTATTTTTTGTAGCAGTATGATATCGACTTGTGAATCCTGTGTTTTTTATCGGCGTGTTATAATCTTGAAACGAAAGGATACATTAAATCATTGATATACATCGTGTCATAGAATTACAACTTATATTTTACAAAGGGATATTCCGAACTCACTGGAGCTGGACACATGTATAATAGTTACCCTATATATTGTAAAGTTATGCATATATATATATATATGTATGGGGCAAAGAAATAATTCCAACAGTGTGGACACGTTTAGGTTGTCAAATTTTCGGAGCGATCCGCTTCTTATATATGCAGTATTATATGGTATATATACACATACAACTGGAATTGGAGCGATTTTCTTCAACCACATGTGTTTGTAATTCTTACTGTAAATCGATATATTTATACCTATATCATACGAAAATAGGGTATTTCTACCAAAAAACCCGAAGTTATACCCCTATTTCGTTTATATGATAAATATCTCAATTTACAGTCATTAATTTCAAACACTCATCTGATTTATAAATATGGCCTTTATAAGGTAGGGTAGGGAAGACGTATTTACATATCAGATCCATTAAATGCAAAATAATCTTCTTACTGTGTAATTAATTACTTTTTTTATCCCATAAATTAATCAAGAGACATTAAATGACTGCCTTTATATGTCTTATGAATTAATGTATAGTTATCAGTTTTCTCGTCATGATTTGATAGCAGTCATAATTGAGTAATTGAGCGATATTTTGTAATTATGAGATCCCAAGATCAAGTTAATTATCATTTAGTTACATGTAAGCCGCACTTAAAATTTGTCTCTTCACTGAATTTGATCAATTCTCATCATCATATATATGCATCATCATCTTCCTGGACTGAGGAGCTGACCTAGTTTGGGGGGGAGGGGGGTTGCTGCTGCTCCAGCGACAATTGGTGGCCATGTCTCGAACCGCATTGATTGATTGACAGGTTTTACGTCCGCTTCACTACCGAGTAGTTCGGTTATCCAGCAGACGAAGTAAAGACAGGAAATTGAGTAGAAGAGATAGAAGGAGACAAGTTAGAGAAGGAGCCGTCTTTCCTATATGTATCTACTGTATAAGTGTAGTTTTTGTAAGACGGCTCCTATGTCTAATATTTGCCTTAACCTAGCACTCGTCGTATAGTATCAACATGAGCCTGAACCGGAAGTGAGGTACTGAGCCGCCACCAGCTCCTGCCTTTTCTATGAATTTTGTTTGGTATATATATATTTGAAGTCCTTTTCTCCAAACCGCAATGAATCTTTCCCTTATTAAAAGACAATGGGACACTACCATATAACAACAATAGATCCCTCCCTTATAAAGACAATAGGACAAGGAATACCATATAACAACAATATATCCCTTCCTTATAAAGACAATAGGACAACGAATACCATACAACAACAATAGATCCCTCCCTTATAAAGACAATAGGACAAGGAATACCATATAACAACAATAGATCCCTCCCTTATAAAGACAATAGGACAACGAATACCATATAACAACAATAGATCCCTCCCTTATAAAGACAATAGGACAAGGAATACCATATAACAACAATAGATCCCTCCCTTATAAAGACAATAGGACAACGAATACCATATAACAACAATAGATCACTCCCTTATAAAGACAATAGGACAACGAATACCATATAACAACAATAGATCACTCCCTTATAAAGACAATAGGACAACGAATACCATCTAACAACAATAGATCACTCCCTTATAAAGCCAATAGGACAACGAAAAAGATCACTCCCTTATAAAGACAATAGGACAACGAAAAAGATCACTCCCTTATAAAGACAGTAGGACAACGAATACCATATAACAATAGATCCCTCCCTTATAAAGACAATAGGACAACGAATACCATATAACAACAATAGATAACTCCCTTATAAAGACAATGGGACAACGAATACCATATAACAACAATAGATCCGTCCCTTATAAAGACAATAGGACAGCGAATACCATATAACAACAATAGACCACTCCCTTATAAAGACAATAGGACAACGAATACCATACAACAACAATAGATCCCTCCCTTATAACGACAATAGGACAACGAATACCATATAACAACAATAGATCACTCCCTTATAAAGACAATGGGACAACGAATATCATATAACAACAATAGATCACTCCCTTATAAAGACAATAGGACAACGAATACCATATAACAACAATAGATCACTCCCTTATAAAGACAATAGGACAACGAATACCATATAACAACAACAGATCACTCACTTATAAAGACAATAGGAAAACGAATACCATATAACAACAATAGATCACTCTCTTATAAAAACAATAGAACAACGAATACCATATAACAACAATAGATCCCTCCTTTATAAAGACAGTAGGACAACGAATACCATATAACAACAATAGATCACTCCCTTATAAAAACAATAGGACAACGAATACCATATAACAACAATAGATCCCTACCTTATAAAGACAATGGGACAAGATATTTGGCAAGTAGCATGCTGGGATGAAGGGCTACGAAGTTTGTTCAAATGAATGACCTTGACCCACTGTCAAGGTCACAGGTCAAATGTATTCAAATCTTCAAACGACTTCTCAATAACCAAAAGGCCTAGGGTACTGATATTTGGCCTGTAGCATGCTGAGATGAAGGGCTACCAAGCTTGTTTAAATGAATGACTTTGACCCACTTTCAAGGTCACAGGGGTCAAATGTCTTAAAATCTTCAAACAACTTCTCAATAACCAAAAGGCTCAGGGTACTGATATTTGACTTGTAGCATGCATGGATGAAGGGCTACAAAGTTTGTTCAAATGAATGGCATTGACCCACTTTCAAGGTCACTGGGGTCAAATATGTTAAAAATCTTTAAATAAACTTCTTCTCAATAACCAAAAGGCCTTGGATGATGATATTTGACCAGTAACATGCTAGGATGAAGGGCTACCAAGTTTGATCAAACAAATAACCTTCGTCTATTTTCAAGGTCACAGGGGTCAAATATGTTGAAAACCTTAAAACAACTTCTGAATATCCAAGAGGCATAGGCTAATGATATTTGGCTAGTAACATGCTGGGATGAAGAGCTACCAAGTTTGTTCAAATGAATGACCTTCATCTATTTTCATGGTCACCGGGGTCAAATATGTTTAAAACCTTTAAACAATTTCTTCACAATAACCAAAAGGTCTTGAATGATGATATTTGGCCAGTAAAAATTAAATGCTGGGATGGCGGGCTACAAAATTTGTTCAAACAAATGACCTTCACCCATTTTCAAGGACACAGGGGTAAAATATGTTGAAATCTTTAAATGACTTGTTCTGCATATTCTAAAGGTCCAGGGTAATGATATTTAGCCAGAAGCATGCTGGGACGGAAGGCTATAAACTCTGTTCAACTTAATGTCCTTGTTCGACTCTAAAGGTCACAGGCATCATATGTTTAAATCATTTAATAGATTCAAATGAATCGAACACAGATTTTTTGCCTATAGCTGTATATTAGTCCCTTTTTAAGATTACAAGTGTGAGATTAATACCAGGTGAGCGATTCAGGCCCATTTGGCCTCTTGTTATTTTGCTTGTTGCTTTATTTTAGATCTCTTATACCAGGTAAGCGATACAGGCCCATTGGGCCTCTTGGTTTTTTTTAATGACAATCAGTGCCAATAATATAAGTAGCTGTGGATAAAAACTGGGTAAAAAAATGAAATCCTTGGTTCAGTGGCGGTGTCAGTGGTGCCTCCCTGTGAGGTCCTCTGGTCGTAATGAGGACTTGAAGGAGTCTCCACTGTAGCTGCGGCCTTAATATCACTAGGAATGTTGTTCCAGGTAGTGATGGTGCGGGGGAGGAAGGAGTTTTGGTGGGTGTCTGTATTGACCTGGATTTGCCATAGGCTGCTGCAAGTGGCTCCACGGGTCCTTCTATCTACCTGACAGATCTTTTGGCTAAACTCGACTTCCACAATATTATTGATGATCTTGCACAATAATTTTGCCCTGGCCCTAGCTCTCCTGACAGCTAACGGTTCCCATCCGAGATGGTTCTGTATGGCTGTCATACTACCTTCTTCTCTGGAGGAGTAGTTGTTGGTCACAAATATCACCGCCTGCTTTTGGACTCTCTCCAGCTTGTCAGTATGTTAGGCTCCAGCGTATTCCATTATTGGCCAGGCCAGAGTGGTATACGTCCTTGCCCTAACTTCCTCAGGGCAAGCATGCAGGTTCCTTTGGAGGAAACCTACAGACCTCGCTGCCTTTGATGAGGTAGTACTGATGTAGTACTCATGATTTGTACAACATGACGGCTTTACGTAATTATGGAGTTATTGTTCTAAACTTTATGCAAATTCAACTGAAGCATGTGCAGATGTTGGACAAGTTGTCAAGTTTTTTATTTTGAAAGGCCTCAGCACATGTTTACAGAGGTAATATTACTCGTTAACATAAAGATTAAATCATGCAGCAACAGATGGGAAATTTGGAAATAAACTTCAGTTACTTTTGTTTATTCTATATGGACATGGCATTACCCAACTTTGATCTTATTGAACATTTGGGCAAACTAAAGTCCTTAATTATTGATGATCTTGCACAATAATTTTGAGGACTTAAATTTTCAGCATTTAGAATAATCGCAACAATGGGTTAGTTAACCTGTAGTCAGACTCTGAAGTTACCATCAGATCTACACTATCATAATGCAAGGAGGCAAATACACCAACATACCAGTCCAAACCACATACACACATGCAGGCATACAATACACATGTATGGAGGCATGTCCTTAACTGACTCCAGCTGTTAATAGCTAGGACATTCCACCTTATCAAACCAAACATATACAAAAAGTGAGTGATGATATTCCTTTTCCTCCTGCATTTTTTTATCACTACTTTTTGGAAAAAACTGGGAATAATATGATTTGCGTGTTTTCCTTCTGTCAGACATATTTCAGGTTTTGTTCATTAACTTCCCTTTAATGGTCATATTTCAACCTTATACCTACAATATTTCAAACTTGATATGCACATACTTATATATTAATAGTAAGGCAGAACTGGATTGTGTCGTTCATCGCTGTCCAGGTTGCTCAATTGGTAGAGTGTCTGTCTAGAGTTTGGAGGGTTTTTGAACCCTGGTCTTGCCATGCATTTTTCCGCTCCAGTCCTGTTACAATAGCAAAGACAGATTTAAGTTTGTGATGCATGTAAATTGACAAACAATAATTTGATTGGTTAATTAATTTTCATTAGTTGCATGAAATTAAATGCTGATTGATTCAAATTCTGATACAAAATTGGGTGTACCCGTCATATATATCCTAATGACAAGCCTCTGGCTCACATTAATTACACAATGTGATGTGAGGCTACTTGATTGTTAAATACCAACTATTATATTGCCCATAATGTGTCCATCTATCCTGAACTCATATTAACATATTGGGCTTTCTAGCATTGTAAAATATATAGTTATTTTCTTGTGAGATTTACTTAAATATTTCACAGAAAGAGAAGAGAGGAAGGGCGAGTGTTCAAAAGCTACCACTATCATTATGTAATAGATATGTCTAATGTTTGAAATACATGGACGTATTTTCTTTGATTGACAGTTATGATTTTGATTGACATTTCATAGAAAATCAGAGTTTACCATGTATTGATGCATGGTACATTAAGGTATGTCTTAATTTACAAATGTATTTTTCAGACGCTGGTAGTAAAGGGATGGACTCATTCTGTGACACTTGTGATTGCATTGTCATACAGCATGGTAAACCAAACTTCTTCAATCAGGTGGATATGGTAAATTTAATTACAGAATATGGCCTTGACAGGAAATGATTCCCTTAGAATTTTCACCTCCAATATGGTGACAGATACGACCACCACTATTGATCACTCCATTAGAGGTACACAGACATGTACAACTCCAACTGTATCTCTCCTGTCTGAGCCAGGGATGCACGGCTATCAGCCCGAGGGACCGGGGCTGATCCCCGTCCAGCGCTCGGACACAACTGTAATGCCAACAAGTACATATGTATACCTCTCCAGCAAAGATAAATTTGAGCTACAACCAACACAAAAGATCGATGCCATGCAACAAGGAACTGGAAATACACTTAATGATACAATCATGGCTGATAGCCAGGAAACATTGCCTAATTATAGCAATAATGTCAACAAGTCGACTCCAGTCATGTTCTTTCTGAATCAAGATCAGAATACGAACACTTCAACTATGGACACCAATTTGATGCTGCACCATCCACTAATATCAGATATGTATCAAATTCAAAACAACCTATCAAGTATTTATGCTATAGCTCAGGCAAACCTCGTGGCTCAAACACAGCAGGACATTGCCAAACAGTTGATAGGACAGACTGATGGTCAAGGCCATAACCCGGTGAATCTTGGCCAAAGCCTACAGCAGCCAGCCATGTCATGCATATCAATCCAAGGGGACATAACTGCCCCAAGTAACAAAGTTTTGGTCCAAACGTCTCAAACTGAAACCGATGGTATATGCTCTGGTAAGTTTGTTGCTATTGTCAAAGTTTTTGTACCATATTTAGTGAAACTTTTTATTTGTACAAATTTAAATAATGATACATGTAATGGATTTGAAGAAAGTAATTGGGAAAAGTTTTGAAGGCATATAGTTTTAGGGGGTACATTGAACTAACACTTTAATTATCATCATACTTAGGTATTATTTGAATTTGTTAGTAAGATTTATGTAAATACTGCACAATAGTTTTGTGGGGTAGATGAAGTTTACTGCACAGGAGTTTTATGGGGTAGATGAAGCTTATTGCACAATAGTTTTGTGGGGTAGATGAAGCTTACTGCACAATAGTTTTTTGGGGTAGATGAAGCTTACTGCACAATAGTTTTGTGGGGTAGATGAAGCTTACTGCACAATAGTTTTGTGGGGTAGATGAAGCTTACTGCACAATAGTTTTATGGGGGGTAGATGAAGCTTACTGCACAATAGTTTTATGGGGTAGATGAAGCTTACTGCTCAGGAGTTTTATGGGGTAGATGAAGCTTACTGCACAATAGTTTTGTGGGGTAGATGAAGCTTACTGCACAATAGTTTTGTGGGGTAGATGAAGCTTACTGCACAATAGTTTTGTGGGGTAGATGAAGCTTACTGCACAATAGTTTTGTGGGGTAGATGAAGCTTACTGCACAATAGTTTTGTGGGGTAGATGAAGCTTACTGCACAATAGTTTTGTGGGGTAGATGAAGCTTACTGCACAATAGTTTTGTGGGGTAGATGAAGCTTACTGCACAATAGTTTTGTGGGGTAGATGAAGCTTACTGCACAATAGTTTTGTGGGGTAGATGAAGCTTACTGCACAATAGTTTTGTGGGGTAGATGAAGCTTACTGCACAATAGTTTTGTGGGGTAGATGAAGCTTACTGCACAATAGTTTTGTGGGGTAGATGAAGCTTACTGCACAATAGTTTTGTGGGGTAGATGAAGCTTACTGCACAATAGTTTTATGGGGGGTAGATGAAGCTTACTGCACAATAGTTTTATGGGGTAGATGAAGCTTACTGCTCAGGAGTTTTATGGGGTAGATGAAGCTTACTGCACAATAGTTTTGTGGGGTAGATGAAGCTTACTGCACAATAGTTTTGTGGGGTAGATGAAGCTTACTGCACAATAGTTTTGTGGGGTAGATGAAGCTTACTGCACAATAGTTTTGTGGGGTAGATGAAGCTTACTGCACAATAGTTTTGTGGGGTAGATGAAGCTTACTGCACAATAGTTTTGTGGGGTAGATGAAGCTTACTGCACAATAGTTTTGTGGGGTAGATGAAGCTTACTGCACAATAGTTTTGTGGGGTAGATGAAGCTTACTGCACAATAGTTTTGTGGGGTAGATGAAGCTTACTGCACAATAGTTTTGTGGGGTAGATGAAGCTTACTGCACAATAGTTTTGTGGGGTAGATGAAGCTTACTGCACAATAGTTTTGTGGGGTAGATGAAGCTTACTGCACAATAGTTTTGTGGGGTAGATGAAGCTTACTGCACAATAGTTTTATGGGGGGTAGATGAAGCTTACTGCACAATAGTTTTATGGGGTAGATGAAGCTTACTGCTCAGGAGTTTTATGGGGTAGATGAAGCTTACTGCACAAGAGTTTTGTGGGGTAGATGAAGCTTACTGCACAATAGTTTTATGGGGTAGATGAAGCTTACTGCACAATAGTTTTGTGGGGTAGATGAAGCTTACTGCACAATAGTTTTATGGGGTAGATGAAGCTTACTGCACAATAGTTTTGTGGGGTAGATGAAGCTTACTGCACAATAGTTTTGTGGGGTAGATGAAGCTTACTGCACAATAGTTTTGTGGGGTAGATGAAGCTTACTGCACAATAGTTTTGTGGGGTAGATGAAGCTTACTGCACAATAGTTTTGTGGGGTAGATGAAGCTTACTGCACAATAGTTTTGTGGGGTAGATGAAGCTTACTGCACAATAGTTTTGTGGGGTAGATGAAGCTTACTGCACAATAGTTTTTTGTGGGGTAGATGAAGCTTACTGCACAATAGTTTTATGGGGTAGATGAAGCTTACTGCACAATAGTTTTGTGGGGTAGATGAAGCTTACTGCACAATAGTTCTGTGGGGTAGATGAAGCTTACTGCACAGGAGTTTTATGGGGTAGATGAAGCTTACTGCACAGGAGGTATGGGGTAGATGAAGCTTACTGCACAATAGTTTTATGGGGTAGATGAAGCTTACTGCACAATAGTTTTGTGGGGTAGATGAAGCTTACTGCACAATAGTTCTGTGGGGTAGATGAAGCTTACTGCACAGGAGTTTTATGGGGTAGATGAAGCTTACTGCACAGGAGGTATGGGGTAGATGAAGCTTACTGCACAATAGTTTTATGGGGTAGATGAAGCTTACTGCACAATAGTTTTGTGGGGTAGATGAAGCTTACTGCACAATAGTTTTATGGGGTAGATGAAGCTTACTGCACAGGAGTTTAACATACACGTGTTTATGATACGGGGTTGGGTTTGTACAGACCATTCAATTTAAAAACAAAACACCCAGTTGAATTGTTTTATAATGCTTTTTTCTACCAAAATAGATGTTTTTCACATTATATGAGCAGTGTTTGATTTTTATAATATTTTATTTTGTGAATACCTGAAAAATAATTTATAAATGCATTCCTGTCTGTTGTTACAGACGTAAGTAAAGGAGACAAAGAAGAGAAGACATTTGTGTGCAAGTTAGATAAATGTGGTCGCAGTTTTTCATCAGCTGGCCATCTGAGGAACCATCAATCTAACCACAGTCGTGAGAAACCACTGACATGTACACATGAGGGGTGTGGTCGCACTTTTACCTGGCCAGCCCACCTCAAGTACCATAAACTTACCCACATGTAGGTACAAATTATCACAGGCCTCAGAAAGGCTTATTCATTTGTGAAAGTCTTGGGTTATTATAAATGCTGCATCTTACTGATAGGTGACCCTTATTTATTCAATTAATGCATATTAATATAATCAATTGAGAACTGAAATTGCTGCCATTTATAGACAGTGACATTTTTGTAAAGGTTCAAATACAGAAGATCAATTACACTAGAGTTAAATTGCTGCTGTTTATAGACCTTTTGTTAGGTTCAAGTACAGAATATTTAACAAATGGGAACTGATATCCCTACCTTTTATTGACAGATGAGGTTTACATGGAGAATAAAAAAAAAAATATTGACAAGTGTAACAAATTTACTGACCTTTATAGACGGGTTACCTACAGAGATGCACAAAGAAACTTACAGTATCAAAGGAGGACTTGAATCACTTTTGATGTTAAAATGGATTGTTTTTTATAGACAGTTGACCTTAAAAATACATAGAGGTAAAACTCAAAAGAAAATGTATAAAAGTGAACTGTAATCCATTCCCCAAGCAATATTTTGATTGAAAGGGAATTGGGTTGCTGCCCTTTATAGACATGTGACAGTTATGGTAGCAGAGTACAGTAGCGTACGGTGGCCATGGGTGATATTTTTATACAATGAATTACCCCTGTAATATAACATGTATCAAAATTATCATGATGAAGTGGACTATGTGGGCTTCATAATTTTTCAAAAAAAAAAATTGAATTTGGTTTGAGATTACAGTTTTGGGCATTTACAAATCTGTGTCTACACAACAAAAGCTAGCTTTTCATGTAGTCTATTTTTGTAATCAGCACATGTGTAAATATTGTGAAAAATCCACCGGAATGACCTATGCTAAAACGTGAGTATTTCTGTTACCGAGTAGGCGATATTTAATTTCAGACAGGTTTTAAGAAAAACAATTCTACTTGCGGGGGTCAAATTCTGGGTTAAAAATCATGATTTTTTGCATATTTTGGTGTTTTTTGATGTGGTAACCATGGTTTTCAGAAGTCCCAAATCTGGGGAAAT